GTCAAAGAGCAATAGAAATAATAAGATTACAGAAACCAGAATTAAAATTGAGCAGAACAACAAATATCGACACAACTGTATGTCAATTAAGAGATCTGGAAGGAATGTTGTTGATGTATCCTCATCAACCTCAGACAATGGATTGTCGAAAGTTAGAGAGAGTAAATGCAGTAATGAACGGATTAAACTTAAACGGAATAACCAAGACAGTATACATTCAGAGATTTCAGAGACTGATGAGAGTGATGTGGATGAGAAGAGATCAAGTAATGAATCTATAAATTATAGATTTGTCGACATAGATTGAATGAATTTGCCGATTTAGAGAATGTATATGAATTAAACATTGAGGAGAGTAAATTAGTTGGAGAAGGATTAACTAATTGTGATGATGTGGCGTGCGCTCTCTCATCAAATGTTTGGCAGATGTTCACACTTTCTTTCAACAAACATTGTAAATCTCGCAGCCACTGCCGCGACGGTCCCGCGCAATAAAATAGAAAACGTCTGGCCGCCGACGCGCCTGACCCTTTTTTTTATAAGCTCGCAATAAACCGTTCTTTCGGCTGCTCCGCTGTTTTGAGAAAACGCACGCCCGTCCCTCGCTAATTACCCTCAGTCCCAGCGACTGTTTTCCCGCGCCCCGCGAGAGGGACTTTTCCCTTCCAAAGTACTGGCCCTGCTTACTGCTGTGGTTTTGGGGAGAGCATATGGTAGAGAGGATATGATACATTCCCAGCTGGCCAAAAGGGCACAAGCAATAGCTGTTTCTATGAAGACCACTGCTCCATCAGAGAGGATTGTGAAAGATGCTCTTACCAATCTGGTCTGGAATATTGGAGAAGTATCTCAGAGAGTAGACGACCTACTAGGATTGGTGGTCTGCATCACCAAAGAGGGGACTTTCAATGTGGAGGCACCAGTACACCAGCTCATGGACATAGTGACATTGAGAGCAAATCTGGGGGTGAGTGAGATAGCAGGGCAGCTGCTGACTCAGGCTAGGTTAGTGTACAGCCATTTACACGCATCCTCTATCCATTTTGTCTTGACAGTGAAGCCATTAATTCTCCATATGGTCACTGCTAACAATGCGGTGTTCAGAGAGGAGTTTACCAGATTTGCTGCTATTGAGGAAACCCTTCGAAGTGCTCCTTATCTAGGCTTGAGAAGCTCCATCCCAGAAGCCTACCACATAAAAAACTTCCCATTGCTAGTTCATTGTGGAGTAGGATACCACAGAAATCACTTGGTAGAGGCTTCTGAAAAAGAAGCCTTCACAAAGTACAATACTGGGAACCTCAAAATACATCTGTCAGATGTAAATCACCTGCAAGTAGCGGACTCAGTGCTGCTATCGTTACCCTCTCCATCAGTCCAATCAATAGCAGAACTTGTGAGAGTGCTGCCACTGCACAAGGCAAGAGCAGTAATGGGGACTAGGTCTAAAGAAGAGGCCAACTCCGTCATGGAAGTCCTCAGATCCACAGAGAATCCAGGACACTGGGCAGATGCTATCATAGCCCAAGAAACTGCAGCTTATCAAAAAGAGCTGCTTAGCCAGGGAATTACACTCCTTACTAGGACTTTGGACTCACGTTACTCCACAGCTAGGGACGCAGCAGATGGGATCCCAGACCCAGCTGTTAGATCAGAAAGACTTCAGCGAATTAGTGCCTGGAAGAACAGAATCCACCAATCTATCCAGGCTCTCACTCCATTCACGGATTATTTGCCCCAAGCCCCTAGGGTTGCGCAGGAGGAAATCAGGAGGCAAATCATCCAGCAATTAACTGTGATCATGGAAGATATCAACAGGGATGTTCCAGTTCCCATGGATCACTGAAGTAGTCATTAATAGTGCACTATACCGGCCAATCATGCAATCAACGATTTAAAAAAAAAAAAAAAACGTTTTTTCACATGAAGAATTTTACTCGAGAATTTTTGGAGTTGCTGAATGCAAATCTGCAAATTCATAATGGCCGAATGAAAATTTTTTATTTTGAATTCGTCATCTTGGATTTTGAAAAAATGAAATTCTAGTTGCATATTCGTATTCAGCAACTCTAAAAATTCTCTAGTAAAATTCTTCATGCAAAAAGAGCTAATAGAAAAATGTGCGCTTCAAAGGCTTAATGGATTTTAGAATTTTGAATAAATTCATAAATACAATATTATCTTTATGAAAAAAAGATATTTAGGCAAACTCAACGACATTAAAGGGAAAGATTTGTACTTCAAAATATTTAAAATAGTTTTCTGTGAAAAAATTTATTCACGATGCTATATAACCTCAAATATGTCAAAAAACTGTTTTTTTCACTTTTAGGTTAGGCTATCTCAAAAACCAGACGTGATGAAACAATTCTAAGGCCAGATTTGGATTCAGCACAGTAAAATCCTTCAGGAATTCTATAGCTCGCTTGTGATACAGAAAATGACCTATTATTTATATTCCTGTGTTATTTAACACAAATAAATTATACGAAAATAATTATTTTTATTATAAAATTCTCAAACTCAAAAATCGACACATATATTTTAATAATCATAATTTAATTAGACAATTGTATCTTAGTAGCTATTAATTTTAAATTCAATATAAATCAAAATCTATGTTAATGGCTTTAGTATAAATTATAATTTCAATGTATATTTTTATTTTTCCAATATTTATAAAGATTAAATGTCAATTAAAGTTAAATTATTAAATATCCAGTCAAGAAAAAACAGAATTTGAAATTTATTCATAATTCCATTTTTAAATAATGTAAGGCATATCTTTTATAAAATTAAGTTATAAAATTCAGTATATTTAAAAAAAATAATATTCTTAACATTTAAGTAAAAATAGGTACATGCGGAACCATCTCTCGAAAAAAGGCCCGTATTCTTAGGTTCACGCCTGAAAATAGAATGAGAAAAGTGGAAAGATAAGAAAAGCGTTACCTGTTCCACCTTTCTTGGTTCTGAGGGTTGAGAGAGGGATTTTCCTCCCAAACATCCCCTGGATATAAAAAACCCTGCGCGAGGCCTCGGGGATTTGTTCAGAAGGAGTTCAGAGAAGCCCAAGGAAAACGAGTAAAAGGTGAAGAAGTTATAAATTTGAAATCACAAGTAACATAGTGAACCGCAATTGTAAGAATTCAAATAAAAAGTAATTTTGTACAAATTATAATTTCTCTTTATCAACTCGCGTAGTATTAGAAATCCATTAAGCAAGAGTTAGGTGGATTTTCGTTAGAGTCCCGATAGAAACATTAAGCAAGAGTCTAATGTGTTCGTAATAACATTTAGTTATTACTTTCCCTTCATCCTTATAGTTTCTTTTACAAAATAATATTGCTCGTCCCGGTTTAAACGTAGTACGCAAGTTAAAACAAAGCAACTTGAGATTATGACTGCCTCGGATGTACCTGGGTGTGACCCGGACGTCACACTATCCATGTTATTCAATACCAATATCAAAAAATTTCGCTATCGGTTTCAAAGTTATTCTTTGAATCCTATTCAATCTTTGAAATCTTCATGAAATATGAGTTTCATGGCTATTTCTTTCGAAATTTGAGATTCATATTTAATCTTGTAAGTTGACAAACAAAAAATATCAAAAAAATCGAAATAAAAGTTATATCCTGGCACAATAAATAAATATTCGAAATGCAATTCATCAAATTAATATATGTCTAGTGTAATTTTGAAGAAGGTTCATTTTATAAAATATGACACTTGATGGAATTTTGAAAATTTTACGAGTCTTTTGATATGACAAGATATCGAGTTGGTATTTAAACACTGATGATAAACAATTAAAGCTTATGGCTTACCTGTGATCAGGTACAGTCTTGATACCCGCAAACCGACATTGTCAAACCCTAATATGAATTTTATTTAAAAGAGGTACAACACATTTATAAACAAACAGTTTATATAAGTTAGTGTAAAAAAGTAATTCTTTGCGTCCTTGGTTTCAGCAGCGTATTTGACCTATGCAGTACCTTATAAAAAAATCACATTTGAACAAAGAAAAGCACACAGTGAAATGCATCACTGTCAAATATTTTCTTTTTTTTCAATACAGCACATTAGTGAAGTTTACATATGGATTAGTACCGAGGTCTTATATTAAGGTACATGATCAGTAGATATATATTTTGAACGCAAGAATCTAGTTTCTTCATCGATTGATAGTGTATAAAAAGTTTGTGTTTGTGTACGTGTGTGCATGTGAAAAGGAATTACGTCCTTTTAAGTGTAAACTTAATTAGTAGGGTATACATGCGTTTTCTCATTGATAATCGATTATCATCACACATATCGATACATTGTGTAAGATAATTATCGTTGCAGTCTTAAAAGAGCAAACAGAACTTCGGCAAAGAATGTACAATTCGTTGTCTATAATGCTCGACTGCGACTATTATCAGAGATATAATTGCTTATTTCTTTTGTAACTGCGTCTATATTTAGAAGAATTTGATCTTGCATACGAGTATCACATGATAATTCTATTTTTTTTGTACTTTGATTGCAGGAAGTCTGTATAGAGGAATTCCCTTGGAGCTCGATTTATCACAGTTACAACACAGTTACGCATATCAATAGTTGTCATCACATTCACACTGTGGCAGAGTCATACAGGTAATTGATATCGATGACTTCAGCGGCACTTTTTTCTTATTTTTGGTTGTTACTAAATTTTATCACTTTCGACACTCTCGTGCGCAGACTCTTTGGTATTACTTGTCGGTTAAGCGCGACTAACTAATTATTCAAAACAAAAGAGACGTTCTTTAATCCAAAGACGGAGCTTTGCGCTTCTAACATAATAAAATGTTGAGAAATTCGTCGTCGACTGGCTTTCCCCGATATAGACTCGTTATAAACGGCTCTAGCTTAATAAAGTATATATGTGTGTATATTAACGTGGGCACTAAGTCGCGCACGCAGCGACGGCAGCGGCGGCGCAAATGAAAGTACTATTGTGGCGAAAATACCTGTTATAGGAATCATAATAGTTTTTCCTGTCCGGCTGGCTAGGCGATAGACCCGGTGGTGCTGGTGGTGGCAGCGACGCTGGCGGTGATATTGTATGATGATGATGTTGTTGCTGATGATGAGGATGAGACGACGACGATGACGACGATTGCGTCTTATAACGTGGGCCACGATCGGCCGTGTCGGCATAGTAGCTGGCTGAAGTTGAGTACGGCTCGCGTGAGCGATGCCTCTCGCGTTCTTTATGATCTCGTTCTTTATGATATCTGCAAAGACATCGTGGAAACGTTCATTGATACTACTTATTTGTATATGATTGTGGCTTCGGATGATTTTTCGTACTTATGTTAGGATTTGCATGCAGCAGTAACAGATTGTCATGCAAAATTTATAAATTTGTTTTCACTGCCTTCTTGGCGAGTATTAAAAATCTAATCAGATTTTTTACACAATTATTGCGTGAAAGTTTCAAATTTTGATAATTTTGTCTTGTATTCGTAAAATTGTTACTTCATTGCATAAAAGTAGCACAAAACTTTCTGCTTAAGACAGATAACAATAACAATAGAAATAGTGATATGAAATTTATTTTTGCTCATTTTATTTGTGAAAGTTTGATGAAATTAATAGTTTTGATGATTGGACGAAATAAACTATACTTTTCAGCTCATGATAATGCCATATTTGCTTTATATATTAGCTTTAAACACTTACTTTGGCAAATTACACTCAATACCTTGCTTCATTTATTATTCTATCATAGTTTTACATAATTTTGCAAGACTTTAACTACGTTAAATTAATTATTTTGATAATGAAATCAATAATTAAATTCGATGCACAAAATAATATTCATTGAATAATAAAACGTCATCAAAGAATAATATTTTGAGAATAAGAAGCAAAAATAAAAGACATTCTACCTTGCATAGAAAATAAAAAGCCATTCAAAAGTAGAAAGAAATTTCAAATGAAAAAATCTCAGTCAATGATCAATTTCTCTGTCACTCTCAAATATGCAAAACTCTGTCACCCTGGTCCTAAGCCCGAGGCCCTACTAGCGAAAAAGTAGGCAAAGGGAAGAGGTACGAGTTAAAATGACCAAGAGACATCTAAATGTTAAAACCTTGTTAAAGGATCCCCCGCTAGGTTTACAGTAGAGACAGCCTGACGCCTGTGCGGTGCCTTTTCACCGGCTAATTTCAGCGGTTAACTGTATTTAAGTTATTTAGAGAACTTGGAGCCATTCAAATGGATATAGGAAATTAACGGACAAGGGAGGGGAGGGGGAGATGGTATTTTAAAAATAAATCATGAAACTTTCTTATAGAGAATAAGTACGGCGGTCAACTTGAACGAGTACTATACAGCAGAAACAGCAGAGATTGTTATGTAGATAATTGCAGAAGCATGCAACGTATCTATGCCGTGCAGACAAGAAATGCATCGCAAGAAACCCGAATGCTGGTGAATTGGGAGGAATTGGCTGGGTTAAGAGAATGTAATAAAAGACGAAGGTTACATCAACGTGCTAAAAGAGTCAATAGACTTGATGCTGAAGCGTAGTAGGCCTACAAAAAGCTAGAAAAACTTCGAGGATAGTAAATGAACTAAGCAAAACTCTTGAAGATTGGCTTACAAGATTGTAACGAGCAACCTAAGCAAGAACAAGGGGCAAATGTGCCAACAACTATCTTCAACGGGTGAACCGCAGATTAGCATCTAGAATGAAGCATAAGCAGAATATACCTTCACTCTGTAAGAGCTAATGACCACGGTGAATAGATTTAATTGTAGGAAAAACACAGGACTAGATGGCATCCTAATGAAATATGTATTGCAGTTGGTGACGAAAAATAACCTCTTAGGCCAAGCAACAGGGCTTGAAAAGAGTGATTTCGTGACAAAAATACTACCTGGAAACCGAGTGTGCAATCGTGTGCAGATAAGTTGAGACATCATTGGTGTTATGTTTTGGACACGCAACTCCTGTCACCCTATTTGTTATAAACATTTTAAACGAAAAAAAGGCATTTTTTTTAGTTTTTTGTTAATAACTCTGCGAATAATGTAGCGATGTTAATGATATAGGTACACAAAATGTAGGTAAAACAATTACGAACAAAACTAGACCTCGAGCGACAAAATCGGATAATTAGGAACCGAGGAAAACCCGGAAAAGTGGCGAAATTTAACATTTATTTAAAAATTCATATCTCCGTCACTTTTTATTTTGTAGGACTGAGTCTTTGCGAAAATGTAGTGTTATTTATGTACTTCATGTGTGCCAAAAGCTGACGCTGTGAAGTAAATAGTTTTCATGTAATCGTAATTTCAGTTTTTCTAAGCGATATTTTTCATCATCTCTCCTTGCGACAGTGATTTTTTCATCTTAAATTTGAAAACGGTTTTAAAAAATGCAGATTCCACCCAACAAAACGTATATTCTAGTTTTTCACTTAAATTTTTGCAAGTGTGTGATAAATGCCGGGAAAGTCGACTAAAAACGGCTGAGCGCACGGAAACGTTCGAGTGGTGGGGGGAGCAGCAGCCGAGGAGAGGCACACATAGTAATAGAGGCGCGCTGCGCCCTCTTATAATTTTTCCATCTCAATATCTCTGCAACCATAAATGTTATCTTAACAATTTTTTTTTTATTTCGGATCTACTGAACTCCGGGAAATCAAATATTTATTTAGAATTCGTAAATAATAAAAGGCTAAGCATAAATTGTTGAAATTAAAAAAAAATTTAACTTAATTTTATTGGTAAAGAAATAAATGATTGTGAAAATATGCAGAGAGAAAGTATAAGAGAGAGGGAGAAATAGTATTCCATTGGAAGAGAGAAAGAGACAGAGAGAGAGAGATAGAGAAAGAGAGAAGGAGAGAGATAGATGAAAAGAAAAGGGAATGGGGGCTGGACCAAAATCCAGCTTCGTAAACATAATGACAACATTTATTTTGAAGAACATCGGAAAGTAATTATTTATTGATTATTTATAAATTCTAAATAAATAATTGATTTCCCGGAGTTCAGTAGATCCGAAATAAAAAAAAAAATTGTTAAGATAACATTTATGGTTGCAGAGATATTGAGATGGAAAAATTATAAGAGGGCGTAGCGCGCCTCTATTACTATATATGTGTGCCTCTCTTCGGCTGCTGTTCCCCCCACCACTCGAACGTTTCCGTGCGCTCAGCCGTTTTTAGTCGACTTTCCCGGCATTTATCACACACTTGCAAAAATTTAAGTGAAAAACTAGAATATACGTTTTGTTGGGTGGAATCTGCATTTTTTAAAACCGTTTTCAAATTTAAGATGAAAAAATCACTGTCGCAAGGAGAGATGATGAAAAATATCGCTTAGAAAAACTGAAATTACGATTACATGAAAACTATTTACTTCACAGCGTCAGCTTTTGGCACACATGAAGTACATAAATAACACTACATTTTCGCAAAGACTCAGTCCTACAAAATAAAAAGTGACGGAGATATGAATTTTTAAATAAATGTTAAATTTCGCCACTTTTCCGGGTTTTCCTCGGTTCCTAATTATCCGATTTTGTCGCTCGAGGTCTAGTTTTGTTCGTAATTGTTTTACCTACATTTTGTGTACCTATATCATTAACATCGCTACATTATTCGCAGAGTTATTAACAAAAAACTAAAAAAAATGCCTTTTTTTCGTTTAAAATGTTTATAACAAATAGGGTGACAGGAGTTGCGTGTCCAAAACATAACACCAATGATGTCTCAACTTATCTGCACACGATTGCACACTCGGTTTCCAGGTAGTATTTTTGTCATGAAAAAATCCCTGTTGCTTGGCCTATCTAGACACTATTGAGTGTCTTCAACAAATGCCGAACCGCGAGAACCTTTCCGACTAGGTAGAAGAGAGAGAAGCTTTTGATCTTGACATCCAAAACAAAGCAGATCTTATGGCCGATCCCTCGATCTATAGATCGTTGGAAACACTTAACGTGCAAAGTACTAGAGAGGATGATTCTCAATGGGTGTTAGCGACACCGTACGCATTACCGGATCAAGTGGAAACTATGTAATTATAACACTGCGTGTCAAGAATGCATGAAATTCCGTTAGGTAAATTCGCATCTACATATCTTTCCAGATAGAGAAAATATCCCATTTTCCTAATGATGTTGAATAGCTACCTCGATAACAGGAAACTAATGATAGTAATGAAAGGTAGAAAGCTACTAATTAATATGTCGATACAGGAGTATCGCAAAGATCAATAAAGAGCAGTTATTTGTGAATCTATATGTACGATGAATCACTGAGACTGCAACTTCCGAAGAGAGATCGCTAGTCAGATTGGCTGACTTAACACTACTCGTAATGACCGAAATAGCGGAGTTAGTAGAGGTAATGGCTAGCGAAGCTAGCTGGATCAGATTGCTGAATGGCTGAATAGTAGACTGCTACAGTTAACCGTACGTAAATGTGAGACGATCTTGGTGATACGAATAAGAAAATTAGAGCCTCCTCGATTCATAATTTCTCTTGAGAATGAGATAAAGTATCTGGAAGTATGTTTTAACATTAAATGGTTATCGAAGTACGATGTCAAGCAAGCAACAAGGAAGGTGTCAATAATTTGGACGCCATTGTCACGACTTATGCCAAAAGTGGGAAGACCACGGCCAGCACACAGGAAACTGCTGTCAATGTTTGTAGAGTCGATGTAACTGTATGGCGCATTGACATAGGCAAAGAGAGCTCTGCCAACATTAATCCGATAACAATAACTAATAGTTAACAAGAACACTCTTGTGTTTACCGACTATTTGGTGTGTCAATAAATAAATGAGAAGAATACACTGAAAATACAAGACTGATAAGCTAAGAAATACAGCATACGAGGAGGGTTCTCCTTTGGGACTAGTACAGGCTCCATCGAAGTAATACTGTAAAGCAGTGCCAGTGGATACTAGACATGTCAAGGAGGATTTTCGGTTATGGTTTTTTATCGTAAAATGAAAAAGTTTATATTCGATCGGGCACATTGGAAAATCCGTTACACAGTGTGACAGTGAAGTTGAGACCGTTTCTACCATATAAACAAACATTACGTGCTACGGTATATAAAAGACTTTCGATCTTTCAACTTCCCTATAAAAAGAATAGAAAAATAAAAAAGTTAAAAATAAACACACACACACACAGACATGCGCACACACATACATGCGCGCGCGCATACAAACAGTCAATCAATGCATTATATCAAACAAACTACACGGCACTACATTAAAAGTTCAAACAAACAAAAATCCAACAAGAATAAAATGCAATCTACACTACAATTTGAGAACGACAAAGACATCAACTCTACTTGATAGACATACCTCGGGGGTGATCGAGCCGGCGAGCGATACGGAGCCGGTTTGCCCTTGCGTTTGCGGGGCAAAGTGGCCCTTGGCGACTGGCTCCGCGAGTACGATCGAGATCTACAATCATACGCACACATTCATCAATCTGAATATAATGTCCTTCGGATGTTGCATTTTTAGAAATAGTGCGGATCATCGACTGAGGTTTTTTTCTAGCCACTGTATTTTATTTTACAAATTTCGCCAATGAAGTAATTATTGCAATTGTGTAAAAAATGTTCGCCAACAAAAGTAACTTATTGTAGTATTTTATTACGTTCCAGCATTGATTCGCCTACATTGTAGTACAATTATTTGTGCTACAGGTGATTTTATGCCTCGAGTCGAAATAACTTTTAAGTAACTAGAAGTGTATCATAAAGCGTACCGCGCACGTGCAATTTAACGACGTACAGTAATATGTTCCAAAACGACTTGACCAATAAAATAACAATTAAAAAAATTTTTTTTTGCTTTATGCTCGAATGCTCATTCTCCAACCTCGACTTCAAGAGCCAATATGGTCGTGCCATATTGCCCAACGTTCTAGCTCTCTTTTACGAATGGATGGAGTATCAGTTCCTCTTCTTTTTTAGGTTTCACTATGAAACGCCCAGTATTTAACTTTGCAATTAATTCTAAGAAATTAACTCTATATTCCGTTAAAATTATTTCTACAACTCCAACTCCAACTTTTTTAAGTCAATTCTATTGCCAAATGCTCAACTTCTGATAGCGACGCGATTAAAAAAATAATTTTTGTCTTTTACTCGCTCGTTATAAAAAAATTATTGATGGATCAAAACGAAAAAATTTGGAAGTACTCTTCATAATATCTAATTTCTCATAGTCTTTGACCGAATTCGATATCGACTTTTGTTTGTTAAAAAAAAAAAAAGGCAAAATTTGTAACTTTGATCAATCAAAGTCTGTTGTAAAGTTTCGAAAATTAAAAATTCCTTTATGCTACATTATTTGATGACATCTCGAGAGAACGCGTATCTGTTAATAGATCTTAATATTCATGAGAAAAAATTCCAGGAGCTATTTAGTAAATCTGCGTGGCATCGTAGCGAAGATTTTTAGCACTTTTTAACATTTGCATTAATAACATAAAAAATTCCACGACGACCTATAATTTTGAAGACGGCAATCGCTTTCAAATTTAATTAGTTTCATTCTGCCATAGAGTGGTAATGTTCTTCAGTTTTTTTTTCTAAGTTATTTTTTAAAAACAAAATGAAAAATCTGTGTCTTATAGAAAAGTACATTGAAAACTAGTTTTGTCTATTTCTAACTGAATTTTATTATGAAAAGAAACTAAAGAACATTACGAAACTTTGATACAACGAAGTTAATTAAATTCTGAAGCGATTAACGTGTTTAAAATTATAGGTTGCCATGGACTTTTTGTTAACGAAAATGTTGTTAAAAAGTGACAAAAATTGTCGCCGCGATGACATATAGATTCACTAAATAGCTCCTAGAATTTTTCTAGTGAGTATTAAGGACTATAAACTGATACACATACTCTCGAGACTTAATTAAATAATGTAGTATAAATAAATTTTGTACTTTCGAAAATTCAGAACAGAATTTTCTCGATCAAAGTTACGAATTTTGGCAATTTTTAGGTTATAATTTTTTGTAGACAAACAAAATTAGATATCGAATTCGGTGAAACACTATAAAAAACTAGAAATTATGAGTACTTCCAAAATTTGTTCGCTTCGATCCATTAATAATTTTTTTACAATAAGCGTGTAGAAGACAACAATTATTTTTTTTATCGCGTGATTACTCGAAGTTGAACATTTGGCAATAGAACCATCTTAAGGATGATCATCAGTTTCATACAGATCTCACAAAATTAAACAAAACGTGTTCTCGTTTTGACAAAAAAAAAAACAATCTTATCAAGAACTTACCGACTAATAGAAAAACTGCCACTGCGCGATCTACGCTTTTTAGGTGTGCGGCTTCTTGTTCTATGCGATGGCGGTGGCGACCTCGAATTGACAGCCCGTCTCTTGGGTGGCGATCGAGATCGACTGGCCGGCCGTCTAACTGGTGACCTCGATCGCGAACGTGAGTACGAGCGCGATCGCGAACGTGATCGTGTGCGACGAGACGAACGATGCTTACCCATGCGACGATCGCGCTCGTCTTTTTCCCGAAGCATACGATTGAATATTTCTAGTGGATCGTCGATCACTCTATTGATACAAATAGGAAAAATAATAAGAAAAATAACATTTAAAAGTGATTTTTTTTAACAGAGATTAAAAAATTAAATTAACCTACCCTGGTGTGCCGTTATGCATTCCACGACCCATACCTGGAGGTGGAGGTTGCATACCTCGATATCCCACTGAAAATTTAAATTCAATATTACGATTTTGCATTCTAAAAGTTTCATTGACGAGGAAATACTATGTGAGCATGCAGCTTTAAATTCATTTGTAAATTATTTACAAAAGACTTCTTATCAGCAGAAAGAGATGGAATAATTATTTGATCTTCCCAATAAATTTTACATGTATTAGCTATTCTAATGTTTTAATTGATAGGGACGGATAAGCCTTTTCCAGGAAAATGATAACATGATTATTGAATAGTTTTTTGAAACCCAAACCGAAAATTGAACAAACAATTAAAATGATAATGATAATATTATAATGTGATATTTTTAATTTGTACAGCTAGAGTAAAATATTCATAAAGCTAGTTAATTAAATTGCTCATAATGATTTAAAATTGTTTCTGTTTGTGGTTAACTCAATTCTGGTAGTATCAAAATGTATTGATTAGCAAATTTGAAAATATAGTGAAAAATGCTATATTTGTATAATTATTATGCCTTGTCTAAACACAGACTTTAAGTGAGTCTATTCAATTCAACATCAAATAACTATTTATTTGCTATTTTTAATACAAAATTTAATAAAAATTACACTATGAGTTAAATATAATATTCCTATTTTTCAAACCAAACAAGTGTTATTTATATTTATAATGGAATATAATCTAAATTTGAAAGTTAAAGTGAGACAATCTTCCAAATCTATGTGTAAACCAAATAGTATTCATCCGATTATTATACACAAGCCTTGAAATTAACTTGATACTTTGATTCAACACATTTGACATTATTTGCCAATAAGAAGCCATAAATGCAGTGAAAAGCATGATTTATTTTTATGCGTTTTAAGTATAAATATTGAAAAAATATTAGAACCTTGCATATCCCATTTGGAAGGAACGTGTGATCTGTATCCTGTTTGCCATTCGAAAAAGCAAAAAGTTATTCGTTAGTACTATGGAAATTATAAATATAAAATTTTGGTGCACAAAATTTCTAAACTTATGACAATAAGTCAAGGGATATTCATTTGTTTTGTATATATTTTTTACTCAAACTGTACAATCGTTGTGATACATAGATTTTATTGCATGAACAAATAATAATAGAAATCAAGTTGGAAATATAAACATGGATTAATCCATAGTATTTATAATATTTAATATTATTTTTTTTATGGTAGAAAGATTTTGACTTTTTTATCTTTTCTTATTTCTAAAATGGTTATGCATGAAGTTGTAAATAAATAATAATTATGAAAAATGAATGTGGTATTTAATACCAGGTCAAAATTGATTGCACAACTGACTAAAAAAAACAATATACTACATGTACAATTTAAATTTGTTATAATTTAAATTTTAAAAACTATACAAACCAAACAAAAAAAATTCGATTTAATAGAGAATTTTGTAAAAATAGGGAAAAAATGTCTTAAGTACAAAAGTATAAAAGGAAAATTTCAATCAAGGAAACAGAGCTACCACTTTCTAAATGAAAGAGTTGATGGATAAAAAAAGATATAATAGGAATATAAGTACAAGAAAGAATTATACAGGAACAGTAGTAAAGAATTTTCATGTAAGTAGTTTAATTTTACATCAGATTAAAAAATTATTTTAATTAGTTTTTGGTAAACTGTATACAAAAAAAACCCATGTGCAATGAAGACATCATTAAAAATGTTTCAAAAACATGACACATCAACAATGCATTTGACACGTAAAATTTCTGGAGAGGATCTACTTGCAACTTGTTGAATGTAAATATAAATAATGTATACAAAAATAAGTCTATACATTTTAACTTATTTTCTAACAATTCACTTCTTTCAATATTTTATATAACAATGCTGCTGCAATTTATAAAGTATCTAAAATGAATATTCAATAACAATCATAAGTTTAAAAATAGAAATTCAATAACAAATCAGTCTTGATAAATAGTTCACTATTCACTACTATGTACAAAACAGTATTTGGCAGTTGTGTAAAGACACAATAAATATATTTGTTATAAATATTAACTTGAGCACTTCACTAACATTTCAAAAACTTAAACAAATAACACCATAACCACAAATAGCAAAAGAAAACTGTTCTCTATCTAAAAAGAACGACCGCAAAAAAATTCAGGTAGAAAAAAAACGAACTATAAGTCGTTAATTTGAATTTAATGGAAAATTGAATAGTAAAAAACAAAAGGAATTAACAAAGAAAGAAAATGTTAAGATCGCTAAAGAGTTAGAGGAGAAAAAGAATGAAAATAATATGAAGCAACTTAAAGCATCCAGAGACAATTCAGCTCAAAGATAAAAAGGATTCTTCCAGCTGAAAACAATAACAATAAGAAAAGCACCCATCAAAAGAAAGTAAAACCACTCACTGTTGTGCATGCCTCTCATAGGTCTTGGTGGGCCACTGTAACCTCTGGGCGGTTGAGACGGTCTGTAAGGCTGTTGAGCATAGGCCGGTGCACGACTGTCGTATCTCTGCGCTGTTGGCGGTGGTGGTGGCGGTGCGTAACCGTGAGGCGGTGGAGGTGCTGCTGTTGGTGGCTCCGCATACATTGGCATTCGTGGTGGAGCCATGTATGGATTTGGTAGCAATGCCGGAGCGTGACCCACTGGCGGCGGAGCTGGATAAGCTGCCCGCTCATCGCCTGGTGGATATGGCAATAAGGCCGGTGCAGGATGCAAGTGCGGCTCGTCCACCTGTAAAATAAGTTTTTATTTACCACATTTGTCGAATTATTCATTTAAGCAAACACAGAGTATAAATTAAAAAAAGCAATTATGCATGAGTTCATCAAATGATGTTCTTAAGAGTTTAAGCCATAACAATTTACGTTCTTTCAATTTTTTTCATCAACAATTGTGCACAATCTATTCATCTTTCTTTATACTACTCTTAACATTCGATGAAATGTTTTTTGTTATTACTTTTACTCCACAACCATTACCATAATTTCCTTAACAATCGGTTTTTTTCTGAATACTTACCGTGGGAGTTCCAGCTCTGTCCTCGGTTGACCTCCTAATATTAGGATCATAATGAACTGGAGCCGGCATGTATCGACCATCTGCTGTCGATGCTGAAGGATGTCCCGAAGGTGGCGCTTGATAACTACTTTTGGGATAGTCGGAGTTGGGAGGCGAGAGCGATCGTCTACGACTCGGTGGTCGTATACCTGCCTCTCGTGAGCTACTACTACTGCTATGATAAGCAGCACTTCTGCGGAAATTTCAAAAATAATTTAAGTTTGCTTAAAAATATCTTTCTAGTCATAGTCATAAAAACTAATTATTTTTTTACATTAAAATAATTGACTAGTTTTGTAACAATGTCAAATATAAATCCATACCTGTCACGAGTATTATCGCGACTGAAGCTCCGGCGTCTTTCCTTTGAGAATTTGCCGTAATCTTCCTCACTGCTAGATTCTCGCCATGAATGGTCAGAAACCTTTTTTGGTAGGAGAGGTGGTTCGGTTCCAGGAGGTGGTGGTACCTCCGCCTCGTCCTCTCCAATTTTCAAGTCACCTGTTTCTTCTGTTGCTGTAAAAGAAATGTTATTCCATTAGTTTCAAATCTAAGTATAGGCAGATATTAGCCTTCTAAACTCTGGCAAAGAACCATAATCTATCATTTATTTTAAAATCCTTTTTAAAATGATAAAATCTCACCAGTTGTAGCCTTCTCGTAGGAAGGCGAAGCCTCTCCAGCAGCTTTATCGGCTTCCTTAACTTCTCCCAACGCCTGACTAGAGTTAGCCTGCGTGGGAGCAACAGCTTGTTCGGCGCTGAGTTTCTCTGAGACGCTGGGCTCAAGTTTTGACAGCGGAGGCGGTTTATACACTACTCTTTTAGCATAACCCGTCTCGTTTTTAAAGTTAAGCACGGCATTACGTAAGTAACGATTGGGGATTAGTGATTCTGGTAAGACGTCTTTTTCATTACAGTCAGGACATTCGTGTTCTTCGGATTCGAGGAGAAAGGTACGTATACACTCATCACAGAATGAGTTTCCGCAACATGGAATCATCACAGCATCCGTTAGAAGATCTTTACATATGTTGCAAAGAAGGTCCTCCGGAATTTCTGGTTTCTCCACTGCGGGCTCCGGGTCATGAGAGAAAGGCGGTTTTTCTTTCTTGCCTTCTTTGTAGGCTTGGCTAAAGTAAAATCAGTGCTTAGTTAGCAAAATGTTTGGTTTTATGGGAATAAATGTTAAGAAAGAAGTGAACTAATTCCTAGCGAATGATACTCACTGGTCAATGGCAGGTACAGCATACGTTCCACCAGGAGTCATCATAGCGCCAGGAACTGTTGGTCCGTCAACTGGGACCATAAAACTACGTGGAATACCAGTACTCTTCTTTATTTCAATCGGTTCTGAACCAATACCTAGTGGACAGTGTTTTATCCAATGCCCAGGCTGATGACACTTGTAACAGCGATAATTTGGGGGTACTTCACCTGTTTGGTTTTGACCACGTATTTTCATATAACTGTAATGAATGAACATTAAAATTAGCTTTATTTCATTTGAATCGTTACAAAAAGAAGAATTATGTTTATAAAATGTAAAATTTTTTCGATTTACTTTGATGGATCATAATCTTGTGTACTCTGTGTTATCATGGCACGGATCTTGTCTTCTTCAGATCCATCCAACCTGGTAAGGTCGACAGATTTGCCCAAAGTCCCTTCATCTTTGGTGGTATTAAATGTTGGTGCTTCAGCTCTTTCCCAAGTTCTCTTCTGTTGACTTGTTAAAGGCACTCTGGCAACAATTAGACTTGTATTTTTGGCAATTAAAATGTTGTCATCAGTGTAATCTGGAAAATCATATTAATTTTTGTAGAAATATACTTTAAAAAATGAAGTGTATCACATTATATGTATCAAAAACAAATACAAGTTCTGAACAATTGAAAAACATTCATACCTTCTTTAGTCTGAGCATTTGTGATCTGCAAATCAAAGTCCGTATTTTTCCCGATTCTCTTCTGATGGAAGATTGCCTTTTTTAAATCGGCTACAGATATATGCAACCCATCAAATGATACAGTGTCAAAGTCCAAAGTGGACTTGAACTTATAATGTACGGACATGGTCCAGAACACTTTTCTGAAATTTTGAAGAACAAAAAATTAATATCGAATTACTGTAACTTGTTAATTTAGCAAAGACTCAATGAGATCTTTAGCCAATATTGCAGGGATTGTTTTCAATCCAGCCATAATTATAAGCAAGAAAAGTCTGTTTTGTGTGTGATTTGAACAAATCAAATAGTTTATTTCAATCTATCGAAATCAAAGGCATTTTCATCAGAAAAAAACATTTCGGAAATAAATTATCTTTTCATGCTCCTCTACTAGGTTTAAAATTAGTCACAGTAAGTACTGAATATAACAGCCAACTTATACTAGAATAGATATAAATAAAAATTTATTTAAGAATAATAGATTAGCAATAGATTAGACTACAGAGGATAGAACCAAATTCAATGATCGATGACTCGTTGAAGGTAAAACCATACAAACCAAGAACCTATCCATTAAATACTGATGTACAGATGATCAAATAAGCCTCATATTTGGAAAGCATTAGCACTAGTATACTTACTTAGCTTTCAAGAAATATCGTACTCCAATAATAAGAAACAAATATACGTGTGTGCGTAGGTATATAGGACACAAACAACTAATAATTTGCGTGCAAGCAGGATTCAAACATATTTTCGAGTCGTAACAACTCGACTGATCTACAGTGAATCGAATGACGTTTTCCATGCATCAGAAGTAAATAAACAAACTTTCAGTCTAAAGCTAGGTCTATTTCAGGAAATGAATACGACAGAGCACTCCTCTCAATTCGTGAGCAAAGATTTAACACACACAACCACGCATCACCACGTTCTATGAAGGTCCGTTACACACTTACCCTATTCATCAGGATGGAACGCCAGAGAAGTTCTCATCAATAAAATCTGCTCGACTGTCCTACGTAAAAATAAAATGCGTAATCTTCACTAATATACGTTCTCGTATTCCTTGATGATGGCGAGGAAGTTCCGTTTATGCCAGCGTACACCCACGTATCCGAGCACGTACCATAGAGACTGGCACGTACTCAACGCAAGACGAGAAAAAAATGGCGGTGCCGACGCTCCTCCTGAAAGTTCAGATGCGCATGCGCTAACTAGAATGCTACGATTTGCTATTTGCTAATTGCTAAAATTTATTTGGCTTACCAGCACTGGCAACGCTTTATTTGCTATGATATGATACATACGATCTTAACGGTCTCCATCTCCATGCCTTTTAATGTCAACTTAGCGTAAGTCACGTGTGATAAAAGTGTTGGTGTTACAAATACGTGGATCTAATAAAATCCTTGGATAATATGTCTTATACCTCCTGCATTTGTCCTAGCAATCAGACCTGCCGTACGGGGTTATCGGTAGCGTGAACAATTGGATATTTTATTATTTTTTTACAAACTTGCGCAAATTCTAGCAATTCCTGATTTCTCGAAGCAGAGCATCTATTATACCAACAAGCGCTAAATCAGCTGTGATTATACATGTATATTCTGCATTACAGTCAACCCAACGTGGAGCTAGACGAAAGTGTAAGGACGCGAAAAGGCTAAGAAGAGAGTAGAAAGAGAGACAGAGAAAGTTCTATCTATTAACCAAAGATCAGCTTGCGATATTCCTTTGCAAACCGTCTGGCGTATCAAGGTCGTCAACACATTTGAATTGGTAATTGGAAGCTCCGCAAAGACTGAAAAATATGTCACGATTTTGACGACTGAGTTCCCACGTGTCGCTCCCCATTTGTTTCAGGTTGTGCATTTTTACATACTACAAGTCTATTTTGGTGCAACTGACATTGTGCAGCAACATCTGGCAACCTACTATTTCCAAGGTAAGTCTCCAGTGTTACAATTTTGTGTTTACCTACTTGAATTATGTAAGAGATGGGTAAATTTTTGATTGATTGCTTCGATACAGGTCAGCAAAATGTCAGCGAAAAACGAAACAACCACTGGCAGCGGCAACAATAATGCTTGCATCGTGTGTTATAAAAACACTAAATACTACAGCATTGGCATGTGTGAGCATCCAGTCTGCTATGAGTGCAGTACGCGTATGAGAGTGCTCTGTCAGCAGAATGAGTGTCCTATCTGTAGACAAGACCTGCCCAAGGTTGTATTCACTAAAGAAATCAAGCCATTTCGCTTTCTGAAAAAGGGTAGCCTTGTGGACACTAGATACAATATCTATTTTGAGAGTCTAGATATACAAACAAAATTTGTCGAGCTACTTGCTCACAGGTGCACTATCTGTGAAAACAATCAGGTATTCAGCTCGTTCAATAGCCTTAAGGAGCACATGAGAAGGAAACACGACTTGCATTATTGCGATCTCTGTGTAGAAAACCTTAAGGTAGATTGTATCATTTGCAAGAATTCTGATGGTAAATTCTCAGTGAAACAAATTTGTTAATCCAAACTTTGACCAACAGATTTTTTCTAATGAGCGACGCTGCTATACAAAACAAGAGTTGTCACATCACCGTCGCAAAGGCGACACAGACGACAAGAGTCATAAAGGCCACCCATTATGCGAATTTTGTGACAAGCGTTACATGGACAACGACGAGCTCTATCGTCACTTGCGCCGAGATCACTTATTCTGTCATTTCTGTGATGCCGACGGACTTCATCATTACTACAATTCTTATGATTACCTCAGGGACCATTTTAGACAGGAGCACTTCCTGTGCGAGGAAGGGAACTGCGCGGACGAACAGTTTACCAGCGTTTTCAGAACTGACATTGACTTGAAAGCTCATAAATCAAGTGTACATGGTAAGCAGCTTGGCAAAGCTGCTGCCAAGCAAGCTAGAACATTGGAGCTGGAGTTTACATTGGCACCTAGGGGTGATCTTAGAAATAGGAGGCCAGGTTAGTTGACCATTATTTTTTACAATATACTGATAAAGTATTGATGCTTCACGAATAAACGTGCGTTTATTCAACATGCTAATAGGATGATGTATAAAAGCTTGAATCAAGTTTCTCAAATATTCGATATACTTATCAAGAAGTCGATATATAATTGAATTTTTCCTGATATTACTGGTTTTGAACTACTGCTTATCTCTTTGATGCAGACTCAATAAAAATGTCAAATCAATGCACCTTTTAAAACATAGACATGACTCCGTAGATAACGCTATCACAACTTTATCGGAGATGACGTACGCCAATTTGTTAACGTAATTATGCAAAACTAATCATTGCTGACAGCGTTTGAATAATATGCATACGATAATTTTTGACGATGTTTAGAAAATTTTGGTAATACAAAAAAAAAGAGAACCTTTCAAAACAGAAATTCAACCTTACGGTAACGAAATTTCTGTCGGTGCCATGCATAAATTATATTGTTACACTCACGCCAATAGAATAATTAAATTAAACTTATTTATTTATACTAGTCGCAAAATCAACAACAAGCTTCCAAGTAACGCAGCTCTTCTCAGTTGTTCGAACGAACGATCGACATTACATTATCCTTCACTCTTTTAAGATTGTCGTCCCGACAATCTGAAAAAGGTGAAAGAGAGATAGTCTTCTTCAGGCAGGTTACTCCTGTGTTTAAGACCTAAGGACCCGTCTCTTGAATTTATCCTTCTTCACTAGTTGAAACTTGAAGTTTCTATGGAATTATCTCTTCAAACGGGTCAATCCCTGACTCATTTGGCCTCAGAACACGTTTATTTGGAAGTAGACCTCATTATGAACTTAACATCTTTGATAGGCAAAGTCGTTATTTGTGAGTTATCCGCATCAGTAAGTGTCGTTAGGTAACTCTTGTACTAGAGTGGGGTTAACAGTACTTGTTTGATGCTGTTGACTAAGATTTTCGTTAGTCGAATAATGCGTATCGATGATGGCAACATCCGCAACCGCAGTCGTAGCAGTAGCTCTCGTTATTGTATGAAATGATACTTTCCCCGATGTTAGCTGTGTTTTTGACGATTTCTCAAAGCCCCTCAAATCGAATCAAATTAAATTAAACAACATATTTACTTATGCTCAATTGCATAATCAACAACAACAAGCTGCCTATTAACGCAACTCTTCTTAGTTCTTCGAACGACTGATCGGCAGCATATTATTACAATATAAAAATAGGATTGAATATTTGGAGTATAAAGAAAAATGTTTGTACACACAGGCCCAATGCGACCACACGACGGCAATGCCAATTTCTCGCGTAATTATCAAGAGCCACCATCAATACCAGAAGAACCACCAACATTCGTACGACAACAATTGGTTGACGTGCAGAGTACCCAAGAATTTCCAACGCTCGGTAATGCGACACCGTTTTGTCCCATAACAACGCCAAAACCGCGAAATGTTACGATACGTAGTACCTTGAGACAAGGCAATTACGACGAGAATTTCCCAGCACTTGGGCTGGAAGCTTCGGGATTCAGTAGTGGCCCGAGTACGCAAACCACCAAGACATTGAATTTGAACGTAACTTCGAATTCAAGTCAGCCTACTATGACGAGTATTAGGAGACCGGCTGGTACAACTAACTCTAAAACACTGTCTGTACACGTTAATCACAAGTTAGTTTTTCATAATGAAAATCTACGTTTCATATCTTGGAGTGTCAGTCATTTATTTATTAATTTTTTCATAGACCAAATGGAACATTAACAACGAGGGTAGCCGGCCCGAACCTGCAAATAACTCCCGGATCTTTGCGAGATTTCGATTTCCCAACATTAGGTCGAGTTGATCCGCCAGCACAGTCTTCATGGACGAAGGTAACGGTGAAGCCGTCGGTGACACCGCGCAGAGAAAAAGTTGCACCACCACCATTAGCGCCGTCACCGCCACCTGTTCAATCGGACAAGGCATTCCCAAGTCTCTCCAAAACGAAGGCTCCTGTGACTTCCACGTCGTGGGTTCAGGTTGGTTAAATTATCAATACTTCTATCGCTGTTTCTAACATTGCTTCACGAGTGCTTATCAGTTGAACTTAGTGCGGATGCAGTAAATTAATTAAATATTTTTTCATTCGGTGGTTTCACAATGCCAATTCAATGCTCATTCAGTCATTGACGAGACACACACATACAAACATATATTTTTTATTCGCTTTAGATTTCATCAACGTCAACAAATACAAATAATAGTACGTCGTCAACGATAGACGCAACGAAAGGAAAAACTAAGAAGAAAAAAAAGCAACAGCAGACAAGTATAAGCAACGGTTCTGCCTCGAGTACAGAATCGAGTTCATCTACCCAAGCCAGCAAAGATACAACGAACAATGATAAAACTAATACAAAAAGTAACAAAGAGTCGGAACCTAGCAAAAAGGATCGCAGTAAAACTAAGCAAAACTCGGATAAAAGCAAGAAAGAAGAGACAAGCTCGGAGTCGGTTACAGTTGCGTCAACGCCACGAAAACGTACTGAGATCAAAATCGAGAATCTCAATAATACTATTAATGATAACAATAATATAAGGTGATTTGCTTACTACACACAGAATCGATATTTCTACTTGGTAGTTGTTGTAGCTTTAATTTGGTTGTTATGTTTCAGTGTCGAAACGAAAACTGCCACTACTCCGAAGCCAGAAGAATTTCCAGTTCTTGGTCGACGTCCACCGCCAGGTTTAACAAATCCACCGCCGGGATTTGGACCTTCTCCCACGGTTAATGTTTCGAACCCACCACCTGGCTTCTTCAAGCGAGTGAATGGCTTAACATTTACTAACAGCTCGGGCGAGAGCTATGCAATTTTATCCGATTCCGAGCATCACTACGAGTACCTGCCGCCGGCAGATTTCCAACGGCGGAATCAGAAACTCATCGCCGAGTTCAACAATTGTTTTGGCAGTGAGGAAAGCGAGGAGCTGAAAGCTTTCCGGTATCTCAGTGGTCTGTTTAGGACGGGGATTTGCGACGCCGACGAGTATTACCAGTAAGTTTTGTTTTTTTATTTTTATTGACTTAGTTTCATGCCTGATAATGTATCAAGACAACTTTAATTGCGTATGTATAATGCCAAAAAATGCTCCATAAAAATTATCGTGTTATGTTTGATTGTTATAAACTTATCAGATAAGAAGGAGTATTGCAGAGGCATTTGCGTGATGAATGACACTAACTACTTTTACATTTGTTTTAATAACTTCAATTAATACTATGTTGTCTATACAAAACGGGCCCTTTGTACAAAAAACAAATCAATGAATGAAATATTATAATTTTTTTTCATCAGACAATGCAGAACGTTGATGGGTGTACAAGCTTTTAATCGAGTATTCCCGGAGTTGTTAGCTTTATTACCGGATATCGACAAGCAGCGCAAATTGTTTGATGTACACAAGAGCGAGTTGTCTGGCCGGATAAGAAATCTAGACAGTTGCGCAACTTGCGGTCAAGTCTTACGCAGTTCCGACATACCATCACACGCAGCTAGTCACAGTTTGGAAAATCATTTCCCCGTACTGGGAAAGACTTCATCCATTGGTAGCGGCTGGCACCGCAAATAGTCCTGTAAATACTTGAAGCTCTATATCGAGCTTGTAAGCGAATCAGAGATTACCATTATTTTTTTATGAGCGTAAATTACATCATATTTTCCATACACATTGCCCGGACGTGTATTTCTAAATTGAAAAAATAAGTTTTTTTCTTTGTGTACTTGCTTTTTTTTTCGTTGTTTGACAGGATTACGCTATCGAATAATGAAAAATGAGTCAATTATCCGTCATTGGTAAAGACTTCTATTACAACTATTTTTATCAAACGCAGATGTCAATTATAATTCGTTCGGGTATGGAAGATGTGTTTTTTAGGTTTTCAATGAAAGCTTTGTACATATAAGATGACACTTTTTAAGAGTGAAGCAATTGGTTTGCTCTGAAATATAAATTATATGTATATACAAAACCATGGTTCGTATAGATTTTATAGGCAAATGCAACCTTATGTGAAAATGAAGCGTTTACAAACACATCAGACTGCAGTCATTTTTATCAATTTGGGAGCAAAAAAAACAATGAAGCACCAACTTCAAGAAAAGTAAATTTGAGTTTTATAACAATTATAACTAAATTACCATTGTGTATAAGCAGTACTAGAAATTCCTTTGATATGTACGTATGTTTCTCATTTTATATAGTAAAAAAGTGAGGCAAATACAAAAAACATTTCATTAAAATTAAAGCCTAAAGTTGTTTTGTTTGGAACATAATATATAAATAATTTTGTCCAACTGTTTTCAGAAATAAGAAATTATAAGTGAACAGAGAAGTGTACCTTATTAACGCATTAAAATAACTTTGCTGTTTTGAAAACAAAATTTTCGTTTATTCTTTTTATTGATACCAATTCCTGAGCTGTTAACAAAATGTTATACAGAAAACAGGGAAAAACATAAATCGAGGTATTTTCATAAATTACCTTTATTTCATTTAGTCTTAATAAAAATTGCAATACAGGCAAATAATTAATACTCGAATTTCACATACCATTGACCTAAAGTTTTGTTGACAATACATTTAATTTTTTAACTGAAATTCTGTACGTCCAAATTTTTCAAAGAAGAGGAAATTCAACTATCATAAAATTTTTTTTACAATGGATATAGATCAGTACAATATAATGCAAAAAACGAGTTCTAGAGTGACCTAATCATATATTGTTTTAATTTTGTAAATTAAAACGAAACCAAAATAAGTAATATACAAGAATCTGTAATCCACATGTTCTCCTGACAAGCTAGATGAGTGAAGAAGCGTGATAATGATGTTTATCTATTTCCTTGTTTATCATAATATTTGGCTTATGCACTATTTTATTCTTAATGTACAAACAATTAATCTTATAAAAGAAAGAAAAACATCAATACATGAATTTCATTGCAAGAGTGAGTAAAAGCCTATTATTATGTTTAGAATGTGTATGGAAAACACGTAAGTATGCGCGTGTATTCAGATTCTCCCCACCAAAACAATATATTGATTAACATTAGTTTTGCAAAAACTTAGATAACCAATGTACATCTCCTTGTATATTCACGAGATTCTTATTGTATTTTGACCTTTATTTGCACACTATATTTCAACATTTAATCCATCATACTCGAAAATTATTTTTAATTAATAATTATCCAAAGGCTCAAGTGCATATTAAATCATTTAGAAAATTTGTTAAGCTTACACTATTCTGACAATCTAAATTTGCTCTTGTATAAAATATATGCAATAGGAATGTTGCTCTCATGTTACAAATACTACTTTAATAAAAACCCATTAAATAGCTAACTTCCTCAGAAAAAGAAAGAACACTAAGAATCTCATTTGCCAAATGATTCTTATGCACTTGGCCTAGGAGAGGTAAAAAGAGAAGGTCACAACGCACTTTCTAATAAAAAAGAGTGTCCCTTCCAACATAGGGAATCTCCAGAACGCAGCACACATACACACATAGATGCACCATCCTACATCCCATCACTTCTTAGCCAGTTCGTTGCTCAACCAATCAAGGCCTTCATACAACCCATGACCCTGAGTAGCGCAGGCACTTTGGATGTACCAATGACGTCCTCTTAAAGCATTCAGGCCTAATTTGTCTGTTAATTCAGCAGCAGACATTGCATTGGGTAAATCCTGTTTGTTGGCAAACACCAGCAGCACAGCATCCCTCAGCTCGTCTTCTTTCAACATATTTGCCAATTCACGCTCGGCTTCCCCAATACGCTCGCGATCGTTGCTATCGACAACAAAAATGAGGCCTTGGGTATTTTGAAAGTAGTGCCTCCAGAGTGGACGGATCTTATCCTGACCACCAACGTCCCACACAGTAAAGCAAATATTCTTGTATTCAACGGTTTCGACATTGAAGCCAATTGTTGGGATAGTAGTCACAATTTCACCCAATTTCAACTTGTACAGGATCGTTGTCTTACCAGCTGCATCAAGACCTACCATCAGAATACGTACTTGCCTTTTGCCAAACAGGCGGGTCAACATTCCACTAATCGTCAGTCCCATTGTGCTCTGGAGTATGGATTCTACAAAACATAAAAGAACGTAAATAATGGTTTAAATCTAATGCAAAAACTATTAATACAAAATTCATGTTAATTAATGAATTCTGTACATATATATGTACATATACGTATATATATAACTGTTCTTAGTTATGAATCATCAATTCATATTTACTCATAAAAATAAGCAATTTTAGACAACTCTTGATCAACACTTATCAAGATTTTATGTAAGTTCTTATCAACAATTCATGTATTTCAATAACATATGGTCAGTATTGATAAAATCCCACAAAAGAAATTTGTATAAATAATGCACTTCATGCAGTATTATAATCTCACATACAACCATTATTAATAATCCATTAGTAATTCGAATGAATCATAAAATTCGAATAACACAGATCAAATTAATGATAGCTCCAAAATCGGAAAGGAAAATCAGTCGAAAGCAAAAAGAACAGAAAGTCTGACACAAGTGTCCACGTAAGTGTATCTAAATTCCTAAAGCCAATCGCGGATCAAGAAGCTTTGCTTCATTTACAACAAGCAAAGCAATAAAGTTTCATCAGTTTGAGTGAGTGTATGAATCTCAACTACGTAATGTATATGCTATTAAGGTTGACCACATATCGATACAAACAATTCGAGGCGCGTGATGAGATTAAGATTCGTTACTATAAAGAAATCAAAAGAAAAAAAAGGAAACACCTGATATAATATTTTCGCGACCGTTGCACCTGTCTACGCGACTTAACCTCAAAATAATGTCTCCACCTCGGCGAAAATCCAACTATCTTTAGCTAGCGAAGGATCCAACTGTTCACACGCCTACATTCTCCAAGTACATGATGCCGCGTCGTGCACCGCATAAGATAATACTTATGATCTAGCGCGATGATGATATTTTTTTGCTTACGTCGACGCTGAAAGCTAAGGCGTTGACCTGCAGACAGAAGGAAATAGTCGTCGTGGTCAATTCAAACAGGATTTCTACGATGATGATGATGACGGATCCGGCGTTTTCCACGCGAGTGATAGAACGATGTAGTGGTGCTTACGGTGTCGTATCACAGCTCAGAGATCGTAAAAGGTGGCAAACGTCATCGCGTGCGCTGCTGGCGTGGGCGGAGCGTCCTGCTGTAGTGAACCGACGGTACATACGTCATATATGAATAATAATGTAAGTAGGTAAAATACGTACACAAGTAAAATCAATTAAAAATAAAGCGGGAGGATTCAAATTGAAATTTTATATACAGGCATATTGATTAACTAACATATTTCGTAAACTGTTAATAATAATTGTTAATAAATAAAATCACTTGAATTACGATAAGGATTTTCAATAATTTGTACTCCGTGAACAAGACACCCAATAGATAAATGTCAAACTGACAATTCGCGCGTTCGCTTTCTACTATAGGGTGGTTATCTAAACACTCACACACTGCCGCATCAGCCAATAGCCATCGTCTATTCGATTGCGACAGCGTGCTATTGCTGGTTTGCGCGGGTTCTTTGAATAAAAAAATTGCCTCGATTTTGTTTTTCTTGACTTTTTTCCAGATAAATAAAAATTATATGCAAAAGCAGAAAATATATGACGCTCGTCTGGTAACTTTATAAAAAAATCAATCAATTTGTTTTTATTGGGTTACAACTTTACAGTAGTAGCTTGCTATAAAACTAAATTTTTAACAATGTTCTATACTTTTATAAAAAACACTATCAAATATCATGTCATACTTGTAAAAACGCAATTTATTTAGAACAGTTAACCATAATGACTTGCCTATAAAAGTAAGAAGCTGTATAAAAACTTTACGAACATAAACACTCGTTGGAAAGATCGTGTTTTTTTATACAAATTGTTTCAGTCTTTAGAATCTTGGCCAGAGTTTGTAAAAGTTCAGCTCTCAGCTCAAGGTACATCAAGCATTTTTCTACATTTTTTAAGGCACTCAATAAGTTGCAGCTGTTACTATCTTTTATACAATTGTAAACTGCATCCCAATTGTCATTAAGTGTTACTAGATTCTCTGCAAAATTGTCCATAGCTGATATTATATCGGAAATATGGAGATCTGGAACTTGTTCATTGATAGACAGTTTGTTTTTGTTACAATTTATTATTTTTGTCTGTAATTAAAAAAAATATTAATTAAGTTAATGATTTCCTGTATATTAATTAAAATACATACCATGCATACTTCTTTACTACTATCATAATCTTCTTCGGATATTGACTCAACTTTTGCCTTCAACTGAAGTAGCTTGCTCCTAATATTTTTTATTTTTGCAGCAAGAAACAAATAAAACTTACATATTTTCAACATAACTTTCTCTTTGTAAATAAAAACTGAATTTTTTCTTGGATCATTATTGACATGAACTAATCTATGAGCAAACCATAGTGTATTTTGTGTTTCTTTTATTGTTGTTGGTGCAACTGCACAAATAAAAGTAGTGCATGCATTTCCACCAATTGAATTCGATAAATACTTTGACAGTTTACTTTCTTCATAATCAATAATTTTGTATGGATCTGAAAATTGATTCAGCTGAACTGCAATTGTACTAAGTGTTAGTAATGAAATATTAATGTAAAAATCTTCTTTAGATTCCTTTCCGCTATAAGCTTTGTGCCCAGCTAAATCTACAAAATTCAATTGGGAGGTACGATAACCAAGTATATATGAATTTTCCAAACTTCTGCTTTCAATATTTATCCTGTATTTAAAAATATTATTGAAAATTCAAAAACTATGGTATTACTACACAGATCAATAATCAATGGAAAAAATTAGAGGTCAAAATATTTTTTACCTTATCACTTTATGACTTTTATCACTATACTTGTTAAGAAAATTTACACGTGTTCTACGATTTTCATTAATTTTTAATAAAATATTTGAAAAATCTTCATAAGCAGTTATGGTTTCTTCTGTACAACCTTTGATATCATACAAATTATCAAGAGTCTTTACCAACTCAAGATTAAAGTTATCTCTATTTAATAAATCATTTACTTTTTCATTATAGATTTCAAAACATGAAACTTTGAATACTGCTATCCGGCTAAGTAACAAACTAGCTTGATCAAACATATGTGTAACTGCCAACTGAATGATCCCATGATCATCTTGTGTACCAAGCATAATGTGGCTTTTTCCTGAATTACATTGTCCATATGCAACTATTGTACTATTATAACCATTTAATGCAGAGTGCACTGATCTTTTCACAACTTTTTCAAAAACATCCATGTTGTTATTTTCAGAATTGAACACGTAATCTATGAAATAGAAATCAATGAATGAGTTAATCACAAATGCAATTTTATTACAATAACTAGTCAAGTTTAGAAAGAATACTATCAATATGCATGAAATATTGCGTAGAAAGCATATATTTTGAGATATAACGACGTTTTCAGTAAACTTTCATGGATTTGATTCAACGTAAGCCGTCGATAAAAAAAACTAACCAAAGTGAAACTTTTCCAAACCATCGCGTTTCCTTTTCAACCTTTGATCATTCAACCTCTCGATATAACAATTTCTCGCATTCCACTGAATTTTTAAATCATCTTCTTTTTCTTTATCCAACAACGGTCGAACTTTAATCGCCACTTGGATTTTACTCGACATTTTTCAACTCTAGCTGCAGACCCTCCGACGGCAAGCATTTGTAAACAACCCACTGGGTACATATAATCGTCTTCCCGTAGCCATTTGCGATGCACGTGTGGAACGATCATTTTTAAAAGCTCAGCGCTCATTGGTTGTATATGTTTATATACATACATACTTGTTTTAATAATTTTTTTACACAACTAATTTCGAAAAACTTCGAGCTATATATTAACTAAATAGAAAATTTATGTTCGGTAATCTTTTAGAATCAAATATACGTCAGTAATCTAACATAAAACGAAAACAACTTAACAAATTAGTTACAAATCAGGGCGTGTAAATGGATATTTCATTTTTTCGAAATTAATAATAGTATTTGCATTAAAACATTTGAAGCCGTTATACGTTATTTTGGTATCTTACTACGAATAAAATATGACAAAATATATTTTCATAAGAATGCCGTGTACCGACTCTACATATAATACGTAATTTGTTTCAATATGATAATTATTAATATTATGTGCCATATTTAAACACGGTATTCTTATGTGTGACGAGTTTGTTATCTACTGAATAAGATTCAATGCTATGTGAAGAATTAAATAAATATTTCAAAATTAATTAGTTAATAAAACTTTTAAGTATTTAGGTATTATAGAATTTAATTCTATTATTCAAACCACCAAAAGTTCTAAATTATGAAAACAAAAAATTGAAAAAGCCATCAATTATCAAACAAAACAAAAAGTATTTAATAAATGCATTAAATAAATTACTTAAAATTAAATTTATAGAATTTCCAGTTAATAGATTGAATTTCTATGCAATAATAATTACGAAAAATTTCAAATCTTTTAATTTCCACGATTCAAAATATCAAAAGTAAAGTGCCTCGTGTATGTAAGTTATGTATAATACACGCAATGCGCTACATACATATATATATATTTATAACTGCTCGAGCCGTTAGACAATAGCGGAAAAGAGGCAGTGCGCATGCGTGAGTTATTTTACTCTCTAGTTACTACTGTCCATATAGTTTTATGATGGAGATAGAGACTATTAGTTGGACCGGGTTGGACGTTACTCACTACATTGTGCGCTAACAATGTCCATCACAAAATTAATTAACAGCAGTTACTTCATTGGCAACATTGACATTGTCCTTGTGATGGACAGATCTGCACTAAATATACTACGCAACGTCCAACTGCGCATGACCATCACCACTATAAGGGGGCTGCATATGGTTGGCGAAGTACTATTGAAGAGGAATGAAACCTCTAACCATCTCCGCGCCGTGCTAAAATAATGCACACTGTAGCCAGCATTGCTATATCGCAGCCAAGTACAATTGAAACAGAATAAAAAGTTAATACATAAGATTTAGTACTCGGGTTTATTTGTTTATGATGTAGTTCAAACAAAGTTATTTTCAAATTTACGTTCTCTTCATTAGGTGACTTCAAAACAGTCATTTTGTCACGCTATCTCTCATCCAAGGGAGTAAAGTGCTTCGCGCATGCGCGATGGACCTTTACCACTTGAGCCGTCAGGCGCACGTCACACAAAGCACTTTATTTTTTAATATAGGTGTGCAGAAAACGGGTATAAGTAATTATATACCACGCGCAAAAATTATTATTTTAGTTTCTATTTCATTCAAATTTTTTTATACATCGAATTACCTAAATTTGTTATTTGTGTCTATCTAACGTAGTGTTTCACTACAAAAATTGCTAAAGAATATGTACAAGATGTTTCTGACAAGTCTCCAAACAGAATTGTGTTTTCCATTTTTCCGGATCACCTAAAAACAATATGTTTATAATTATTGCGATATTCTAGTTTTAAGATAGTCATTCAAATCCTACCATTGCATGTCTGCTCGCAGCGGTGTTTTTCCTGTAGAAAATTCGATTTGCTGATTGGATGGTCTTGGTATGAATCTGTGTGCAAACAATAAATAAATTAAATATAGTTAATTGCGTAAATTAAACATTCAAATGCGACGATATTGCACGTACAATTTATTCTGAAGTCGCAAATCAATATTTTTCAAGAATCATTGTTTTCAATAAACTTTTTTCACTACTCGTGATATCACTTTTACGTAGTATACTAGATGTATCGCAATAAATAATATGCTAGTAAAGTACTAGAATTTATTGAAGTTAAATATATTTATATCAATCTACACGAATACATTCTTTATGGCATAGAATCCATGATAACTACTGTGAATGTCTAAAGAAAAAAAGAATCGAATAAACTTAATTGTTTATTACAAATACCTGCGTCAATGAGCGCTACAGCGAAAACTGCAAAACATAATAGTAAAAATAAACTTCTCATTTTTAAGAAAGAAAAAACAAAGACGAATGATACTCTAAACTATTTGCAAGAGAACATGTGAAAATTACGTCTACGCAGCTTCTTATATTGGCTCGTGAAGACTGCTCATTGCCGATTTATTATTATACGATAAAGATACCGCGGACGATAGCAACAGTTGTTGCGCAATCGCGATCTATTTAGCGTTCCAAGTGAATCATTCACTTTCCCATAGCTACTCACGTTATCATTGAAAATTATTTATGCAAGATTGAAGAATTAATTTCGTTTTATTTTTCCTTGTGTAAAATTATTTTTCTTCCGGCTGGTTTCATCATCAACTTCAGGACTCAAATGAATGAAACGAACTTTGACGATTACATCCTCGAGTACATTCTGACTCTTGTACGATAAACTGCTCGCGCTCAATCTTAAAGTAGAAGACAGCTTGCAACTATAAGGCGATTTCCGACAAGAACTAACACGACGAACCTTGTCTCAAGCGTAAATAAACCATCAAGCTTAATTGGTGCAATTGTCAACGAGATTGCGCTTTCATCAATCTCCATGGTGATTCAAATTGAAGCCATCGTTGCATAGGTGCAAGGAATCGAAGAAGCACAAAAGCTAAATGAAATCAACGTCACAGTCGCAATCAGCTTTTGGAGAACAATCGAGCGCCCTGAGCGATAACAACCTTGCACCGCTCACGCATCCCATTATGCTGTTACATTCAACGTTTGCAGTCTGACAAAATCAAATTGAAACTCACGTTGACATCGACGATGGTCATATGGTGTTATACGCTACGCTACGAACAAAAGCATCTACCTTGGGGTTTAACACACCTGTTCGTCGAGGCAAATTTGGTAAGTAACATAATTCGAAAAGGCTATCTTACTTACAGTTACTAATAATAAATCATAGTTTTCTTACAATATACCATCAATTATAATCTCACAGCGATCAGCACCATCATGAAAAGGTGTAGCGTGATAGACAAGTAAAGCGCAAATGCCTCATTAATGACATTATTGTCACAATTGATCTCTGCATCTATCGCAAGCTACCTTGACCGAAATAATACCTCTGAATCTTTCCAGTGAATGCAAGTTTCACAGAATATTGAAGTTTAGGCTTTGATCAGACCCTAGAGAGCGAAAACTTAGTCAACTAGCACCTTGCTTCCTTTGATTGTTGGCGATAAAAAAAAATCTAAAAAATCTGACAAAAGACAGACAATGGCTTTGTGAGATCCATGAGCTCGCCATCCTACTTTCTAGCAGAATATCGTTAAAAGAAAAATTCCAGGGAAAAAAGGAAGAAAAATGATTTTCGAGGTCAAGATATTCGTTACGTCAAGTATTTCCGGAATCTCTAGAAAGTATTCATGAGCACTTCTAGCATCGTCGATTCCGATAATACAGTCGAGTTGCGGTTTGTTGCAGTGAAGATACGAGCTGCCCGGCTTGATGAATTGCGCCGGATGCTTTTTTGGTTACTTCGAGGAAGAGTCTACACATCATAACCAAAATCATACTAAGCATTTGGCGTGTCCTGGCAGTGTGCCAATACTGTTGCAAAAAATGCCTACGGGATTGATCATTGACGTTGGTAATTTTATTGGCGAAGATTAAAAACAAAACGAAGGACTTAGTAATAAAATTAAATTAATTTTTTATATTGAAAACGTTTTATTCTCAACTTTATTAAATATTAATATTATATAAAACAAGCTTTAGTTTATTTTACGATTTTGAATATTTATTTTAGTATTAATTTCTTGGAACATCTTGCATTGCGTATAGTCAATCAATTTTTTTTTAAACATAGCTTTTTCTTCGAGAGTGTCTCTATGTTGTTATTAAATATTTATGTATACATACAGCGTATAAGTAGCAGTTTTCCTGGTCTCCACGGAAACGAAGTTGTGTAAATCACAAATGGATGTTACTACACGTCGTTGAATGCTAAGAAAATAAATTTCAGTAAAAAAGATCTTAAGAAATTATGCGAAACAATCAGGGAAGCTAGCAAATACCCGTCACAACGAACAGTTTTAATGGCTACATTAAAAGATTCTTTCACATGTTAAAAATAAAAAGTAAAAAATAAATCAAAATAGGATATCCACTTCTTATGACAACCTTGATCGAATGTTTGTAAAAGTTACCTAGTTGTGTAGTAGAACGAACAGATTAAGAATTAACGCGTACAGATAAACTTGACGTAAATTCTAAAACGAATTAAAAATTATTGGTTTGGTCAAATTATTCGACTTTTCGTTTCGGCTGGCAACGCGGTAACATCGTTGAATGAAGTGGCTCTACCGTAGTGGCCTCTTACTAAGGAGATCAAACGACCAATTATGGGAAAAGTACCTTTCAAACTTGGAAAAGTATCGAGATTGAATATTATATGTTCGATATGTATTCGACTGGTACCAAAAAACGTGCCGTCACAGCGGCAAGCGCGAACGTCTGTAGTGTGTCATGTATTCGCTTTAAAAAGAGCCTGCATGCAATAATCCCATTCTCAACTAGAACCTTAAATTTTTTCGAGATTTCAGTTTTTCAACATTTTTTCGAAGTAGGCTTACATAATTTCAATTTTAATTTATAGTCTAGTATCGTAGTTCGATCAACTTAAAATATAAACTTAAAAAATTTGGTAGATTATAAGTTATAAATCCGACGTTTTAAAATACTTATATATTTGTAGATTTTTGGAAGGTAAGTAGTTCACAAGCTCGGAAGCTAAAATCGCTTTAAAAGTTCAACCCAAGCACGAAGGTGAAAAGTTGGGTTGGTTACGAGCTCCAAGACCACTGAAGCCTTATGACTTGGCTTAAGGTTTGGTCCTCGAACCTGAGCGCAGTCAACTTTCTGCAGAAGTCTAATGAATATCACAGGCGGTTCTATGATAAAACTCTCCTACAAAGCGCGAGAAATATTTTTTCATACATTTAGTCACAACAGCTATCTATAATTATTCCCTACAATTCCAACAAAAGTAAAAATAAGTAAAATATTATATGATTATATTTTCTATGCCAGTTTATTGAAGTTTTCAAATAATATAACATATGTATGTAACGATCGTAGTGTGATGTAAAAATATTTAAGCATCAAATTTTTGGCGCGATAACTTGCACAGTGATTATGTATTTAACTATATTGTACTATATTCGCTTAAATTAGAGTGTTATTTACAATTGTATCATTCCATAAATAACTGTCTTAGGCTATGTGCTTCGCTATTATATTGTTTATTACGCATGTACGAATATTTATAATTCTTCATTTTACTGCGGGTTAACGTTTCTTCAATTGAAATACACGTAATCCATTAGGAATTTAGTTTAGTTAATGAAAAAAATGATCATAACTTATTTGAGAAAAAGGTTTTTTGCTAATGTATTCAAAAATTTTATAAATCCTGTAAATATAATTGTACCAAGTTCATTGAATATAAATTATAAGTTATAGAAATTTCACTTAATTCATTTGATTAATAGTATAATGGTTATATTATAGCAATTTACTTATTTAGAAAGTTCCTACGGCATTGTAATAGATTGAATACAATGATTAACTTTCGTTAGACTTCATTAACTCGTAAATTTTCTACATATTTTAATCAAGACGAAGATACTTGTCGTTCTTAATATAATAGTGATTCTGTTATTCCATAAATCAATTTTGTAAAATATTTAAAAACTCAATACAGGAAATTTTAAATAAAAATTATGGTACAAATTCATATTCGACTACAAATGATCATTCATTCATTTTATCACTGGTATTCGATTTCATCAATATAATCATCAATTTCCCTTGTTTTTTTTAATATTTGGGCACGTGTAGTTTTATATTTTTATACTAGCACCAATGAATTACAGAATTTTGAACGTCGGTTCGAATGAAAAGAAAATTGTATAAAACACCATAACATTCATTAATTAAAAAATTGATCAAGCACCGTTGTACTCGCTTACAATCAACTTTGTTTCAATAGCGCAGAATGCAGCTCATCACAGTTTCGATTGTTGTTGAGTGCCTTTCCTCGATATATTGTTGAAAGGTTTTACAAGTGGATAAAGTGGATGGCTCGTCTTGAACTGAAGAATATCATTAATGCGTACCGGTTCCTCAACTACTGTATGTTTCTGCAATTGCTCCTCGGGTGTGTCTTCACTTGTTGAACTAATATCTTGCGTTCCAGCACCACCTTCGGCAGTTGACACCACGTGGATACAAAGCTTGTGCTGTTCTGGCGAGTTCAGTTGTACTACATTCTGTAGGGATAAAAACAAATTTTATTTTCAATTCCATATTCTTTTTTAATTTCATTAATACATGTAAATTCTAATATTAATAATTATCTACCTTGAAGAAATCAAGTATTTGTTGCTTTGTAATCGTTCGCATATGGGCTACTTCAATATTAGCTCGATCAAAGTTATATTGCTGGTTAGCAATTTCAGCCCAATAAATTGCCGACTGTGCTCTCATCATTTTTGGTTTCTCAAGCCGATGCGTTGCCAATGATTCTTTGTGCATATTGAAGTCTTCCTCGCTCATATTCTCAATATACTCCTAAAAAAGTGAAATATTTTATAACAACACTATGATTTCATTGTCAGCGGTTCAGTCGACAAATCAAACAAATTTTCGCACCTGCATTGACTCCATGAAAGCATTGATTCTCTCCTCGACATATTGCGGATGTTTATTACTCTGTACGATAACACGTAGTCCTTGAACACTATTCTGTCTACGAACACCGCTAAAGACAATATAACCAAGTTGCTCCTTGGTACGTAGAATATTATAACAGGGTTCAGAAATGATTTGCGTAAACAGTTCTAGCAACACATTACTCTCTGTCGATTGCATTCCCGTCTGGTAGTAAATTTGTGTGCAGGAACTTTTGTGGTGCTTATTCTCGACTTCGTACAAAAAGTGGCAACCTGAAAAATTACGTTTGAATTAATCCTCTAAGTCATACCGTAAATGAAAAAAAAATTACCATTTGGCAGTTCGAGCTCTCGATACAAGACTAATTGTCTCGGCAACAAAGGAGTCAAATCTTTGACAGACGAGGTAAGCTTAGACTCAACCATTTTTATAGTTTTCAAAGCTTCAGATTTGGTTATATTACCGTGGATCAAACACTCGATGTGCATTTTACTCATGAGCATTGGAATAAATTGCTGTACTCTTTCCGCCGTTAACACTAAAATAACAATATAAATACTTTGTTATACAACATTTTTAATGAATGTTGCATTTTTACTTACTTGAGCAGGCATTCAAGAGCTCGTTTTTTATCCATACTTGCTCTGATAAAAGCACTGCGAGGTAGTAAGCTGCGTGCTGATACGGTTGTTCTGCTTCAAAATTTTTTAAGCCTCGGATATACTACAAATAAAAAATTATATTGTATATTTTTATTCAATTCTTAATCACTTGATTAAAACATTGTACTCACATTCTCTTTCAGAATATCAAATCTTTTTTCGTTAACAGTGAAGTTCATCATTCTATCCAAAATTTTTTCCAGCAATACATCCAATTTATGATCGTAGCCTCCTATGAGCAACTATAAACCATTAGAAATATTACTTCCAATTCAACAATAATTTAAAAAAGTACAAATTGTTGTTCAACTAACGCTCAAACCATATTTACTGTTATTCAATTCCCACTTGAGTCCAGCTAAATCCGCATTGTAAGCATACTCGTTCAACGAGTCTTTAAATAATTGAGCGAACATGTATGTCATATTACTACTCATTGGATCTATATACGCTAAAGGGCTGTAAAAAAGTATTTATTAGCTACATTCATGTTAATTACTTGATTACAAGACAACTTACCTAACAAAATCAAAGGTCATTGAAGCTTTGGGATAAAGAAACTCGTCGTCTTGCTTAAACCAGACTCTGAAGAGTGGATTGTCTTCGATAATCACAGGGAATTTATCCACCTTGTCATGTGGTTTAATATCAAACTTGCTTGGAATGAACTCATTTTTCTCGGGTAGATGGAAAGCATCATTCTCACCAGCATTACTCCACCGAGCTATCAATTCGTCGGGTATTTTTTCTTTCTTATATTTTGTCCCGTACCAAGGTTCAACACTATCTGCTTCATTTTCAAAAGCTTTTGCAAGTACATGTACTCTGATGTTTTCAGGCTTAAGATAAGTCATCACGTCGTTTATTAAATCGGGTCTCCATTCGCTAACCAGACGTGGTGCGCTAAGAACTTCTTCGATGGGATACTGTTGAAGAGATTGCACGGTCGAATCGACGTAATTACTTGGCGAGGATTTCTCGCGAAACCTGAAGTTCATTGTTGCTATGTTACTGTATTCCTGAAATCATGGAAAAGAAAAAATTATAATTAATTAGGTTTTTAGTCAAAATGTTACGTTATTATTGAATTATAAAATGTTAATTAGAAGACATTATATTGTACTTTTATAATATGAAAAATTAATTTTAATAATATAATGTATCCTTTTATTGGTGACATTCTAAGCACATAATTTGTTTGAAATTAATAAAATAATTACTTTGAAAATCCATTGAACAGGTCCTTCCCTCTTGAGCATGTTGATATACTGAAAAGTCATCGTGATGATATCATCAACGTGCAAAAGTCCTTCTTCGGTCAAATCTACGTTTATACTATAAAAATCAAATCCGCGAGCGGATGATTTTTTGCCTGTCATCAACGAATTACACCACCCCTTCTTCTTTAATTCCGACAGTAATGAACCTTTTCCCTCGTGACCTAATAAGTGCGACCAATAGTACACGGGCTGTAATAATTTAGCATCGTAAGTAATTTATCTTACTTTCAGTGAAAAAATTAAAAGATAAAAAAAATAGATCAATTACCGCCGCTCGGAAGTGCTCTTGAAGATCTGGAATGGGAAAAGTAATATTGAGATTTCTTAGATCTTTCACAGGTACTATAGACCATTTCATTTTAAAATGCTCTTCCATGAATGGATGTTCAGTCCATTTTGGAGCTTCTACATTCTTATTTTCTATGTCAGAGAACATTTGCACAATCATTTTTTCTAGTTCATCCAAATTTTCTGAAAATTAAATATTAAAAATGAATTTTCGACACATGAAGTATAAAAATGTACAATGTACAATTTACCTTTGCCAAGGACACTTAGTGACATGATATTTGCTGAATACCAGGTATTATAAAAATTAAATAACTCTTCTCTAACATTTATATTTTTTTCTTTAGGAATAATAACTAGTGTCTCTTTACTGCCTGTTCCAAATTTAGAGTACGGATGATTTGGATCTGCTGAAGATTTATCTAGCTGATCGAGTCGCCAAATATCATTTGGCAAATTTTTTTCATGCTCTGAATGAACAGCATTGATTTCTTTGTCTGTCACTGATTCCGTGAACAGAGGACATATGAAGAATTGTGAAAACCGATCTAGTGCACCTTCCAAACTATCAGGATTAACATCAAAATAGTAATTTGTGTGATCGAGATATGTCGCAGCATTACCAGCACCTCCATTTTGAGATAAATACGAATTATAATCGTTTGTTTCTGGATATTTATTTGTACCAAGAAACAGCATATGTTCACAAAAATGAGCTAAGCCTGGCAACTCCTTTGGATCACTTAAGTAACCTAAATGTAAAGGGCATATGTGAATTCAGGCTGCAGGATAGATTAATACTTTCTGATATTAAAATTATATTCGTAAACATACCAACATTAACATCTAGAGAAGCAGCACTCTTATCTGTAGTTGGATCACTTATCAGTAGCACTTTTAATTTGTTGTGAAGAATTAATCCTCTGTAATTTCTTTTGTCATTGTATGATTTGATAATATTATTGAATCGTATTGGCTCCTTTGGTTGATGCTTAACTGCTGAGGCAACCATATCTGTTGATTTATTTCTGCAAACAATTATATTAACTGTAAAAAAGACTGTTCTATTTGGTGGAAGAATAAGTACTAGACTGACAGTCTGGCAAAATCAACAAAGCATAAGGCAATCAGGAACAAAAGATTGAGTGTGCAGTGAAGAGGTAGGAAGTATTTTTTTCTCATTACATGAATGAATCAGATTTTTGTACCAATATAGGCAATGAAACACTGTAATCAAATTCTTACACAGTTGTACAGTCATCACGCTTTGAAGGGTCAGTACTTTGGTGCAACAATGACATTGTTAGTCTTCAAAGTTTGTATTGTCTTTTAAAAAACTTTCATGAAATAATCATAACTTATTATTAATTATATTTTTTTATAATTCAAGCATCATATTATGTAAACCAGACATAATATTCGCACACAACGTTATAAAAACTCGGACAGGTGTTAAACGATTTAAAAGGAAAAAAGTAGAGCACAGACCAAACAATAAGGTATCTTGCTTTTAAAACGTGCACTGTTTTAAGGATAAAAACATTGAGCCGTGTAAAGTTAAAGTAATGTTTCTCACGCACGCGCGAGTCAGCTGGATCGCGAAAAAAGGAAACCTGAAGGAAACAAGGCGCGAACGGTATTATTGACAAATGCCTCGCTCGGGACTGCTCGCCTACTGCTCGCTACCTGCCACGAGTGTAGAGCGTATATAATACGTACGTATATACACTAACTGTATGTGTCAGTGCTTAAGTACTCTATAACGGCGCTCACGGCGCTGCGTGTGTATGGCGTGTAATGATACAAAAAGAGAGATCTGATAATTATGCTCCAAAAAATGTGAGCAACATACCACACATTATGTGAAAAAATGATACAAATTATATAATGATCTGATTGATATTCGTTCTTACTATTTTCGAGATATTTAGTCTTAAGTCTTGCATTTCATTCAATTCTTTTTGAACTAATATTTCGAAAGTTGCTGTTTTGGTTAGCTTAGTTCCGCACTTCTCAATTAAATATTAAATAATAAATATTACATAATAGAATTTAAAAAAAGATTACTATTATAGGAGACATCACGCGTGTGTCAGGTTAAATAAGGTTATGTTATAGATATAGAAAAAATAAAATATTTAATGTTCACCTGGTGGTAAAAATGAAGGACTGCAGGGGAACTAAAACGATACGAACTCTCAGAATACGTCGGGCAAACATTTAGAAGAATACACGTGTGACTGAATATGTCTAGAAAACTTTCCTTGCCCATCGATTCCGGTAAGAACACCAACTATCCACCAGCACTACCACTTACATATACTTATGTACGCATACCGTCCATGGAGAATGATGCCGCCACATGTCTCGCCAATTCGTGTAATGTTACGATGATGTAAGCTCAAAGATTTTAAGATCATTTTGATACTCGGATTTATCATTTCAATGGATCGTGCGGATTTAAAAAAAATACTTATAAATAAATAGATTTTTTCTACGAAACGTTAAAATTATTGCAAATATGTATGTACAAACATACTTGTATTTATTTGAAAATAGCAAGGTGATTCAATGAAGAACATAAAATTTATTTATTTAATGTCAAAAAATAGTAAGTTTTATTAATATATACACATCCTGTAAATTGTAAGTACCTAAATTAGTTATAAAAAACATCATTGACGTATACAAATAGTACTTTATAAAAAAATATCGATTGTCGTCCAATATACATATAATTATAATTTTATATATTCATTCACATTTTTACATTTATGTACAAATTTACAATCAATTTCTCCCATTTTTAAACTCGAGCCACTGTTTTCTCGTTTCCAGATTTTTTGGACCCCAATGTTTGGACGGGTCGAACATACGCCTGAAAACCTGCGCCAAAATAAAAATTACAAATCCCAATATAAGTACACTTATGAGTTGAGTTTGACATGAAATAGAAATTTCGATCGAACCTCGCGGAATAGGCACTTTCTTTTTTTCAAAAAAGCCACCAACATCCAGATTGGAATCTGTAACAGTGCGACGGAGAATAGTATCCATCCGATCACTGGTGAAACAACAATAATCAGTTCAAAATTGTCACGTGATAAAATTTGGCAAAAGAGGAAAATAAGATATCAACCGTAAGCGATTTCCGGGTAATCAACTCCGTTGTAAGTGAGCTTCTTGACGCTGATAATACTGTAAACGAAAATAACGGTGATGATAGCGAGGGTGATAAATCGCCAGCAGAACGTCCAGAAAAAGCAAAGCCGTCGTTTCAGCATAAATTCGACGTCGTCGAGAAAGTGCTTGCTACCGTAGGCGTAAAATACGGCCACAAGCTCGAATATAGCAGGTACAAAGGCGATGAAGGAGGTGGCGTAGTAGTCGACAAACGTTACCATGAATTGACCACCCTGCAAAATTAAAGGGGTTGAAAGATCTTCACGTAACTTATCAATCGTTTGCAAGATCTGATTATGTAAAAATATGTTTAAGACCAGTTGTATAATTCAGCGCGTCATTGGATGAAGTAGATAACATTTACGCTGAACGATTAAAGTGTAATGAGATTGCCATTATCTTGATGCAGTATGAAAGAAGTGAGTAACCTACCGGAGTTACGTAAATGAGTCCAACGCAGAATTCAAGGAACACAACGCCACAAGCAATAGACCAGAGCTTCCATTTTGGAAAGTAATCGTGAACGATCGAAATGACACTGGATGCAAGCGCAGTTTGACTGCCAATGCCAAGCACGAACATCATGACGAAGAAGATGACGGCGAAGAATTGTGGCATCCAGCTGAACTTCGCAATGGCATCGGGATAGGAGATGAAGGCCAAGCCTGTACCGCCTCTCACAACACCGGATATGTCGTTGGTACCAAGCTCGTGTGCCAGGTTGCCGAGTATACCGAAGATCGTGCAGCCCGCCAGGAGGCTCGTGAAGATATCCAGCGTGGTCACTATTTGAGCATCCCTGCGAAGCGAAAAACAAAGACAGTCACGGATCGCTCGCTTCTGACGCTTCGTTGTGCGCACCACTCGCGCGTCCATATGCAACCGATCAATAGGAGAAGATTGAGCGAGCGACATAATCAACGCGCGATAAATCGACTGACCTGTAAACGTTATGATTGAATTTGTTGTGCGAGGAGAACATGGCGATGGCGCCGAAACAAACGGTCAACGAGAAGAAACACTGCGACACGGCGTTGTACCAAACCTTGGGTTCCCACAATTTCTGCCAATTCGGCGTGATAAAGTAGAGTATCCCGTTGGTGGCGCCTTCCAACGTAACAGACCTCACCAGCAAACCAAACATCACCGTGTACGGAAATATCGCCAGGAAATAAGCTGCCTTGCCGGAACTTTTCACGCCGCGTACCACCACGAGCAACACCACCAACCAACTGGCTGCCAAGCATATGGTCAATCGCCAGTCGGGTAAACCTAAGCCGTCGTTGATGTCGGCCTTCTCGCGCAACACCTCTTTGCTGTGTCGAGAGAAAACGACACGGAAAAGTTGGTGACGAATCGTGCGTAGGAAAAACACGACGATTAGTGGGTCAATGTGTCAAGCCGGCGTTTAGCATGATAATTGCGCGCGGGACTTTTCTCTGTTGCAAACTCACTAGAAATAAAGCTCGGCCGAGCTTTTCATCGTGACGTTGCCGCTGCTGCTCTTTGATCCATTGCGATTAGTTGAGTCGAAGCAAATATCTCCCCATTCCGGCCAACATTTCGACCACGGTAATTCCGATTGAAAACTCATTGCGAGGTAGAACATAGTCAATGCCATGAGAGAGCAATAGTACGATGCCAATGCTACGAGCACCAAGAATTGAGCAAATCCAATACCTGTACAAAGAATGGGTTTACATTAATTTAAGAAATTCTTCCAATGGGAACATACATTTTTTTAACGGGGTACACCGCAACCCGAAAATAACGAGTGCTTCCTTTAAAAAACTCTTTTGAAAGGTACAACAAATTTGAAAAAAAAAAAAGAAAAAGATGAAATTACGCCGAAAGAAGCTCGAACATACTCACCTCGAAAAGCCGGTACCATATCCCAGACCTTGATAGTCGATTTGCTGCTAAACTGTCCTAATATCATTTCGAGGAGATAGAACGGCCGGCCGACCACGGTTAAGATGAAGATGTAAGGTATGAGAAATGCGCCACCGCCGTTCTCGTAGGCCGTGAATGGGAATCGCCAGACATTGCCCAAACCAATCGACATGGCGATGCAGGATAACAAAAATTCTCGATCGTTGCCCCATTGTGCGCGTTCCTTTTCTTCTCTCGGCTGCATTTTTCACACAAAATAAGAATAATATTGCATCTTAAAAAGGCTACGCGTTATAATTGTGTGCCTCTATAATTGAATTGCATTGATTGACACACGACATAGATTCGTTTCAAAGCTATCTATACTCTTAAGATTTCGTTTCAAATACTTTTTTTTTTACATCGATAATTCGATATGTATCGTAAGATAATTTTAAGGAAAAGACTCTAAAATTGCAACGGTGTATACACAATCAGATCAATTACATCAATCTATTTATTTATTTATTTATTTTTGTGGAGTGAGATGACTTTTCGTTACAATAAATAGATAAAATTAATTACCGCTTTTTCGTCATTGGCTGGTTTCTGATCGACGTAAATTTCGTCGTGAACAAAACCTTTGTTCGTCAGTCCATTGCTCTTCATTACCTTGAAAGTATACAAAAACAAATATTTTTTTTTTTGCTAAGCACACAATTCAATTTCTATATTGCGCTCGTTCGATTTTTTAACGCTAAGTACGTATTTTCCGACACCTGATTAGATATATAAATTGCCTATGCGAAAGTCGTTCAATAACCTTGATAACGGTTTATGACTTTAAATACACATTTTTCCTCTCTCTCTCTCTCTCTCTCTCTCTCTCTCTCTCTCTCTCTCTCTCTCTCTCTTTCTCTCTCGATAAAAATCAGGAATCACTTTTAATTACAGTCGGGTTATGCATTGTATTTTCGATGACAGGTGCAAATTTCTTTCTCTTTGTTTCATCTTGACGCGGATTGCATGTTTTTATCAATTAATTAACAAAATTACTTATATAATTATGACTATATTAAACGAAGAGTGAGTTACTTCATGATAATCTTCGGTATATTTATGACTTATCTCGGATTAAAATTTTATTAGAAAACATATAGTTTTGTCAGGTGTTTTTTTTTTTTTCGCGTATAGTTTCTTATCACGATTCAAGATATATCGAAAATACCATATATCGACAGGAATAATGCTAAAACGTCGCTAAGGCAAATAAAGGTTTATTGACAATCCGCAAATAGGCTGTGTTTCAATTTTCAAATTTAATTTGCTCTTTCTGTGTGTTCAAAATCCGTGCTCACCCCTCGATAAGATAATTATGTTAATTTTTTGTTAAATATGGAACCATACGGTCCTTTATTTCGATGATTCGTGATTCCCTAAAATCAATACACGTTGAGACCAAAGAAATTTTCCACTGATAATCTGCAAACGAGTTTAAGGAATTTTCTCAAGTCATGTTTCTCTTTCCTTGCATTCCTTAATTTTGTTTAAATTATCATACGCGTACATAAACATTCTTCAACTAGAATAGCATATTTCGATGGAAGTAACCACGTTGAACAAAAAGATTCCACTAACTTTCCAACACTTCGTCCAATTACACACGCGCCGGCAGTGTTTTTAAAAATGATTTTCAAAGAAAGAAAATAAAAAAAATGAATAAATTTGCCGAAGGCCTCGCACTTATGCAGATAGTGTCAACACTCAATCTGAAAACTCACAGCCTCAGTCATGGTAGATTCCTTATGTGTTCAAAGTGTTTTCCGGAATAAAGACGTCAACGCGACTGACAAACTCTGCATTCGAGCAGAGAATGGATCAGACACGGTTCTCTCTCTTTTCACTTTAGTTACCGACGAACTGAAGTCGTTGGCAATAAAGATAACGCACTGATTCTACATTACGTTGCCGTGAAGGCACTTGAATTCTTCTTTGATTACTGCAACTCACAACTTTTCTTTTAATGAACGTCACGTGACTTTTTACTTTGTTGTGTGATTAAGTTCGGATTTGGAAAATTAACGACCGCGTGCTTAGATAAACATGCTTTGTTTGACGACTATGCAGTGGTGCTACAAGGGAACCGACTTTCTTTCCAATAATGGACAGTGATTGATTTTATGCATTACAAAAGTTGATCAATGTGTTTATGACGTTGTTTTTGTGCAGAACAATTCAAATTTAAGATTGCCATTTTTCAGAATAGTTGATTTTACACTGAATTTGGACAAACCATATGCATTATAGCAATTCGCTTACGACCAAAGGTAGATTGTGTAACGTTTTGATATATATTACCAATAAAAGAAAGCACGTTCCACAATTTACAAAGCACTCGAGATGTCAGCCTAAGATCGAGTATTTCACGGATTAATATAATGATATGAGTGATCGCACCCATACCACGAAACGTGTTAGAATCACGCCGAGCTTTACATTCTTAAAGGCATGTGTTGAAGTTTTTGTTTTTAATGAAAGATTATTTAATTAAAGTAAAATCTTGATTGTTTTATCGATATACTCGCAGTAAATTGGCATCAAAATTCATTCTGCAGCTCAAGTACTTCGGCGCGCGCAGTTGTCATTTTGATCATCTTCAAGGAAGACCGATGCAGCAACTGAAGCTACCGTCAGAGATTCCCGACTGTCCCTATTGTCTAGGAGTCAGATAGGTTCTCGTGATTTTTTCAATTCGAATGAACGAAATCAAGTGTTCTCGATTGTGTATTCGCTGAGTTCGTAACTTTTAAGTGGATTATCATCCGAGTGGTTATTTACAAATGTCAATCCATTAAGCCCCAGACTGATACTGGGCCAGATAGTATCAAACCAACTATGCCAATTACTGGTAAGTGGAAAAAAATGCACGCATTTTTTCCGTTGTCACTTGCGATTGTTTATGAAAAATTATTTAAACAAATTATGATAAAAGTTGTTATTTACAAAATCTGAGTTTGACCATCAACTCTACGGGAAAAATTATGAAGAAAACCCGTGAAACATTTCTTCGTCAAAGTTGAATTTGGTAGTATAAAGCCATTATACAACCTAATTACACTTTTCAATTCGTTTGGATATATAATTTTATTTTAAAAAACTTTGATATGGTTTTACAAAGAATTCATTGGTGTAATGCTTTGAACAATGATGCATTTTCGAGACCGCTTACGGCGCAACAGTATGTACAATGTATGAACATTAGCCGCCATTATTATTGCGGCTAATGTTCATGCATTAGTACGATTTTCTGTACGCTTAAAAACTTGATTCGATATCTTCGTTTGAGAAATTCAGTACTTTATGAATAATGAAAATGTTATGTTTGAATTAAAAATTTTGCGCTCACGGGGGACTCTTGTTTGAACTTGTTTATAACAAGCAAGCTAAATCATTCGTATACGTTCCGAATCGACTGGCCTTACGCGGTCTGCGCAATCGTTCTGTTCTATCACGTAAATTATAATATTAGGTGAAACCCAATGGACGATTTAGTTAATTTACAAGTGTTCATACTTAGTCATAAGAAAACAAAGGAAAAGAAACTCACAAGCACCGGAAATAACCGAGAAATATGTCTTTCACAATAAATACCTCGTTGTTCATTTTGCAACTGTATGAAAGAAAACACTCATCAAAATAAATACCATAATAATGTGTCATTTCAAGGGAATGAATAAAGACCTAAGAGAATTGTTTATGTTGACTAAATATTATATTTAGTAAATTATAACGTTCTTTATATTATGGAATAAATCTGAATTCTTGTTGTACAATATTTATACATATCACGAAATGAAATTTCTTTTGTGCATGGTTATTACTTAAGATTAACAATTTTTTTTTTCTTAAAAAAAATCGGAGTCTCAATCCTCAATAGTAATGGAGGTGCTCTCGTAAGTGCCATCAGTGGTGTCGGAAAGGCATCACTGCCGTACGAAAATGACATTTTTCTTTGTTTAAAACACGCTAAAGCGTACGAAGAAAATGTTTATTTATCGAAAAACCTAAATTCAACATAAATTCGTTTTAAATTTGTTAATAATAATTAATTGACCACTCGAGCGATATTCCGCCTCAAAATTTTAAATTTAGCGGGTCAAAATACGTAAGAAACACTTGATTACGTTCATTGACTCCGCCCGGTTTCTACACTGTATACGGTGCACTCACACCCCCGCGTCACTTCAATTCTTTTCGTTTTTCTATCATTTAAATCTTATGTAGCAATCATCCGAATCTTAAATTAACCTTATCTCACTTAGATTTCTTTATTTCTTCACGTGATCCCTGGACAATTGGCTTCATTTTTAAAGTCTTCTTGAGCAAATAAATTTAACTCGCAATCATAAATTTCTGCTTAACGTAATCGAACAGAAAAGAAACTCAGATACCCAGCATTCATAAATTGAATTGATTTTAATTTTTTTTCGACACTCCTTGCGCAAAGTGCGTTTTTCCCACACGCTCGGCAATAAACGTGCGTTGAAAATCGCACTTTCCACACGTCATATAAAAAAATACAGTACTTGTATCGTAATGTACTATTTTCATTTAAATGGGTCGCTTTATAATGAACTTTTATTAATCGTGAAATTGAAGCGTGCTTGCATTAGCATTGAGCTTTCATTAATTTTAATATCAAAGCTCACATTGGAATGTTAGTTCGCAACAACAAATGGATTTAAAAAATAAAGAAATGATTCTCTCTCTTTGTAAATATGCGAATTCGAAACAAAAGCGTACAAATCAAACTCGTGCAAAAGTTTGGATAACCTGACAGACATTGAAATAAATCGGGCCACCTAAGTTAATCGCTTGAAGATACGAAATTTATCGAAAGGTGCGCGTGTGAATGCAGCCAGGATGACGGAAGCAACAAGACGATTTTTACTCTCGCGCAACCTGCCAACTGACTTTGTTGAAGAAATCGTGGAGAAGGGTATCACCGATGACGTTGTCAGGTTATACGGATATTCACGCGACAGCTGCTCTTTTCGCACGAGCTCCAGAACATTTTAGTCCTGGCAACTTTTCGGAAGTTGACCGTATTGATTGCTTTCTCGTCAATCGAGATGAATTGATCAGCTCTCGTCGTTTTTATTTGTCACTGGAGAAAGTCCATTGCCATGCAAACGTTCACGAGATCCTTAACATAAGCAACAACAATTTTGCCAACAGGAAATTAGAATGCAAAGGATTCTCTTACGAAGACATTGTCAACATTTGCAAAACTCTCAAAGAATCGAAAAACTCTTGCCACTGTAAGTATCTTGTAAATTGGAAGCGCGAGCGAACGAATATTCAGTTCCTTGGGTAGGTTCGTCGGACAGCGAGGAGACAACGAAAGCGAACGTGGAGAGCGATTATTTGCGAGCGCACTTTGGCAGAATTTTGCCGATGGCGTTGAGCGAAATCGTCGTTAAGCGGCCGCGCGAACCGATCGCGTATCTCGGCCAGTGGCTTCTCCACTACAGAGTGATTATTACGCCGAATGCAATTACGTTCAACGTTAATTTTAATTCGATTGTGCGTAAAATAATTGTTCGATAAAGGAGTGTGACGAGCGCGAGCGACGCAGAAAAGAATTCGAGGCGGAACTTCTCGAGGAACGTGCCAAATATCCTCAACCAATTTGCGTTTCGGTAATGTTACCAAACTCTAAGGTAATCGCAAAAATTTTTTAAATAATATTCTTAGCAGACGCCACAATCGGACGACGGAGAAGAAGAGGATGAGGGACACGAGACGACCGACTAACAACGTCAGTAATTATTGCTTAGCTATTAAAAAGCATTTTTGGTACAAAATGTATCATCAAATATCTCTCTCAGTCGAGCTTAGCCTCGCAACCAAAGAGAACGTAGACAAACTGTTTGAATCTCGTGGCAGTGCGCTTGTCGCGTGTCAATTTTCGCGACTCTTTGAATCGTCGCCAAGCTACGAAGTTCGTCTCGTTCGCTGGTCCCCAATCGTCGCTCGGCTTCAATGACTCTAACAGCATCTGAAACAAAAATACGCGGTTCGATAAATTTTGCAACGTGCAAAAGTATAAAAATAAAAAATTTAACATTACCTCCGGAAAACCAAATTTCCTGTTCGACCACACGGTGTAGCAGCACCAAAACGGTAACTGCGCCACTCCAAACGCAAGAAGCATCCAGCCAACCGCTACACATCAACACAATTAGCGCACCTGCGATATCGAAGAGAAAAATCAACCAGAGAGCGTACCATGCGCAGTCGGTGGATATTCGATGCCAGCGTAAGTGAGCGGCGTGAGATTAGCGACGGTGTAGACGAAGATGGTAATGAGGAAGATTGGGGTGACGAGCGCCCAACAAGCGCGCCAGTACAGCGTCGGACGCTGTCCGAGCATGAATTCCGCGTCGTCCAGGAAGTTTTCCAAGCCGTAAAGCCAGAACAGCCCGGTAACCTCGAGACTCGCCAGCACGAACACCACGAACGACGCGGCGTAGTAATCCACCAGGCCCAGGATGAATTGACCGCCCTGTTATTAAATTAATTTGGGCAATGAGGTCTCGCCGACGGCCATGTACACCACTTGCCGCGAACAATCGATCGCTTTAGCCCGCTCATGACGTTTTCGTATACGATGTAGATTGCCAATTAAACGCAACTCCTCGCGCGAAAGCTTCACTTTATGCGCCAATCTTCAACGCAAATTGAGTTCTCCAAATGGACTTCCGATATTGCGTATATATTCGTTGGGTAGCTTTCAATTGTTATACTATGATTCTTAATTGACGTGATTGGTTGCGAATATATTACAAATTCCATGAACAAAGTACCAAAATTCGACGCAGGTTTTTTCAGTTGTTCAAACAGCTATTTTTTGCCGAGTTCTCATGACGCATGCATATAATTTTTAAATTTGATCAATTAGTGGAAAGCGCCCACTCGAAAATAATCAGGTCGGTCATGACCCCACCCTCTTGTGACAGCTGTCTTGTTTTTAATATTGCTGACACCAGTAATAATATAAACGTAATTATTTTAACAATTATACTGAAATTTAATAGAAAAGAACAACTTAAACAACAATCGTTAATCTTGATTCAAATGTGGATTCTGGAAGTTAAAATACGATAGAAGCAATTTTGTGCTTTATTTTCTTCGCGATCCTTGCACAACTTGGCAGATTTTTCAAAGCTACCTAAAAATCGAAATTTTCGTCAGAAAGTAATATAAAATGCAGTTTCTAACATATATAGGTCTGGTAGATTGGAATAGGAAGTTGCATTAATATGTTAACATTTTGCATTGTTCCTGATTGATTTTAGAACTACCATACGCAAAAAAGATGCGATAACTGTGCCGTCTAGATAATCCCAGGTTCTCAATATCCCATAAAATGATAAAATCGAGAATGAATGCTCGCGATATGAAGGTCGCACGAAGCGCTGCGAATGATGGCTTAATTTCATGGAATTGCTCGCCTAGAAACAGCAGGAAATTGTTTGATTGTGTTACCGAACGAAAAAATAAAGAATGAGAAAGAGAGAGAGAGAGAGAGAGAGAGAGAGAGAGAGAGAGACAGACAGACAGACAGACAGACAGACAGACAGACAGACAGACAGACAGACAGACAGACAGACAGACAGACTGTACCGGTGTGCAATAAACCGTGCCGACAGCAAAGCCGATAAGCGTCGTGGCGATTGCAATGTGACAGTGCTTCAAACTGGGAAACTGGTCGTTGATAATGCTGATTATACCGCCGGCTAAGGCTATCCCGCTTCCTATGCCGAGTATGTAGAGCATCAGAAAGAACAGCACGGCAAACAACTGCAGCGAAAAAGAAAATACTCATTTTTAAACATTTCGCCTTTTCCATTCTTTCCGGCCTCACCTGTGGCATCCAAGTGAATTTAGCAATAGCATCGGGGTAAGAAATGAATGCCAAGCCCGAGCCCCCGCGAACGACGTTGGCGATGTCGTCGGTGCCCAATTCGTGCGCCAAATTGCCCAGAATCCCAAAAATGGTCAGTCCAGCCATCAAGCTTGTCAGTGTGTCGAGCGACGTCACCACTAGCACATCACTGCGGACACACACGCAGCGGGAGTTTGTTTTTCTATTAAAAAATCTCATCGCTTTGTGCCCGTGGCACACGCTCACCGATAGATGTTGTGTCGGAAGTCATTGTAAGACGCGTAAGTGACAAGTCCGCCGAAACATATGCACAGCGAGAAGAAGCACTGCGTGACAGCCGCGTACCAAACCTCGGCGTACGCGAGCTTCGACCAGTCGGGTCGAACGAAAAACAGGATGCCGTTGATCGCGCCGTCCAAGCTCATGGCGCGCACGAGCAAGCCGATCATCACGACGTAAGGGAAGAGAGCGAGGAAGTAGGATGCTTTGCCGCTGGAGCTCAGCCCACGAGCCAGTACTGCTAGTATGCACAGCCACGCGGCCAGCAGGCAGAGAGTCAGGTGCCAGTCGGGCGCGCCGATGCCCTCGTCGATGTTCGCTTTCTCCCTCAGGACTGCGCGGCTGCGAGGTATGCTCGGCGTTAACGTGGCGAACCGACGGCCGCCAGCTTTCACGGGCGCACACTCACGTGAAATACAACTCGGCCGGGCTCTTCCGCGACGTGGAATTGCTGCCGTTGCCGGGGCTGCGCGTGGAGTCCACGCACACGTCCGCCCACTCGTCGAGACACTTGGCCCACGGCAGGTCCGCGCGAAAGCTGTCCAGCAGATATCTGAGGGTGAGCGACATGAGGGAGCAGTAGTAGGTGGCCACGGCGATCATCGAGAACATTTGCGCCCAGCCGACGCCCCTCAGTATCGGCGCGCACGACCACAGCTTCACGCACGAGCGGCCGCCGAACTGGCCGACGATCGTCTCCATGTAGTAGCACGGCTTGCCCACGAGGAACAGCACCACGAGGTAAGGGACGAGGAAAGCGCCGCCGCCGTTCTCGTACGCCGTGAACGGGAAGCGCCACACGTTGCCGAGGCCAACCGACATGGCGATGCAGGACATCAAGAATTCCATGCCGCTCGACCATCGCTGCCGGTCATCCTTGCTGAATTTCGCCGGCGGCTGCGACAGATTGGCGCGGCTTTTCATTCGACGCCCGCTCGCCAACAAAAGCCTGCGTTGCTTACCCCTTGAGAACTCGGTTCGTCGATCGCTATGTCCCGTAGTTCGACGTCGTCGTCGGCGGCGAAACCGCGATTGCTCTGCCCTGCCTGTAAGAGTTGTGGTCCTGATTACGGCCTCGCTGGAATCCCTCGGAACCGTACAGGGAGACGCTTCGGCGAACAATCGAACGTAACGAAAACAATGCAACTCGTTTTTCTTTTTCTCTCCTTTCAGTTCTCACGGCGACCAAGCCTGACTTGCACGTGACATACTTTACGGAGTATAATTATTACATCGCTGGGACAAATACGGCTTTAACGCCGTGCACTCGAGACAGCTTCACCGAGCACAGAGTTATAAGTGTCGAAGGTCTGATAATTAGCGAAATTATTCGCATCATCCGAGCATGAAAGTCCGCTTCAGTTTAGAAATTGTTCGATTGCTCGCGTCACGGTTGGTTAGCCATGGTTGGTGGAGCGAATATCTTCGTGTCGTAATCGGCTTTTAGGGGACCTCAACGTCCGCTTCCTTACTGTGCGCCAGCAAGCGTCGGACTATCGCGGCTTCCAAAGATAGCCATGTGTCCTATCGGCAGGTGCTCGGTACGGACGCTCCCCTCTGTTTCTGCTTTTAGCCGCGCTTTCGGCGCGCACGCATTTCGAACGAAGCCATCGGTGACCACTGTCGGCTCTGTGCTCCGTTCGCGACCCGCAGCGGCTCCGTTGGTTACGTAATGAAAAAAAAAATAGAGACGTTTTGCGCACAGCATTGTTTCATCCGTGCACGGAAACACAGAGCGTAAAAAATTAGTTTCGTTAGCGTCGTAAAACCACGCATTCTGTGACAGTCGTAAAAATTGAGATTAAAGTCAGCGATATAAATTATTATCTAAATCTTCGCTCGAAGGTCGCGTGTGGATTGCGATGTCGGAGCAAACAAAATAGAAAAAAGCGGAAAGATCCTGTATGCGATCGCGTGTGACAGCGTCGCGCTTAATTCGTACCTAAACTACTTGTTACTCGCGCTATCATTATTTTTTGCTTGCGAGCTTGTCGGTTGTTGAAGATATGTTTGTATATTGATTGAAATGAAGATTGATAATACGAGTACATTACGTGCCGTGTATGAAAGTGTATAAAATTCACTCTTCCCTTTAAAAAAAAAAAAAAAGAAGAAAAGATTACTGATAAATTTATGTATGAATATAAAGACATTTTTAATTTTTTCCGAGCAAATTCAATTTAATTTTTTTTTTTTTTTGAACACCAGTTTCGCATCCGTTTCTTTCTTTCAAGCTCATAAGGTAATCCCTTTTTTACTCTATTACAAAACCAAAACAATCTGAATTTTCCGAAAACTTTCCTACTTTTTTAAAATAATGTAATATTTATGCTTCAACATAAAATATAAAGCTGCCGAGATAAGTATGCGTATAGTATCATAAAAGTCGCGATTACTGAAAGGATGGCAAATAATTTGTTTAACACTGACAATAGACGTAATACGTCACTCATTAAGTAGTAAATTCCTCTACAATTTGAGTATTAGCACTTTGACGAAATAATATTACCTTAAAATTCGCCATTTCACTAAACTTGTCGCATCGATTTTCTCATCGTCATCCGAACGCACGAAAGAAGTCACGAAGCGCTCGACGCGAGCCACGATGATAGACTGCGTGCGAGGAAACTCGAGTGGAATTCATGACTGTATTTTTCTTTTTATTGCAACAGCGTTTGGCAAATTGTTACCGTTCTATGCGACACTTCGTTGGTCTTTTTTTACTCTTTAAGTGCAGGTAAGCAGTAAAAATCTTCGCTTTTATCTTCTCGTTTTTCCTTTTACTTTTTTTTTTGTTTTTGGAAGCTCCTGAATTGTAGACACAGAGGAAGCATATGGAAATGGTTATTTGCTTTGAACACAAGACTGACGACCGTAATTGTCTAAACTATTGCTCGACGGACAATTTCGAAAGACCGTATCCATTCCTGTGCATTTTTTTCGAAAAAAAAAAGCTGAATGACGCGTCGTCGAAGTACAACGTCGCTGTGGCTTGAAATTGAACACTGACGCATCGCGAGCAAACACTGGGGGGGTCATTGTCGCGGTGCGTTCAATTTAGCGGGTGCACGAGACATCGAGAAACCCCGATTGATTTTAGCTAATTGCTGCGAGTGTGGCGCGCTCGTTGGGTCACGTACGTGCGTCAAGTAGACGCGGACGAGTTCGGTCGGACTTGTGTAGTAAATTATTATGAACTGTCATATACCAAATTATTTTCTACTTTGAAATGAGTTTGCGAGTCATTTGCGCTAAACTACGTAATGAATTTCTCTCCTAGATTACTCAAATTTATTTTGCCATGCAATCAAAAATATATCAGTTGTAGCGAATATTATGGCATTGTACAGGTATATTCTTTGTATCATTGTGATAGGAATTTCAATACGTCCGTTGTGCTCACGGTGATAACGTCGAGTCTAAACAACATTGTTCATTTTTGCCGCCAGGCTTACGATTTTTGGTAAGTATCAAAGGTATTTTGTATTCAGCCTAATAGTTTAAACATTTAAAAAATACTATAAGGTTATAAGTGTTTACTTATATTTAACACATCCGATGACTCGAATTGTGATTATCTTCTTTTTTACTTCATTTATAACGTTAAAAGTTTTTTTGCCTGTACCGGGCAAGACGAACACCACTAATATCGAAATTTTTTTAAATAATTACTTTTCTTCAATTTTCAGTAGTTTCATAAGTAATTTTGAAATATAATTTGTGTTCCAGCATTGAATAATCAATATGGTTTCCAATATCAGAAAAACTATTGTTTTAACAATAATTTGTTAATTAATTTATTTATTGTTTTGTGAAGTAAAAATGTTTTATTCCTTTTTTGCATAAACTTTTTATTTATTCCATTTATTTATATTTTTTAATAATTTTGCAAATTAATTTACCAATAAATATTAATTTCTTTGTTTAAATAATTTTTCACTTACATCTTATTTGTTAATTTTTAGTCTATCTTGCTCTAAAAATGACAAAAAGATTATTTATTTTCATCTAATATCTTTTCTTGGAGGGTGTCCGACTTACCGGGCATCTTTTGAAGCACTTAAAATTTAATTAATTTCTCATCAATTTATTGTACTAGTTTATAAATAATTAACAAGGCAGTCATAGCACATATATAATTGTTATTACGCTTACTTGATTTTAAAATATAATAATATGAATTTTTGGTTATTTACTTCTTTTTTTTCGGATTTTCCTTACAGTAACAGTTACTATAAAAAAATGTAAGTTCAATTAATTTTCCAGCTATCCTTCATAGACAAATCTATAGGCGTAAAAAGCAATAAAAATGCGGTTAGGATAATGAAATGTTTGGTGATTTTACTATATTTTAATAACTTGTAAGTAGTTGATGTAACTATACTTTTCTAGTACTTCAGAATAATACAGAATCGTTTACCATAATTTCGTAAATTCGCCTTTTTACCTTGGAAGTTAAAGTGTATTCCACGTAACTGTGTGATATAGTAAAGTCGAGTACCACGGTTTTTCCCGGTGTTCACTCAAAGACGCCTGCAAAAAAATCATCGGATTAAAAAAAAATGTCCGTATCGAAGCGCATCGCTACATACACATATGCCAATTACGTAGCCAAGCTCTGAGAAATATCGGTCAAGCGAAAAAGATAAAAAGGACAAAACCTGCTAGATGAGTTTTTGCACTCGTCACACTGCTGTCATCTACAGATCGCCGAGCGAAGCCAACGACTACAAATGCTGAGCATCTGGCAATTGGAAGCTATACGATACACATCAACAGCGCGAAGCGGTCGTGACTGCATTTTTTTGTTGCCAGCGCGCGGAGAGCAAATTTATCGTTGTTGCCGCTCCGGGCGTGAAATCGCGGACTCTTCTGCGGCAACGCTCGTTCGCGAATTATTTGCCGTCGAGCGTGTGCTTCCTTCCTCTCCCTTTTTGCGCGCCCAGACGCTCATTGTCCAATTATTCAGGGAACGGCGTTTCGCGCGAGATACGAGCGCATCGCGCGTGCACCGACGGCGACGGACTTCTTCAATTTTCCCGCTTTGCTTGCTGTTCGGAGCTTGGCGTCGTCCGGGTGTCGCTCGCGAGAATTCGCTTCTTCTTTTACCTTTCGGGAGCTTTCGCGATCCTTCGCCTTATTTTGCCGAAGTTGAAATTTCAGCGCGCGGAAAATCCGGACGAACGGCGCCAGCCGCCGATTGCGAGCGCGCGATCGTCGAATCTGTGCAGCGCCAAGTGTCGACCCATCGTCGGCTAGGCATTCGAGCCGCGGCAAAAGAGGCAGCGAGCGAAAGAAAAGAATCCGAGCAACTCGCTGGTGCAATTAGCGCGCGTGTTTCTCTGCGCTCCTTAATTAGCCGATCGCGGCGTTAATTAATCGATCAAGCCGCGCACGTGGAAAGAGAAAGAAAAAAAAAAAACAAAGAAAAAAGCCGACTCGTCCGTCGGCCGCGTGCGGACTTGTGACCGCGGCGGGTCATTTTTCGAAAGACAGCCAACGGGGGGCTCCAGTTCTCGGGCGTTGATTTACGAATGCGGTCTCGCAGCCTGTCCAACTCGGCCAGTTTTTACGCGCAAGTAGGCGTGCGATGATTTAGCTTCTTCTTCGCTTGAGCGAGAGCTTCGAAATGGAACTCGCGTATAGCGATGTTCATCGTACAAAGCGATGCGTGTGGTCGTGATTAATGGCAAGTAAATTGAGTTCGCTCGCAGAGAGAACAAATTGATGTTCAAATCGCATTAGTTTAGTTCCTAATCGGCGAAACTCTTAATGTCGTCGTCGGACGCTCGCAATTAATTAAAATTTAATGTTCAACGACCGCCGCGTCGATTGCCAATTAGGACGTCGGATATCGGCGCTTTTTGCCACTGGACTGCGCACAAAAGGCCGCTCGCGGCTCGTCGCGAGATATTCCCCTCTCGAGTGCATCGCAAATCAATACACCACGCCATCCTCTATACGTATCTGCGAAAAAAAGGGCACGAAGCTGCCGGAGCAGTGGTTAGAAGACGAGCGATAGCCTGGATAGTCCAGGAGATGTCGCCGCGGTCGCGCTCCGCTCGGCCGTCCGCGCAGCAGTAGCTGCCGAGGCCGAGGCACGAAGTACGAAGAGCCTTTCAGTCGTTGCCCAAGTGTGCGCGCGTAGCTACGTCCTCGTCGTTTATTATTTTTTTTTTCGTTCCGCGCGCGACCGAATCGAATAATCGAGCGCGAGAAGAAGGAAAAGAGCACGAAGAGAACGATCCCGTGACCAACAAAAAGGAAATGCCTCTGTTCAGGCGCGACCCGGCTAAACGGCCCAAAAAGGACGACAGATTTGCCTCTATCGAGGACAAATATGTCCTCAAGGAACAGCTTGGCACGTGAGTACCATGTAACAATTTTTCCCTTACGGCAATCCATCGGACGCTGTATTATCGCTCATCGATCGTGCGCGAAGAAAGTGTCTTTGAAATGGAAATGAGTGTCTCTCGACTGGTCGATTTCTTCATCTTCCCCGTCCTTTTCGCTGCACCAAGTTATTGAAGTATCCCAGTGCGTCGAATGATCGCCTATAGCATACGCTCTTAGATGGAGTTTGGAATCTATCAAACGTGCTTTTTTCTTTCTCTCTCTCTCTCTCTCTCAACATATGGAGAGAACCAGTGCTGTTCTATTTCTCATCTTCGACTTTATCTCGAACGCGCTTGATGCATCCAATGCATCTCACTCTATCGCTCAACCCTTGATCTTTTCAAAATCATCATCTCGCTCGCTCGTTATTATGTCACAGAATGGAAGAAATAAAGTCGTGAGCTTGCAACATGCTGGCGTGTGTGGGATAGAGAAAAAGAGAGAGTGAAAGTGACATAACGAGAGGTTATAAAATATTATTCAATACACACACGCGCGCGCGCGCGACATGCATACTATTGATTCGCACACGAAAAAAGTGAACGTTGATAACATAGGCACTTTCACGCGTCTCAATGTGAGAACAAAATGTGTCTTGGATGCTCTTGTATTTAAGAAGATTGACAAGGAAAAGTAGCTCTCCTTTAGTGCACATACACGAGGCTATTTTGGTAACTTCATCAAGACGTCGTTATTGATTTTAATATGTTATTTAGATGCGTACTTTCGTCTTTGAATATACTTGTTGATGAAGAATTGAACGTCGAGTGCAAAGCTTAATGGGATGCAATTATTACAATGGAGAAACTTGCACTTATCAAAAGGAAAGGAACCTTTTCGTTTTCGAAACTTACTCAAATGATGATATTTATAAACGTAATAATATCGAGCATAATACTGCCTGTGTGTAGTGTCGTGTGTGACAATATAAACCATCGCATCTCGTATCGCATGAATAACTTTAGCTGACACACGCAGCCAGATATCTCTTGCGGCGTTCAAAAGGAAAAAGAAGCGGCGGCAATGTTGGAATACGTGCGAAAAAAGGAGACAGGTCGAGGAAAATATTTACATCGTCTCGCGAAGAATTATCTTCTAGTAATTGCGCTAGAGTGAAATAATTGAGCCTAGGAAGTCGACGATGAGTATACCGTTCCTCTATTATGCATCCTAGCAGTGTTTTTTTTTCTCCGCGCTGTAATCATCTTGTTGATATTGTGTTTGCAAAATCGTCTTCTCCAATATGATTTTGTAAACACAATATCTTCGTATCGATATTGCGAATCTGTTGGAAAATGGTAAAAAATATATGCGCGAATATCGGGATTCCTTGACCTACGAGCTTCGATGTTTTGTATTTTACAAACGATATGGTTGACGATATTACACGAATAAATTTATCAGGAGTGCCTTTTTTTCAATTGCACGTTTCGCTCGATTTCAACACCAATCCAACGCAAGAGGCTAATATTTTTTTCCAAAATTCAATTAACATTGGAATGACGCAGAAAACTTACGAAGACAGAGAGAAAAAGTCGTTATCAGTGCGTGAGGTTTCATTAAAATTTCTGTCATGTGTTATTACATATAGAAACGGAAAGAATGCTGTCGCCCAGACCAGGTTAGAGAGTGGCAGTATCGAAGGTCTTTAATAAACTGGTGAGTCGATGCCGTGAATATTGAAATGCCGTTTATTGCGAGTTTTATTGAAAAAAAAAAAAAAAAAAATCGTTTCGGCAACAATCGAATGTCGCTCGGACAGCGACTCATCTCCGATCAGCGAAGCCATCCTCGCGCGATTGGCGAGGGCAACGGGTGTCCCTCGGAATGCGCGAGCTTTTCCGTGTGGGCCGCCTTGCGTAATTTGCCGTAGCGTTTGCATACTCGCGCCGGTGAAAGTGCGCGGAACGGCGCTGGCGACGGCGGCGCAAGTGCCCGTTGTATTTTTGATGCGTCCGAGAGGTCGGCCGGCTCGATCGTGTCGCGATCCAATTCGAGGCGGCGGCGCGGCCACTTTTCCCAGCCGACTCTCTCGCTCGCGAGCTAATCAATCGTTTGATCGGACGCTTCGGGCGCGGGATACGCCCGCGGGGCTTTGATCGGCCGCTCAATTATTTGCCCGGCGTTTTTCGCGCGCGCTCCAGTCGCGATGGGCTCGGGCGACTCGTCCCGGCCCATTGTTAATACTCCGCGTGTAATATTCATGAGGCCGTAACGCCGGGAAGCCTGCTCGAATGCTAATGCATCACAGCCAGCCTTAGCTTTTTGCGCGTATTCTCGACGTATTAGTGCGCCCATTCTCGCAAAGGACTTTTAAAGTTGCTCAAAATTCATGAGAATATTCCGATAGTTAAAATAAAACAGAGTCCATCTTGATATCCGCACGCCAAGCTCATGAATATTCGAGCAGGTGGCTTGCCAAAGGTGGAAAAGTGTTTCGAACGACAAATCGATAATTCGAGGCATAATCCGTGCCATCCTCGTCTCTCAATTAAGCCACATTGATGTTTTAATATTAGTATTCTCGAGCGTCAGGCCGCGGACGAGCTGCGAGTCTTCGCCGGGCCGAACTAATTACAAATGTTTTCATTTCAAAGTAACTCACTACCAGCCGTTCGCCGCCGCCAACGCCGCCGCTATACGTCCATCAATCATGTACGTAAACTCGACATCGACGTCAGCTGCAGTCGCGCGCGCGCGCCCGCTCCTACGAACCAGCACTTTTTTCATAAGAGCGTTCCAGCTCGTGCTGCGCGCATTTCGCTCGCGAGCGGCAGGTTTATTTCGCCGGTCCGACTTCTTCCTTTCTTTCGTGGCTCCGCTTGCCGGCTATTTTCGAGAGAAGATCGCTCGCCCAGGGAATCGCATTCCGCGTAAAAGGAGGAATTTTCGTTTCATTGTCGTCGTCGCTGCGGAAACTAGGACGAGAAAGTCGCGAGAATTTTACGCGGGCGTAAGCGAACCGCCACGTGCGCTTCGTTTTCGCGTATTTATAGGCTTCATTATCGCGGCGCGCGCGCGATAAAACGGCTGGTCGGTCTTCCAATAAACAATTTTTCAAGCTCGGCCGTTTTGGTTGTTCCTCGTACCTCGATTGGCGATAGGAGGCACGCTGGTGACGTCGACGAGGAATTTCCAGCCGAGGCGCCGAAATAATTCACTTACACGTGCTCTCGCGCGAATAAGCTGATGTCGCACGCACGAAGCTGAGATCTCGTCGAATTTATCCCTCCCTACAATTAATTTGCTCGATAGCCAGCGAATATCCGTGACTCGCCGGGTATAAAAAAAAAACTATCAATGTGATCCTCCCCGCGCACACGAATGACTTCACCCAATGTCTATGCGCCAACCAAACTTTCTTCTTTCGTATTTATCTATTGTGGGGAAACATTGGTTTATCAATTCCAATAAAAGTTTCTATGTACCAGTCCGCGTCGCCTTTTGCTCAAACGATAGGATTTATAGGATATGCCCGATGTATAGAAAAGAGCTATTGTAAAAAAGAGAAAAAAAACTGAGCAATAACAAAGATACTATGAATCTTCGATAAAAAGAACTCTAAACAGGCGTTCGAATCCACCCGTCCTTCGACTACAAATTTTTTTAAATCTCTCTCTCTCTCTCTCTCTCTCTATCTCCCCCCCCCCCCCTCTCCAAAAGCCGCCCTTGACCCTTTTTCGTTCGAACGCGTGTGTACGTAAGTTCGTTCGTGTGCGATAAAAAGGCAATAAAGGCACACTCGAAAGGAATTCTCAAAAGACAAAGAGAGAGAGGAGTATGAAAGAGCAATATACATTCGAATGTGCGAGGTGTCGGGAAATCCGTAATAATTTTTTCAAAGCACGTAGAGAGAACTTTTTCTTTTTCGGGGATTTGGCAATTGAATTAAACCCCCCCGAAAAGGCACGCGTCCGAGTCACCTCCTTTGCTCGCGGTCCCGAGTGGGAGCAGTGCAAAACGCGCTGAAATGCATCGGTGCTCGCGGTTGACCTACATCCCGCTGGCAGCGTCTCACGGACGCTCTCGTATGATTGCAGGGGCGCTTTCTCGGAAGTGAGGCTAGCAGAAAGCAAAGACAGACCTGGCATGATGTACGCAGTTAAGATCATCGACAAGAAAGCCCTCAAGGGCAAGGAGGATTCTCTTGAGAACGAGATCAAAGTGCTGAGGAGGTGAGTGCAGATCAATATATATCAGTATATACTAATGCGTATCTAACCCTTGTGTGTGTGTGTGTGTGTATACACACACACACACACACAAGAATTCGCATTAGATTATCACGCGAATCAACCGTACGACTATTATGCGCTTTGTTATGGCTCTGCTATATTTATTAAACGAATTGATACTCGTTAGTTTTTTACGGCTTTTACTTTTAGTGTACATATATATGATTATGTGCTACAGCTTATGAACCGCGTTTTTTTTTTTCTTTTTTCAAATAATCTCATTGAGTGTCATGCTGTTATACATTTACATATACATATACATATACATATACAATACAATACTCTGAGAATACGAGTTTTTTTTTACTCAGTGACATATAATACAATTGTGTACATAATGAAAAGCCTTGCTGTGAGTATGATATTTGCAACTGTGTTTGAGCATTAATCTTATCAATTCTTTTCTTCTTTTTTTAATGATCCGTGAGCTCTGTAGGTGTTACTCAATATGCATTAATTTTGTTTGGCTGTTTCATGTTTTTTATCAATATTTTTTTTTTAAATATAATACTAACATGTGCTAATTTAACTGTGAGGAAGTGTGGCAGCGATGATTGTCGATGATCAAGTGTAATTATCGATGTCTTGGTGTCTTTTTCTCGTGTACGAGTCCTCGTTCAAAACAAGTATTTGACGTGCGAAGAAATGAATTTTCTTTTCTTTCGATGTTTCTTTTACTCTCTTAAACGTGATTGTTGACAGTGGTTTGTTGATGTTTCTTTCTATATTTTTAGTGCTATTGACCCCAGACCTAATGACCACGTTATTCGTGGATTAAACATTCAGGTATTTAAAGCAAAGGAAAACGTGCGGTGAACACTTGGTCGATCGCACGCCCCCTCCTTCATTGATTTGCAAATAGATAGTAGCGAGTTAGTGAATCCCGGTGAAATGATTCGCGCGACAGATTGAATGTCAAACAACAGAACCTTGATCCCCGTATCCAACAACAAGTACAATAGCAACAGCACAGACTAAGAGTATAAAGCAGAGTATTGTTTTATTTATTTTGGAGCAACAGCCGAAGACGAACACTCTTAAAAAATTAAAAAAAAAAAAAAGCCGAACGAAAAGTTAATTGTGATGATGATGATGATGATGATCCATAGGTTCAGTCGATGCGTGAACTCATACGGCGGCGACGGCACGCTCAAGTGCGACGATAGTAATGAGGAAAAGGAATGGTAAGTGGGCCCTTCCTCGCTCAACAGCGCACTAACTCTCTCTCTCTCTCTCTCTCTCTCTCTCTCTAATTCTTCCTCTGTTTCTCTCTCTCTCTCTCGCTCGCTCTTTCACCGGCACACTCTATCTCACACCATTACTAACACATCTCTTTCACACGTGTTTGTATATGTGCGCGCGTATGTGTGTTGTACTCTGAGTCACGACTTTTCTTTCTCTCTCTATCTCACACACACATATATATATCTACACGTATATACTCTAACGCCCCGAGAGGCGTTTTGTTTAAGTGATCCTGTCTCTCTCTCTCTCTCTCTCTCTCCGAAGTAGTGGACACTCGTTTGCTGTGCGTTACTTACTCGGGGAGATGCGCTTATAATCCGTACGGCTCGCTATGAAATTTCGTCCCCCTCGTCAGGCTTCATCGTGCGTAATCTATCGCTTTATAATCTCGCTATACGCGTCTCCAAGCCTGCTCCCTTGAATCTGTACTGTCGAGCTCGCCGTACGAATTTCAATCGAGCTCGCGCTCTTCTTTGTCTCTCCGGTGGAGTCGCGTGCGGCCGCGCGATGCGATCGGCTCGAAGCGTCGTCCGAACGCGCCCCTTCGCTGCATTCACCGGCGCGTGATCCGCCGATTCTGTCTGTCTCTTCTTTAGTGTTTCGGCCGCCGGCGTCGACGTAGCGGCGATCGATAGGGCTGCCGCACGCCACCGGGTGTACATCGCCGTGCCCACGGCCGAGCTTTCTTGCATCTATAGCCGTCGATCGATGAGACGACGCGATTGCCGACGTCAAGTCGCAAGCGCGGCAGCCGTCGCCTCTCGTTCGGCGGTCCTCGCGAGACCTTTCCGTCGTAAAAGCGCATACTCTCGTCCGCCACCGATCCGACGTCGGCTCGTTCGGCGGCCTGCGGGCGCGCGTGCCGGGGAACCATCGCGGCTTGAAAAGTGCCGCCTTGACGACGCTTAAATCGCAACGTGTACGAGCGATGATTGATAACCGGACGCGATTTGCTTCCAAGAGAAATCAACATCTTGAGCAGTCCATCGAGTATTAGTCTGGCGTGTAAAGAGTCACTCCATCATACTTCAATTCAGCAGCGCGCGGACGTGCCGGGCTCGAAGCCCAACGTCGCGTCTGCAGCGCGCACGCGAGGCCTTAAAAACCAAAAAAAAAAAAACAAAAATCCTTCCTTTTTCTCATCGTCTTCCTCTCTCTCGGGCTGGATTACGAGGAAGAGCGCATCGGGGTTGTCAAGTGGAGCGGCAATCAGACGACTTCGGAAATTGCGAAAACGAGTATTACGTGACTGCGCGACGTTAGGCCGCGCCGCCGCCGATGAAAAGACGACGAATAAAAAGGGAAGGGAGGAACTGCTTAATCCCGAAATCCAGTGTGCTCACGTAAGCCAACTCGTTATGCTAATGCGTTATAAACGAGAAATCGATGCTCGTCTACTTCCGAAGATACACTGCGTCGAGAGCGAAACATTTCCACTTTCTTTTCACTCCTCTGCTCTCGGAACTCGTTATTGATTCGTCCTCGAGATACTTTGACTACCGAGGAATTCGGCCTCGTATTTGTCTTTTTGCAAGGAAAGTTGTTTAATTTTTTTTTGTTTTTTAGGAGGGGGGGGGGGGTAGCGAGACATAAAACTTTTAAGAGAGCAAGAGACGTGGTAAATCCATCATCTCGCAAATCCACTTCTTCGGTGCGTATCGTACATCTCTGGCGAGCGCACAGCCCACGAGCGAGGCTCTCGCGCCGAATCCCCGTCTGGGCCGTCATTCCGCGAGGCACGAAATGAACAGCGTCGGACAGCTCAATTCATCAGCGGCACCCATTCGCGCGCGCGCCGTTAACGGAGGAGAAGCCCTCGCCCCGTGCGAGGAAAATTTCTAGTCGGGTCCATCCCTCAGCTCCCGTCCGAAACAAGAGCCAGAGTAGGCTTCGCAAAGGCACGATGGGAATTTGAAAAAGCGAATCTCAATCGAGGAGAGAAACGGACTCGAGGCTCTCTCTCTCTCGCTCTCGCTCTCTCGGTATCTCCGAGGACTCGCGGACTATTCGCCTCAGGTGGAAGAGGGCGCCCACGCGTACATATTAAAATTTAAGAGGGAGAAAGAGAGAACGGAAAGGAGTTCCTCATAACCGCGCGCAAATGGCGGCAGGAGGCCATAGGGAAGAAAGAAATTTCGACACGTCGCGTAGCAGTCAATAAACGCTCTGTATTTTTCATTTCCACTCCCCCTCCCCCCTTCCGCCCTGCCATTTACTTGCGCTTGCACGCACACACACACACACACACGCTCGCGCGCGCGCGAGAATAAAAAGGGACTTTGCTCGTCTCATCATTCCTTATCGCTCGATTTTTATAGGTCCGCCTTTCCTATCTCCACGCTCGCACACCGACACGCGTACACGCGTATGTCTGTGTGTATACGTATGTATATACGTATGTATGTATGTATGTATGTATATGTGTACGAGTCGTCGTATCCCTTATCGATCTTCTACAGTTGCATCGGCGCTTGCGTGCTCTCTTTCCCTCCGTTTCCGTATCCCGTAGCCGTGTCTGTGCCCGCGAAGATGAAAAAAAGAAGGCTGCTCGGCGTTTTATTGGTGGACTGGCTGCTGTGCATGATTCGGCTTTATTTCGGCTTGAGGCTATCCATTAACTTTATGTCGCGTTCCCTTCGCCGCCGGTGCACGCGCTCGCATGAATGTACGCTATACGACGGCGAGCGCGAATGTGCTTGCAAGCTCAACGAGGCTCGACGGCCTGTGTGTAAAGCCGGCCTTCGGACACGTGCGCGACGCCGCTGTATACGGATGCAGAAATAGAAAATAAGTTTTCCGTTCCATTGCCACGCGAGGCGATACGTCGAGCGCGGACTTTTGCGTGCTTTCGCAACATCCCTCGAGGAGAGAGGAAAACAAATACAACAAACTTTTCTCACCCAAAAGTATCGTTCCCGCGTCCTTGTCGATTGTACGGAGACTTCCCCCTTGAGGAAGAAAGAGAGAGAGAGAGAGAGAAAACACGAATATAATCAGTATGTATAATCGGACAAACAGCCCTGCGGGTCTTTTTTTTTTCTTTCTCTCCGATCGAGATAAGAACAAAAAAAAACATAGAAAGGAAGCCCTGCGGACAAAAACAACGAAATGACGGCCGGCCAACTTGGAGGGCGCGCGCGTAGATAATCTCTGGGCACTGTAGTGTCGCGCGTGCATCCTTGACTGTACACACACGCGTGTACACGCGACCGGGTAGGGGGCAGGGCGCGCGAGCCGCGCGACTTTCGATCGCCTCGGGAAAATTCGGGCGACCGGAAAAATCGGCGCCGCCACGGGACCTTGCGGCTGTGGTATCGCGCGACGCGCTCGGAAATCTCAATCCGCGGGCGGCCTTGAATCGATTTTCCCGACGCCCGGTCAATTTGCATTTTCTCGCCGCGAGGAGAGCCACAGCCGACCCGCTCGCGCTCGCCTTGGGACGCCCGGACCGACTTTCGCATCAATTCCAGAGGTGAGGTGGGGCTGGGTTTCTTAATTAGCCCCGCGGTAATCGCGACTGTTAATTAATTAGCTCCCGACTGCGCGTTGCGAGAGCCGACGGGGAGCAGTTTTTTTCTTCCATCCTTCGTTTTTCGCGCTTGATTTCGCGTCGGACACGCGAACTTAATGAACTCCGGCGCAAGATCATTAATCGCATCGTCTCGCTAAATTTTGCACACTTGGTCGGGGTAATGCGATCTGTTCGGTCGTTCGCGCAAGGCTTCATCGAAATATTAATTGGGTGCCGTGGGAGTCTTAATCACAAGAGATAAGCGCTCTCCTTAATAAACATCTAAAGAAAATTGATCGATGTAAATACTGGTGAACCGACTAAACGAACGAAAGTAAGTAATGCATGATCAAATATGCACTCTCTCAAAAGCACTTTAACCCATTGATTTTTTTTAATCCGACGATCTCCAAGTTAATACACGCTTCAAGGTTGGTAGCCTCTCGTAAGCAACCCTTTCGCAATCAAAGCGAAAGAGCGAAAAAAGAAAAAAACAAAGAAAAGAATGGAGCAATAAAAACCGTTTTCGGAAGGTCACGGGTCGAACAGTAAGAGGCGAGAAGGAAATTTAAAAAAAGTGTATTCTTTCTTCTAGGCTGACGCACCCGAACATCGTGCAGCTACTCGAGACTTTCGAGGACAAGCACAAGGTCTACCTGGTCATGGAGCTGTAAGTGTATAACGCTTTTCATTTCCCGTGGGAAAACTGTTAACTGCCCCCTCAATCGCAATCGCGCAACGTTCAAACGTTATTGCTTTCTTTCGCACTCTTCCGTATATTCTTTTTTCTTTTTTTTTTTCTTTTATTTTAATGGGATTTGCCCATCGAGTAATTGCTTTTAGTTTGCACTCTGCGGAAAATTTAGTCTAAGGCGCGCGCAAGCGATTGCTTTTCATCGTCAAAGAGGCCGGCGGAAAAAAATCTCGTCCATTAAATTAACTTACCGACGAGTGTCCCGGTCGCTCGCGCTCGTCTTCGTCAGCTGAGCGCGCGAGCCTTATTTATACATTACTCGCTTTACGTACGGCGCGGCGAAGAAAGTTTCAACGTTCGCACCGTAGCGTTGTACGACCCGCTCGTCACAAGAAATCCAGTTCGCGCGAGATAGGAAACTGGCTCCGCGCTGATATTCGCCGCGAGATGATTCCGATTACGATAGTCATCGCCGTAACGTCGCGCGGGTAATACAGTGCTATTCGTCTTGGGGCAGATCTCGTCTGCTGATTCGTCCGCGATTCTTCCTTTATGGGGAGGAGGGGGGGCGAACTGGTTTCTCTTGCGTCTTGTCTTTCGGAAAACGGCGAAGAGTCGCAAGTCCGCTTGTTCGCTAGCTTGTGAAAATCGCACGTAAAGAGGAAAGAAAGAAAAAAACAAGTGACACTGCCCAGGTATAACGAAAGCACGACGCATCCGCGCGATTCGATCGATTTTTTTTTTTTTTTGTTTTTTTTCTGGACAGCGCGAGTGGAAAAGGGAGAACGCGAGGTGGCTAACAAAGAGGATTGAAACGTCGAACGTGTTCTGCGCGCAGGGTGACAGGTGGCGAGCTGTTCGACCGCATCGTCGCGAAGGGCTCGTATACAGAGCGCGACGCCTCGAGTCTGATACGCCAGGTGCTCGAGGCCGTGGACTACATGCACGAGCAGGGCGTCGTGCACCGCGACCTCAAGCCGGAGAACTTGCTCTACTACAGCCCCGACGAGGACAGCAAGATCATGATCAGCGACTTTGGCCTGTCCAAGATGGAGGACTCGGGTATCATGGCCACTGCCTGCGGCACGCCTGGATATGTCGGTGAGCGGACCTACATTATCACCGGACGCCACCTCGGAGTACTCGCGCGCGATTCACTCGGGAACGAGGGGACGGCGTGCGAGGAGTCGATGCGCCAGCGCGGATCGGAGCGCGCCGGCGCTCGTCGAGTTGGTTCGGCGCAGTCGAGCGCCGCTCGCGAGGCGGGGCCGCGGATCTGGTGGCGCAGCTCCGCGCGAAGGCACTCCGGACAGGGCAGGGTTCGCCGGGGCCGGTGCCGCGGAAGCACTGGCGCCGAGACGCGACTCGAGCGGAGGTGAGTATGGGATCGCTACCGCGGGATTGCCCGAGCGCTCGCACACCCGGGCCGTCGGGTTCGCGGATGGAGTTGCCTCTTTGGTGGCGCGGTCGGCGTCAATCGCGGCTCGGTACGGTATGCGCGTACGGCCCGCCGTTGGACCCGTAGACGCACTGGAATCAGAGGATGAAAAACGCTCGTGTGCTTGTGTGATCTACAGCTCCCGAGGTGCTGGCCCAGAAGCCCTACGGCAAAGCGGTGGACGTCTGGAGTATAGGCGTCATATCCTACATTTTGCTCTGCGGCTATCCTCCGTTCTACGACGAGAACGATGCCAATCTGTTCGCTCAGATACTCAAAGGTAAGGTTGAGAGCTTCTCTCGACGCGCGACTGGCAATTCACATTCAAATTGACGCGATGCGATCTGTCTCCGTGTAGTTCGTTGACTCTCCGATCCGTTTTGAGAAAAAAAAAAGAAAAAAAAAAAAATCAGAGCGCACAACGACGCGCATGATGATCATCGCGCCTTATCTCTGTTCGAAGGTGAATACGAATTCGACTCTCCGTACTGGGACGACATCAGCGACTCGGCCAAGGACTTCATCAGCAGGCTCATGTGCGTCGACGTCGAGAAGCGCTACACGTGTAAACAGGCGCTCGGACATCCCTGGTGAGTTGAAAAGAACATTTTACCGACGGTCACGTACCGGGTCCTTTGATGTTTCGTGTCGAAAAATAACAGCGCTGCTTGCCGACTGGCGTGGAATATTTCTCTTTGCATTTCCCTTTCCATTTGGCAGCTGCAAATATTTGTCACATACGAAAAAAAAAAGGAAAATAACGAGAGAAGAAGAGAAAAAGCTCCGAGTAACGAGAAATTTCGACGCTCGGTCGGCCGAGAATTCGATATTCTCGCACGTGAAACAGAAAAGGATGGAAGAAACGCATCGGAGATCCACGGAGAAGCAGTTGAGCTAGAACGAGCGAAATATGGTTAATTCGACGCGAAGTAACGGTGGCCGAAGATAGGCGCGACTACGGTGGCGTTCGCGCGGGCGCGAACGAGAATAGAAACAAAGAGAAAGGTGTCGCAGCTGGCCGCTTTTGTAAGCGCGAGCGATGCACGCGGAGACGCGACTGCTCGCGCAATTGTGCCTCCTGCGCGTCTGCCGTGGAGATAAAGCCGGACACATGCGAGCTCGTCTGTTTCTCGGCGGAGCCACACGCGCGCGTCCATTGTAATTGCGGCGCGCCTACGCGCCATCGGTCTCGCGATCCGAGCCCGCCCATCGGACCCTCCTCGAACAGCGGAGCTAAGCCGCGCGCGGGCGCCGAGTGCGCTCGGCACGCACGCGTCATTGCCAAGCGCACAACGGAAGCACAGCGTCGTTACCTATGCCCGTAAGATTCAGCGCCCATGCGGTAACGAAGCTCGAAAAGAGCGCGAGATTTGTAGATGTGCTAAAGTGGGCCGGTGTTGTTTGTTGATGCATTGCAGGATCAGCGGCAACGCGGCGAGCAACAAAAACATCCACGGTACGGTATCGGAACAACTTAAAAAGAACTTCGCCAAGTCGAGGTGGAAGGTTAGTAAAGATAACGAGCAGAGCACATCGTGATCTGATCGACGTTTTGTGTTTCTCTTGTGTGTTTTCCATGTGATTGTGTGGGCCGCGGCCTGTGGGGACCGCGCTCGCACGTGTAATCCATCCAATGCACCGGCAACTCGTCTCTCTCTCTCTCTCTCTCTGTCTCTCGCTCTGAATCGCTTGTCGCTCTCTCGCAAACGAACTGTCTCTCTACTCTCTGTCTCCGCCTCCGCAAACCCACCAACTCACGAAAACGAACCCGATCGCAAAACCAACCAGGCCTGTGTCTGATGGTTGCAGCAAGCCTATCATGCGACCACGGTCATACGCCAGATGCAGAGACTGGCCTTGAACAGCAGTGCGACCAGCAGTGCGACCAGCAGCCCTCAACCTCAGCATCATCAGCACGTCAGCCAAGGTTTCAACAGCGGCCCTGCCTCAGGCGCAGCGAGCCCGAACCACCGGAATTATTGAGGCTCCAGCGCCTCGAGTTTCAACGCCACCACCATCTCGTCGTGCTCGCCAGCAGCAATACCACGCCGACTCACTCGCCGCCCTCGTCCAGCTCATCCAACTCGCCCCAGCGCCCGCCAAGGCTCGTAGGCCAGAAGCTCTGGGCGAGCGTGCTCGCGCTCCTCAGGCTCGATCTGGCCAGCACCAGGCGCCGGCGCTGGAGGCACGAGAAGGGTTGAAAGAATGGCGCCTTTTCTCTCTCGCTCTGTTGGCCCCGGGACCGTCACCGACACGCACGTACACAGACACACACATGCACACGAAACCCATGCATCTCGACTACGTTTTTTTTTTTATTTTTACTTTTCTCTCGTCGTCGTTTAGTGAACGAGCTGTGACGCATCGGCCATCTTTCAACTCTCTCTCTCTCACCCCCCCCCCTCCCTTTCTCTCTTATCCTCCTTCTCTCGTTTTTATCTTACTGACCAGCGAGCTCATTAGGATCTGATGATACAGGAATTGATAAATGTATTTCGACGGACGCTCGTTGGCGTCCGGGTATGCGCCGTGGGGGGACGGGAAACGCGACCGCATGCCTCTCTTTTTCGAACGAGCGCAAAATGTTTTTACCTGGTCGGTAAAACTGTCCATCGACGGGTTTGCTGCTTTCCTGATCTTGTTGCTGTTTTTATTATTTTTTGGTCGTTATCGCGAGGCGAACGAACTCTCGATGTGGTTGTGTTTCTCGTTCTAGCATGTACACACATTATATTCACTGACGACTCATTAAATGTACGGGGTATATTCTTGCCTGTAGCTTAAATTTAGACGCGTGTGCAGTGTCACTTATTCAGAGAAGAGGCGCAGATATATGTTACGTATAATTGTCTATGCGAATGTTATAATCCTCCTGTAAAGTTTTTTTCCTGATATATATTCAAGTTTCTATTAGTCTTGGAAATAAAACTACTACTGCGACCGCATTAAATTAAACGACGACAAAGTTATGTTACCGACCGAACAAATATCTGTTAACCTGCATAATTATTTGTGAATGAGGTTTCTTATTGACAGCTACTCATATTTTCAAATTTATACTATTTTTTTATATTTGAACGGTAAACGCGTTCCTCGCGAAACTAATAGGAATTGTTTCGGACATCAATCAACTTTCACGGAATTTTACGTACGACATTTTTGTCGAAACTGTACTGTTAATCGTGCGCAAAATGGAATAAAAACGAGTGTGCAATATTTTTTTTATAAGAGTTTTAATAAGACGTTAAACTCTATTCGAGATTTAATTGCGAAACAAGGGAGAAGAAACGCATATGTGGGCACACTGAACACAGTTAACGCACAGGGCAGTGATGAAGTATACATATATATTTTTATCTTTTGTATATTTATATGTAAATTGTTATAGATGAATCTTTGTTCCTCTCGGCAAGTATACATATACATGCAAGCATATATACATCACGATAGAACGCAAAAGCGAGAGCACGGAACTTGAAAGCAGTGCAAGCTCTGATCAAATTGAAATTGAAATTACAGGTTAAAGGAGGATAACTTAGTTTTGAGCGACGTATCCGGCATCGATCAGTCTCTTTCCCCTCCCTCACCCCCTTTCTCACTCTTTCTCTCTCTCTCTCTCTCTCTCTCTCTCTCCGATCGACTTTCCGAAGCTTCCCAATTATCACGCTTCGATGTAATTTTCCGTGGCTGCTCATTAATGGATCAGTTTTTCCCAACGCTACGGCTTTTCTCTCTTTCTCTGCAGATATTCCAGTGGTCTTACTGGTTGAATCTTTCATGCGCTCGATAATAGTCAAAACAAAATGAAAACAGTTGCGCATCAAAAGCTGATTATGTGATAATGGCGCGAGAGTGGCGATGTACACCTTTAATTATCTATTAAGCATCTTCAATTATGTTGAAAAAAAAAAGAGCGCGTGAATTCATCAGACGAATTTCTTGTAGCTCAGTGTCTATCTATCTCTTTCACGCTTTCGATGCAAAACAAAATTCTTTATATATCTTCACTGTAATGGTAAGGAACATCAAGGTGATATACATTCTATATTACAGGAACGTTTTAATGAACTAGATTTGACTATTTACTTGAGTAACACGCTTATATAATATATATATGTAAATTACACATGCATATATAAACGATTATAAAGTGTCAGTATATATATATATATATATATATATATATATATATATATACATAGAGAACGTCCGTCCAATAAAAAAGGCGGACACACCTTCATATTTGCGGGCAGAAAAAGGGCGTACGAAAAATGCTAATGTTTTCTTCAATTATCTGCGGACAAAAGTGCCTCTGTTTTGTCCCTTCGATGCCGTGGTTCTTATATTCTTCGATCCGGTGATTACCGCATTGATGCTACTGGGATCTTCGTCGAAGGATCAAAATTGAAGTCCTGAGTGATTCCATTCTTCGCGCAATAGCATAAAGCTTATCGTAGCTGTAAGGTTTATGTAATCTCATATCGTGTTCACAAGAGTATGGTAAAAAAACAGGAGAAGCGTGTACTGTACGCGCAAATAGCTTTTATCAAGGAATTGGCAGTTTATAGAATCTCTTCGATTTATCGTTCCGTACTTAAAATCTATAAAAACATCTCGACTGCAAGAATCGAACCTTCTCTTCTTTTCCCTCAATTTTCGCGACTGTATTTTGCCGCAAATCGCATGTACATAAGAGCGTGTGTATTATACATACACATATATTTTTGTACGACGATAAATTCGTCGAAGAAAATTGCTCTGTTTGCCAGTTGTACACACGTTGAATATGTGCTCGTTCGTGTCGCTCCGTTCGCTATCGCCATCATTGTCCTCCGGCTTTGACAACGCGATTTCCCGTTTCGCGAGTCGCGTCGCAATTCTGTTTTATGCGCGCTACTTTAGCCCTCTGACGGGGAGCCGAAGATTACATTCCAATTGTCGCTGAACGCCAGCTAGTTTCTTTTTTGTTGTTGTTTTCGTCGCAATGAAGATCGTTGCGACGACGACGATTTAGCAGTCGAACAGTAGTCGGCGAGCAGGTAATTGAAAAATTGACGTGTGTGCCGCAGCACAAACAACACGTAGGCGCGCAATGTGGCTCATTATTGGCTGTACTAATATGCATCACTTGGTAATTGTAAATAATCTTTAATGTATATCTCGCGCATTCTTCAACTTTTCCTATGATACACGCTGTACTAACTATATATATATTAAAGGCTTGAACTCTTGTAGTACAACTTTTAGCGGACAAAACCATGATGTTCTTCCACTATGTAAATCTCGATCTTGAAATTCGAATCTTACTACTGTCTCTCACCGTGACAACAGCAAAACAATCCGCACGTTACAAACACACCGCATGTAATATCCCCCGCCTCCCCCAAAACTCCCGATCGCCCTCCTCCCCCTAAGAACCCCATAATGTGCCATTGTACGTATACATATGTTATATATATCGAATGACCAAATAGTTATATTTTTACGAATTTCAGTGTTTGATATAATCGAGTACTTAAAAAAATGAGGAATATAAAAAATATTAAAAATAAGCGCGGGACAAGGCTTCTTTGATAATGTACAATATAACGTGCATATATTTATATAAATATAAACATAATCGTGTATAATGGAGGAAAAAAATTCCGCTTCGCAGGCCGTAAGTGTATTACATACAAACACACACACACACACACACACATACACATACATAATAAATGAAAAAAAATACACACGCAGACATTGTAGGGGATACTGCTTGGCTGCATGTTCAAACAAAACAAAAGTAAAGAAAAAAATAAACGCGCAAACATATACACGTTCAGAAACACAATAATGATGTGATCGTTCAATATATCGACGATACAAGACTAAATGAGCAACGAATAAACGAAATTATTTTTCTAGACTCAGCAGCAAAATGAAAACACGTTATTTGGTTTTCGTTTTCGGTTTTTTGCGTACTGTCTCGCGAGAGGATGCTTAAAAGCGTGTGCGAAAGAGAGCCATATAGGGACCGACGTAGAGAATGACATCTCGCAGTGCCATATATTGACGATGAAGCAGTTATAACACATATCGGCACGTTGTTGATGTGATTGTATAAAAACAAAAAAAAGAATATATATATATATATATATTAAAAAAAGCTTGTTACCTAGCGGTGCGGTAGATGAATTCAGACTGATGTATATTGTTGTCTAAAAAATATTTGCGAAACAAAAGTGAACAAGAATAGATTTGATGAGAGGACGTAAGGAAAAACAAATTATTTTGCTGCATGTTTTAACGATTGTTAAGTCGCGCTTCGTGTATGTATATATAATGTGTACACGTTTTTACAAGTCGTTCCTTTTTTTTTGTTGCGAGTGGACGGAATTCTGGTGTATTTCACTTTTTTAATTTTCATCGTAGGAACGAAATAGTACAGTTGTTTCTTTAGAGTTTATGGAAAATTCATAGTTAGATTTATATAACGGAGTTCCGATGAATTTATTGAAATTAATTTTGAAGCAATTTTTTAACAATCCGTTACACAATGATGAAAATATTGATGAAATCGTTTGTTTGTCAATTTAGTTTTTTGATTGTGAAAAATAACCAACAAAACTGTCCCAAGAGAAATCAATTGAGTAGAACAAAAGAATATACTTGCCGAAGGATTTTGGCATTTCTTGATTTATAGGATTACGTCGTATGAGTTTGCTTCATTGTCACGAGTACGGGAATATAGTTTTTATACAGAATACGAAATATGAAGCGAGAAAACAAAAGTGAGAAACTCATTATCAAATAGATGTAAATAAAAAAATGTTGGTGTAGTGTATGTTGACTTCTTACCAACCAAGTGTTCGCGCTTGTGATCGAAAACGAAAATCCAGTCAAAAGTGGATATAATACATCTGAGTATCAATCAAAAAAGAAAGTCGATATTGAATAAAGAAAAATAGCGCGGCAAGTGCAAACTTTTCGAAAATAAGTGACGAGCGCAGAAGAAAAGATAATACAGAGCCAAGAGCTTGAATTTCGCTCTATGTATGTGACCTTCTTCGATTCGATTCACTTGTACAGATTCCTTTTCTATAATTGCGTGTGTCGCGCCAGAGAACATCGACTTTTAATTCCGTGATATGTAATTTAAACTTCGCTTCCGACCAAACAAAAGATAATTAAAATAAAATGCACGCTGTCATAACAAAAAGAAAACAAAAAATTCACAGGAAAAGCGATATAAAGGTTTTGTATATCGAAAAGCCCGTCTGTCATCTGTAATCTGTGCGAAATAAAAAAAAATATATATATAAATATACATATATAAATGAAAAAAAAACAAGTGTTGTCCAAATAAATGAGCTAAGTAAGGGAAACAGTAACGCATCTCTCGAGACTTCTTTATCCTTTCACCATCGATTTATTACTCCACTACAGTGATTCACGTCAATCGAGGCTGTGTCGTCGTAAAGGCTGATTCACATACGCCGCTATGGACATTTTTATTCGTATGCGCAAAAACATAATCCAATTTCGTGAAACTTCCTTTTTTATTAGGTTTACTCAATTTTTACTTGCGATTATCCAATTGTAGAAGTCTATATAATAGCTAATTCATTTCTTTGAATCACTTCTAGAACAAATAACTTTTTCATTTCGGTTCAAATTAATTTAATTGTTTGTTTCTGATCGTAAAAAATTTATAAAAATAATTATCTTATTTAAACTTAGCGTAAATTATTTAATGGTAAATTAACAACAAAGTTCTTATTGAATGCATAAGTATTTTTTATTATAGATCAAACTGTTAATTAATATCAAATTTCTATAAATTTTTAAAATAGAAACATTTTACAAACAGCACTTCATCGATGATACATTTCACTTCCCATTAAATATGAGAAGAGATTTTATTTAATTATTACGAAAACTGTCATCGTAGTATTCGAGAAAATATTACAATTTTTACTTATACAAAGAGTAGAAACCTTTTGTAAAGCTCTCAGTAGGCTTTGAATTTGGTGGAAAAATTTCTTTAAAAAACATGACATTTTGATAATCACAAAAAAACATCATATGCAAAGTATAGAACTTTTCTGTATAAAAATATTATGTAAAATATTTGAAAAAATTATGCTAGTTAAAGAAATTTCAAACCACCTAAGCCTTCTGTTATTCTTACATAGATAATAATATACACAATTCATTTACACAATATTGATATCAACGTGATAATTACAATTCGATATATCTTACAGTCTGTTGCTCAGAGACAAATGCAAGTGACAGCAATTTATGTGTAAACATAATGAAACTGCGTCAACGTAACGAAGCTAATAGCAAACCATTGGTTAGAGAATATCATTGCGTTATTAAAAATTGACAAATCATTTTTTTAACGTTCCTCTGAAATACTTTAAAATAGAATAACTTATCAAACTAAATCACATTTATATACAATCAGCTATTGTTGCGAGACCTAATTTCTCAAATGAATAAAACATGAACAATTTTTTACAATTTTCTTTTTTAAAAAATATATAATTCAGCAACTTATGTACAACTCGACAATGATTAACGAGCGTACTAAAAATGATTTGTAAATTTCGTTACTGTTGCGTATAAAAAGATACATAAATTAGAGTACTCTACTAATGCCTCGTCTAGACATACACTTAATATACATTCATAATTAAAGTAGTAAGTGAAGACGAAGTACTTGACATTTACTCCAACTCATTTCTTAAATTATCATTCAAAAAATAAATTAAAATGTAAATCCAGACGAATTTCTCCGAATTTCATAAGAAATTCCCTGGCAGAAATATATTTTCAATATTATGCAATACGTAAAATTTATACATAGCTTACAATTCTAAAAAAATTTGGAAATTGTGTACATTGTTTTTCATTTAATAAAAAATCCTAGAAACTTGTAAAGAAAGACATGCATTACCTAGCATAACGATACAAAACTCAAGTGTAAACGCGTGTAAAAATTAAATTGTGTTTAAACTTGAGTGTTCGTTACAAAAAATTAAATTTTCGATACTCCGTGCGGAAAATTCGTGCTAACCGTACGGAGTATCGAAAAATAGTATACGATATATGTTTGGAAAAGAGATTCTCTTCTCATGTATCTTTCCACTCTCGCTTCGCTCGGGTGTAAACGCCGCACCAGACGAGAATCTACTTTCCCGCACTTGTATCGTAATGTACTATTCTAGCACTTGTATTGTTATGTACTATATATTAAAAATAATAAAATTGGAAGGTATGCATCAATCTGTATATGTATAAAAATATAATGCTTTTACCAATTTTGAGTATTCAATACTCCACATCAACATAAAAATCAAATGTAAAAATTAATTTGACGCATTCCATGAAATCATCAATAAAGGAATAAGTAAGAAAATACACTAAAAAATCAGGAATTTCCGCCAGGGAAAACCTCGAGAAATAAATATAGCTGTAATACTATAGCAAAATTTCAGACATCGAAAGAGTTGAGAGCTTCTTGAAGCTTATTGACGATTTTCTGATAGAAGTTAATCTGCTCGACGAGGTGATTCTTAATCGCTTGATTTATATGAATCTCACGCTCCGACTGAAAATGTGTCTCCTCAGCACCTAACGCCCGGGCAATTACATCTGTCCTGTGATTCAATTCCTGAAGCTGTTGAGCTTCCATCTTACGCTCGGTTACGAGGCGCTCACAGTCTTTGCGCTTTTGTACTGCACTCTGAAAAATGCACTTTTCATTATTGAATGACATTTACAAAAATCTTCTCAAATAAAAATTATGGATAAAATATTGAAAGATAAAAAAATTGCATTAATACTTCAATTCACAAATTAAAATGTTCTTTACAAATAATTCTTTAAAAAATAATAATGATAGGCTTGATTATAGGAAACTCAACATTAAGTCATTATAGCCTTTTTAATACAATAACATTATTCGTAAATTAATGAGTCAGATTAAAGACGCTTTTCTTTATAGTTTATTCCAAACACTGCGCAATACCAATGGAAACGAAAATAAAATAAGAAAATCATTAAAAACTTTCTTCTCAATAAAATCAGAGAAAATAAGATCTCATCAAACGCATAAACAGTAAAAAATAATACATACGTAAAATAAAGCAAAATAATATAAAATCTGTATTGCAAAATGAAAATGTTTTAGAAATATTGGATATATTTAAATATAAAACTATAGTTAGATTCACTGCACATTTTTAAACAAAGAACTTATAACAATAGAATTGAAAAAAAGCTTTATACTCAAAGAAAAAAATTGTCTATTGAACGGAACGAACCTTATGAATATTAATAACATCAGGGAAATTATTAATGATTCCCCGATAAATGTGGAATTTATCCGCTAACGGTTCCCAATCATATTTCGGCTGCTCCTCGTACAGTTTTCCAATTTCATTATACGCTTCACCGGTGTTTTTTAATGCCTGATTGAGTTGAGTTCGGTTGCGAGTTGAATCGTCAGCTTCGAGCGCATGGCCTAGTGCATGAAAACATTGACCAACTTTTTGGAACTCACGCTTGTAGAGTTGCTGGTGCTTCTTTGCTTGGTCCGTTGCCATTGCCATTAAACTTTTCACTACTGGATCTAAGCCTGCAATAAATCTGCAAGAGAGGTTAACAATCAATTGAGTTTGTTAAAATTAAGTTGATAGTAATTTTTAACATTTTATGTTAAACAAATCTATGCTGGAAAAATCATCTTAGCGTTAAAAATAAAACAATAAAAAATAATTTTTCCATATCTGCCGATTAAATAAAAATCGGAAAAGCTTTGACACTCGATCCATAAACTTACGAAACCCATCAAGTTCTCGGACTTAAATTAAAATCTCCCCCAGATCATTTTTCACGTTATATACCTTGAAAATGCATCGGTCTGAAACTCGATCTTAATGGCATCGAGTGGGGAGTCAGGACATTTAATTCCATGGAAATATGTATCGCCTAAAAGCTCTTCCTTTTCAGCCTGCCTCTTCCCTTGTTTCCAACGTTTCTCATCCGTACATGTAATAAAATGTTGCCAAACGCGGCTCTTCGATAAGACTGGATGTCTGCATACGTAGTCGACGAATTCTTGAAGTTGAGTACGTCGATGTTCGATAAATTGCTCCTCATAGCGACCTGAGATTTGCTTATCTGGTAAAGGTGGAATTGGGATAAAGATGAATTTTTCTTCCAATCGCTCATGTAGCCAGTCGAAGTGTTTGTACCTGCGTGATACTTGGATGTTGTTGAACTAAAAGTGAAAAATCGGTAACTTGATATTATTGTTGATTTTATTATTTGATGAGCTGTACATTTTTTGAAAATCAAAATTGTTAACGTAAATTTGCATTGTGGTTTGAACTGTAAACAATATAACAAACTTATTTTTAACCAATAAAAATTTCAATAAGTTATTTTCGTAAAAATTTCATTAAGCTTCACATATATATTTATTACAGTAAGATAGACATGATGCGTAATAGCATAATACTTAAATATATGCTTACACATCATTACCCGTAATAATGCACATGTAATGTGCACCAATTGATTATAATTAAAATATATTTGTGATAAAATCTAATTAAAATGACATATTCTTGGTAATGTCTCCAACTATCACATTATATAACTAATTTACATCTATTTGAAATTTGTGATATTTTCGTTTTTCATTTTAGTATATAAATAAGTAATCACAAAGTAATTAAATAATTTTAAAATTTGCAGAGTTATGTTATAATGTTTAACAAAGTTATTTCTCATTTTCCTGAGGAACATTAATTACCGTAGGTGTAAGTTGGTAAACAATAAAGCTCTTCAACCCTTTAAGTTTAGACTCCTTTTTGGGCGAGGTCACAACACAGTTGTAGCTCTCACCAGTAGAAACCCACTGAAATTGGCCATTCTCAATTTCTTCAATAAATATCTGCTCTGATTCTGGCACAGTAATGTTTTTACAACTAAGAAGGTAGCCATCTTCGCCTGATTTAGAGAAAGTAAATTTATTATTTTTCTTTGGTATACTTGGGATTGCCCTGTCGGGTATGACTGAGTGAACTGTCTGTAGGGATACAGAGTCACTGTATTCTATACTCCCAGACTGGGCTGATTGCACACTTGGCTGTTGCTGAAGTGGTGGTACATATGCCTGAGTCTGACCAACTTCAGAATCATCATCCCAGTCGTCATCCCAGAAGTCACCTGTATTCTGCTGTGAATTTGCTGCATTGGCTGATTGATAAAAATAAGGTATAAATTAATTTTTTAAATTAAAAATAATATTGATAATGACTGGAATGCTAAATATATCTGCATTTTCCACTTTAACAGTGCTTTAAAAGATCATTTGGAGGGTAATATTTTACTTGTTTAAAAGATATTTCAATAAAATTAAATGATAACAATTGTTTTGATAAATAAGATATAAGTAATTATATTACAAATTGCAAGATTGTTTTGCCATTTTCTATGAAAAACAAATCAGTTTTATACTTTTGTAAGAAATTAAATATATTTTCTTTTTAAATAAATCACAATTATAATTAAATGCCAAGAAAAAGATAAAGTTCACTAGTAGAACAACTATCTCCCATAGATAAACACAATCACCAAGTTGTGCTTTTTTTATGTACTTTCTAACTTATCACTTACAATAACATTTTTGTGAACTTTTCTCAAACAATGGAAAGACTGAACCAAGCAAATGTAAAACTTCTGAATCACTGAAGTTATTTTAAAAATCAAACAAAGAGGCCAATCAACAACCTGTCGTTGGAGCAGTAGCCTCAATGATTTGCACATAAGCAGCAGGAAACAGTCCTGACTTTCCAACAGAATTAAAGCCTTCACACCAGCCATCTCCAACATTATCCCTCATCACAGTAAGCACTTCCCCCGCGATGATGGACAACTCAGCAGAGCCGGGCTCCCCGGAGAAGTCATAGAGGGCTCGCACCTGTAAAAATCAAGCATGAATCATCGACTGTTAATTCGTGGATAATATAAAATAAAAGCAGTTAGAAATTCGAATTGTACTTGTCGTCCGTCCATGACTTGGTAGTAGTTGTTAGCCCGATGACATCCGCGGAACTGACTACTGGCGTGTCCTTACTGATGGAGGGGATGTGCACGCCTCTTTCTGGACTGCTCCAGCGACTCGGTAGGTTATGTTTGTTTGTTGCTTTTGCTACGTGTACAAATTTCTCTACACATGTGTATGATCAGAAGCTTTCCCTACAAATGTAATAGAAAAATTCAAGTTTTAAAAAAGGCAAACGATTGAAGGTTAGGGGCCCGATCTCGTTATTAATTGTACTTAATTCCTCACTTAATGCGAAATGAACGCTCTTTTTATTTGCGACGTGTGTACACGCAAGACGCAACTATACTACATACTATCAAATCAACGAGATTAAACTATATTCTTAGCGGGAAATTCAAATTCCAAATTTTACATATATTATTTTTGACACGTGAAAATATATTTTAATACGTGTACTAATGTTTGTGTTTGAGGAAAAATCGATCTGACACGTATCTTTTAATAACGTTTAATTCTGTTGAACGATGAAGCTCGTTGAATATATACTCATATACGTGTGACTTGTTTCCTTCACTTACGTAACGAAGAAAGTCACTACAATTATTACAATACATTGTAAAAGTAAAAATATTGACTACTAACAAATGACAAAGATAGATGTCGTGTACATGCACACTTACAAACTTGCAAAACAAATTGTGCTGCGACTGTTAGACCGTTAGCCCGTTGCAAAATAGCTGAATGATTTGTCCACGCGTGCTCTTCAAGGTGCCGTTAATTATACGTACGCGGATCTATGATTAAGCACAATTAGTCGGTAATTTATAATTGTTAAAAAATTTGCGTTTTACAATGATATCACCAGAAATCACTCTGTAGGAACGTGGCACTCGATAACTTTGACAGGTTTATGGAATCAGAGAAAGGTAAAATTACTAATGACGTGGTAAATATATACTGATGATACGGTGTATGATACGGTGGGTATCGTTTTTCAAGACATACTCAACAATGAAAATTGCGCTCTCTAAGACCGGAATGACAGAAAAACAGTGAAGATATCACCATGGGAAGCAGAGGCTATGAAGACTAGAATTAATCATCTCATTACTTGTAGAAGAACCATCCATGAGCAGAGACGAAGAGAAAGCTTCAGAGCCATATTACCAGAAATAGCTCCGTATTACAAGAAGCCAAGGATTGAAGAAACATTTACCGCACGTGGATGATAACATTATCGTTTGTTAGATCGCATATTTTCCTGCTATTCTGAAATTTTCGTTAATCTTAAGTTTTTTTTCTTCTGATAAATATTCTAATTATTTTGTGCATGAACTGTTCTCCATTCAATAAGCAACATATCGCATATTTCCTCCTTGTAAAGTCTGAAAGTCTGACTTAGAATGTTTTAACAGTCAACAAATTTGATAGCATTACTGCGGCGATTTCCTGCCTAGATATAAAATCGTTTGAGAAGATTTCTATTGTTCAAAGTTAAATAAAAAGATAATTCGTATACAGCAAAGTCAATTGTTTCTTTTATTCCTATGGGAGAGGGATAAAATAATCTATTGACATGAATATAACCACTCGCTTTTTCGGATTGTCACTGCACGATATTCTAAATAACTTATTACAAAATTGACTTCATTCAGTTGTATTTTAATAAAATGGCTGAAAGTTTTCTAAATGAAAGAAAATTGAATTTTGGACAAGTTTCGACAGAAATCAAGAGAAAGTTATTGCTGGGTACAAGCACCATTGTATCGCGAAGACGCCGCGACGAACATTTTTTTATGACGATCGTTCGTTTGTTTTTGACATAGATACCGCGAGATATCATCAAAGGCAATACATGAATAATGGGAGGATAGCTGTCAGTTTGTCCAACTTTTCTTAAAAGCATTCCAATTTTTATTCTGCAGTTTCATCGAAAAGTATGCAGCAAATTAATAAGTACGAGTTATCCTTAAACCTTAAACGTGCAAAAATGTTCTTAAAATAGAAAGGCCTGAGCACTTATTATGAAAATTATTTGTATTTATTCTGTAAAAATATAGCGGTCTAAATGTGATAACGAGAGGTAAAATACGAATGTTGTTTGATAAAATATAAATAAATATAATACGAAAAATCTTAATTAATTTTTAGGTATGTCTTAATTTTTCAATACAGTTGAGAACGATGATAAACGATCTTAAATGATAAATCGTAATTATATAAATGTGCGACGGAATGTCAATTTATCTGAGAAATAGATATAAATCGCTTCTGAACCCAAAAGGCCAAAATAAAGCTCTATAAATATTGACTTGAACTAACAGTTTCGAATACAGAACCTCCTCCTCTTTTTTCTAAGTCGGCAAAGAGGAGGAGGGATGGTCGATTTTGTTTGTATGGTGGGTATTTCTGGAACGGTCGAAAAGGTATTCTTGTGAGATGCTCGCGTTTCAACACTGACTTCTTTGCGAGTAAACGCAAAAGAAAAAATATTAAAATTGTCTTGTTCTTTTTTCAGCGCTTTAAATTGAGATAATCGTCAAGCCCATCTGCGATGCCTTTTCTCTGGTACCTTCGAAACTATCGTTAGCACTCGTTAGACGTATAGAGTGCCGCACCTTCACAAGTATAGCGTAGTAAAGTCGTTAGCAGGACTTGACGCGCTTGCGTTCTACTTGCCGTGGAAACCACACACTTATTTGGCATAGCTCGAGTGGAGAAGAGAACCGACGAGTTCGCGCGACAGAAGATCAAGGCGATACTAGAAAGGAGACGGCAAATGGCTGAAACCTGCCATCGTTCAGTGCTAAATCTGGCTGGGATCTGGATTGTGCCCTCGTCGATCTAATCAATCTCTGCCTGGATGAGGCGATACAAAATTCCGTGCGTATGATTGCACTGGGGTGTAGCGAAGCTCTCCGCGGTAAGGATATAACCTTCACGGGTCATGATGGTATTTGCGAACTTGAGCGAATAACAATGAAAGCAAGAGTTAGCGACCTGAAATCTAATCTGACTGTTGTACTCATTCTACTTGTACATTATAAGCAATACCATAGAGTGGGTGCTATAAATAGTTTAGTATGTGGGTGGAAGATGATCGAACTCATCGCGGAGAAATTAAAAGCAAAGAGTATCAACGCTTGCCGGATGCGTAAAATCCCCCAAGGTTTGGGTAGGGAAACAGAACCAATCAATCGCTAGAAACAAAATAGATGCAATGATCAGTCTGAAGTCAATTTGAAGTCGGCGTCCACGGCAGTAATGACAATGGTAAAGCGCGCGACCAGCGAGCAGGTTGTGACCCTATGTGAGCAGTCAACTTGCGCCACGATACAATACTTATACACACAGCATCAACTAATACGTGTATGGGAGAGAGAGAGAGAGAGAGGAGCTAGTACACCTATACGCACGCACAGCGGGGAGAAAAGTTAGAAGCAAAGTCCATAACTAAATAAATCCCTCCCACTCTTCCTCCTCATCTCTCTCTCTCTCTCTTTTTCGTAATCGAACCGTACAGCACGCGCACGTACGAGTGCCCCTCTCAAGCAGTCGCCTTGATCTCTACGCTGAACCCGAGGCCCTTGGCGGGGCGCAGCCCTGACTCCGTACAACTATACAACGCAGGGCGTACCTAACGTTGCTTTTCCCTGCTCACACCCAGTGCGTCGGCTCCCAATTTGAATAGCACAAGACACGCGACCCTCTGGCGGAATAGCGCAACATCTTCGTCGAAACGCATTCGTTCGTAACTGTTGCTATCGTCGGCGCCGAACTAGATCTTACACGTTACAATCGACCAAACACACGACAGGAGGTAGAGGGCTCTCTTACGGTTAAAGGCGCAGCTACGCTGACGACGCTACGAGGGTGGCAGTGCGCACCACGACAGCGTCCACAGAAGCGTGACCTCCGTGTCTCGAGAACGGGGGAAGAGACGGAGAGAGCTGCGGCCACCACGCTGTCGGACGACGGACTGACTTGCTGCTCAGTGCCTGTCGGCCAGCGCCGATCAGCCCTCTCCTCCCTTGCCGCGGGCCGAGAGGGAGAGAAGACTGCCGCTGTGCGGGCCAGGGGACCCGCGGGCTGGACGATGCCGGGCCTACCCCGCAAGATGCCGCAGCTGCGCGACGACGGTCGGCAGCTCAAGGGCGGCGACGCTGGCGTGCCGAGCTTTTCCGCGGACGTCAATTTCGGAGATTAGCGCGGCACTTTTTAAGCCAAAGAAGAGAGAAGGAAGAAAAAGCTTCGTTCCGTAAACATATGGATTAACTTGTCATTGAAAGCCTGGCAACCCGTTGTTCATGCCCATCTGAAGCCTATCAATATAGACAAAAAGTCACTGTTTCATGCGAAAATTGAGGAATGGAAAAAGTCGATGTAAATGAATTGAGGGCAATGCAAGCAAATGCTCTGTTTAAGATGCAATTCGAGATTACATCACTTTTTAGAAAAAACTACAATTTGAGCCGTCGCGAAATTATTTTTATTCATTAGTTACCGTAAAAAGTATCAATAATATACAGTATAATGTACAATATAATTGATTTTTGATTGATTTAACATTATGTTTTAATGATCCATCTGCTAGTAACATAATAATTGTTAATAACGGCACAAAAATTATTCAATTAATCTGTTTAAACAACTCTGATCAAATATTACAAAAATAAGATACATTTATTTTTCTTTAAATGAACTTCCAATTATTTGTTTTCAAAAGAAAACTAGCAAATCTATGTCCAAACTCGAAAGCTTACCGCTGGCTAAAAGAGCATCTGTCGAACATTGCAGCAAAAGAACTTATTTATAAATTCAATTGTGGCTTAGTAATAAATTAGATGCGCTTAATTATGGTTGGTAAAAGGAAGAAAACAGCTTAGAACCTATTTATTCTTCGAACCCCCTATGATACCATCCGAGGTATCTGAAAAAAAAACAACATATAAATGCCAAAAGGGTTGCAAATCTTCATCTAGCTGCCGTAAACATGAGTTGAAATGTTCACGATCGTGTGGATTTTTCTCAAGGGATTACTGTAAGAATATCGAAACAGTAAAATACGATAATAATCTTTACGATGAAAATAATCTGCAAAATAGCTTAATAAATACTTTTACAGAAGATGAATGCGAAATAAGCGATGTATGTGATATGCCAAAGAAAAATAGACTATTTTAATTATTATGTGATAATAAAAAATATTATCATCAATAGTTTGAAATACATCATTTCTTCTTATTGCCTCCTGTATTTATGAATTAAGGTTACTTTAAACGATTATTACATTAACTTAATTGTCGATTTTAAATTAGCCAGGAATACGTATAGCAAATAAAAAATTGCAGTTGATTTGTATATTTGTAACATATAAATTATCGTTCATAATTTGTAATACTACCCCAGATTAAAAAAAGAAAGGTTGAAATTATGGTGCATTAGTTACTGATATACGTTCAATTTTTCCAAATGCATCAATTTCAAAAGAGGACTGACAGAGACCCTTCACCATACCGGTACCGGTTTCGGACTTTTCCGATACTTGATTTTCAGTCTTATTATCAATTTTGTGGAAGAGCTACATCTTATCAAGTATCGAATGCTGCTGGATATACTTCTTCATCACTATTGTTACAGGAACTGCGACAACCTAACTCGACTCCTATTTGATCGAAAATAAATATTTTTTCAAAATCATCGTTGTGAATGCAGCTAACTAAATTTTTAAATTATAGATTTCTACAGTATATTGGAAAGCCTTAAAGCTATTTGCTGATGACAAAAAAAGCGTTTCTTCTTTTGAAGCTAGAAATAAGGGGTTGAAAATAAATATCAAAATTGTTGTTTTGGCAGAGTTTAAGCCATCTTGCAACTCAACTCCTTTGGCCAAAAAAATGTTACCGTCTTTTGGCATCACTTAGTTATCTAATAACAATAATCTTAACAACTAATGAATTTATTATTTATATCATACCAGCTTTCTTTTAATAGTAAAAAAACATTGAAAATAAAAATGTTAATAAATAAAATAAAACTGCAATAAATATTCGCTATTTATGGCAAAAATAACTTTCTGTAATAAATATCGAATATGATATTTGAAAAATAGCATTTTTGAGACTATTTTCGTGGGTTAATCATACTTTTTCAAATAACTATAATGAACAAAAATAATCGCTCGACGGCTCAAATTGTAGCTTTTTCAATTTTGGATAATTTTAATCTAAAATACTTATCATGACTTACAGACATGGAAAACTTGTTTTCTCCGACTTCTAACCCTTATAAAAAAAATTATGTAAAATCTCGAGTTTCATTTTATATAGAGTATTTATTTATGTTGCCCACAACACATTAACATTAAATTTTTCCGTCAATTTTTGCACGACATTTTCTTTATTGATTGAACTATTAATGCGGCGAAAAAGACTGGTCGGATCTCCAAGTTTTCCATCCGGACTGCTTTGGTCCGCAACAGCAACAACAGGTATACGCTTTTGTCGTTTAGGGAGGGACGACGGCGTGCGTCCTGGCGTCCGACCGGGTAGTATGCTTGTCAAATGTGTCTCTGTTTCATTGAGCACCAAGGTTTCCGTTGAATATTCATCGAAAAGTAAAGTGCCACTAGAAATGGAATTCGGTGCACCGTTGACTGTGTCTAACAAGGCTGTGTGGGCTCAATCCGAACGATTGCGCATCGTTTTTCTTAGATAATAAAGACAATTTCGTTCGGTAAAATTTTCCTAAATTCTTACTTCAGTTGCGTGCTTTTTGTTCGATCTACTGGCATGTAAAACGATTTGACAAACCAGCATGATCTTCGACAAAGTTAATTGTTACAATCATTAGGAATCAATTCTAAATAGATATCATCCAAAAAAAAACTTCCGATCCAATAAGTTAACTTCCTTCCACTAATATATCTATTTTCATAAGTTTATTTTTATTATTATGATCTGATTCAAACTTATGAATTCTGCTTCTTTTCTAATTTTTAGCGACTACCAAAATAACTGATAGTACTGCATTTTATAGAAATTTTGACATTTTCTAAAGCTATGAAATTATTTTCTATTAATCTGTAATAATACAGAAATAAAATATCTTCATACTTGAATGACCAATTTCATAAGCTTTTGCTTTCAATCACTTTTGACTCTTCGTGGTAAAGTATCTTGATCAATGACAGTAATAACAATCGGGAAACATTTTGCAATGAGGGCTAGGTTTCATTTCAAAATCAATAAGAATTAGATAAATACAGTCAAATTTTTGCCGAAAAAGATACCAGATAAGACTTATAAACAATGAAAAACGTTGCATTAAAGATTCACATATATATATATATATATATATATATATATATATATATATATATATATATATATATTTATGCATACGTATGTACACAAAATTTTTATTTTTACTTAATATAATACAGTGTCATATTTTGAGTTAGCATTGCTACGAGGAAGCAAAATTTTTACAGGGTAGCAAAAGACAAAGTATGCAAATATGTCGTCACACACAACGAGATAAAGAAAGTAAAGACTGATATACGCTCTTACCCCAAAGAAAAAAGATACTGTAGATTATATTCTTGCAATGCGAGAAATTCAATGATTAGAGAACGAATATGTTTAAAAAGCTTTGTAAAATTAGTAAGTTTGATCGTTACTCAATGACTTCGTTTCTTGTAACTATTTTTAAAAATATAATTCGTATTATGTCAAAATTTATGGTTAAAATAGATATAAGTATTTAAAATTACACTTATATTAAGTATTTTTGAGTTAATACGTCAAATTACCCTTAAGTTATTGACATTTTACCCTTCGTTTTGTTTGTAATTTAGTCTAAGCCCTAACATAAAACTCGTGCGCTAACCATTTATAATTCTGTAACTTTGTATTTTGTGGAATGGCCATATACTATTAAAGTAAACTGCCAAGAAAAATCTTACTATATTACTACATCTATCTTTGGGTCGATAAGAACGATATTAACGCGCGCATGCGCCTGCTGAGCCGGTCGTCAATGTAGATCCCATTTTTAAAACTTGATCCATGAACAATGCTCCGCTAAGTTCTGTACGCACGCGCGTGTTTACTTCTTTCAACATTCCGGACCCTCCCAGCTGATCACTCCGTTTGACGTCAGTCGCCAGCAATGAAAGGTCAAGAGAACTCGCGTTTCGGCAGCTTTTGTCGCAACTTTTCATTCTACTTCAAAGTTTTCAAATCTTTTCTTACAATCCCCTTTCAGGTAAAAATTGACATTCGCACTTTGCTTCCCTCCCTCACTCTCTTTCCTAATATCAAGAACATTATCAACTGTTATAATATTAATAATATCGAGACTAAATTTAAATATTATTTTATTTTATTTAGTATTTGTTGTTTGTGAAGGAATTATATAGGTCTTACATTAATTACATTACTTCCATCTATAAGTACTAATAATATGCAATTTTTCAATGTTACTGTAAGATGATTTGAAAACAAAAAAATTTTACGTAGCCGAAAGTCCAGCTGCGAGATCCGCAACAAGTACTTCGCTCAACATTGGGAGACGATCTTGAGGTAGTGAGCTTCTCGACTGATACTCTAGTCAAGTCTGGAGACAATTATGGCAGTAGTATTGTCAAAGCCACTGTCGATATCAAAAGAGGAGATGACATTGAAAAATTGAATTTAGTAGCGAAAATGTTGCCTCCATCCGAATTCCAGAGAATCGTCTACCAGTGCAACGTCACCGTTGCAAAGGAAATTTTTTTGTACGAGGAACTTATTCCCGCTTATCAAAAGCTGTACCGAGGCGAGTTTGATATTGTGCCAAAGTTTTATGGCGGTCGACTTGCCATTAATGCTGACGTTAATGGTATAGACGATAGCGCTGTGATATTATTAGAGAATATCAAAGAGGTCGGTTACGTTATGGTGGATCGTCACGAAGGTATGCTGTTTTGCGGAATAACTGGACTTTGTATTCGTGGCATCTATTTTTTCTTCTCTCGATTGCTTATCATAGCTTATCTGCGTTTTATATATAAGGATCGTTGAATTGTCACTTCATTTTTCCGCAAATCGTGCTACATGTTGTTTTTTACTATTTTGTTCTACCAATGAATCGGAGTGCTTGATCGAACTTCTTCACTCGATCTAAAAATCTCAGAATCATTGTGCTGCGACGTTGAAAAATAATTATTCTTTCGATTCATTTGTTTGATTGTCCAATGCTTTGCGAAATTGCTTTAGTCCCATTTATTTATCGACAGAACGAATGTGCGAATACATTCATGTTACCTATATTACAATGAGTGTTTGAAGCTTAGAATAAATTGTAAAGACTGCGTTCCAAGCTTGTGCCACAACTTGCTGATTTCTGAGTTATACATAAAATAAAACTATTTTATGTTGTATACTTATTGATAAATATAATTGTTTCATGTGGACAATTAATTTCAGGCTTAGATATGAATCACATGAAGATTGCAATTCCAGCCATAGCCAAGTTCCACGCAATCGGCCTAGCAATAAAGTACAAAAATCCGGAATTTTTCGCAAAAATTAAAGATTATGCAAAACCACTTGACATGTCGGAAGAGATGGTAGGTTCTCTGGTATCATCAATGCTAAAAATGATAAAGAACCATTCGCAGTTGAGTGAGTATTACGAGCGAGCTCGATCGTTGAACGAGCCTGGAGACAACAAAAATTGCTTTCTGCAAATGACTTACGAGCCCGACGATCCGCGGGCTTGCGTCGTTCATCGCGACTTGTGGAACAATAACGTAATGTTTCACATTGACAATGGCAAAATCGATGCTTTCAAATTCTTCGACTTTCAGAATTACTGTTTCTCTAGTCCAATGACGGATCTGTTCTACTTTCTTTTGACGAGCTTGCAACGCGATTTGAAGGACCTCGATGAAGCGTTTGAACTTTATAGAATATGTGCTCGCGACGTTTTGAACGAACTCCAGTGTGACGCGAGTTTGTTCGAGAAAACGAATTTCGATAAACAGATGAAGGAAGATGCAGCAAGCGAGTTGTTTCACTCGATTATAATGGCAAAAACATCCGAGATGCGCTCAATGTGGGATTTTTTCAGACCAACTAATAATCCAAATTTCATAAACAGGGTTAGAAGAATCTTAGAAATTTATGATGCGAAACAATGGTTTTAAAGTATAACTGCGGAAACCTTCATGTATTTTAATAATGTGTGATATAACAGAGATTATATGTATGTGGATAATATTTTGTAAATTTGTAAAAAAGTATTACTTTTATGTAAAAGTTTGGTAAAGCAAAAAATAATAAATATTTTGTATTATTTTATATTTTTCAGATTCTAATAAAATCAATAAAATCTATGATAACTTATTTATACACGTAAATTGAATTATACATTTATTAACTTTCAAAATATTAACAATTGACTTGAAATTTATGAAAATATGTTTTCCAAGGAGATAATTAATATTTGTATGATGATATGCAAAAAAGTATTTTGATGTTTAGTGTACATTTACATCAAGACGGCTTTTTTATTTGTCATACGGAATTTAAATATGTTTACATGTAATTACGTCTGTAAATGTGAAAATGTCAGTAAAAGACGAGGTTAACGGTGACGATTCGGAGATTAAATTTAAATCAACAAACTTAAAATTAAAAGTACTCATCTACAATTACGCAACATCCTTTGTTTGCGAACGAATGAAATAAAGGAGCGAGAAGAGACCGAACAAGCCGTTGATTAAGTCTTTTATATTGCTCTTGGTAACCAAGTTAATAAAAAAAATCAATAACCAAGAAAACTGAAGCAATTCAACAATTGCTAGACGTTTTCTCATTAAACAATTTTTTAAAGAATGTTGCTAAGCAACGGTCTTGTCATTTTAAAGACGATCGTTACGAGTTGACTCGAATATAATATGATTGCGGCCCGTAGATATATATATATATATATATTAAATAAATCTATGAAAAGTCTGCTACAAAAACCAAGGTTTTCGTACATTGATGAAAAATAAAACGACACTGAAAAATTCTAACTCTTCTCAGCAGTCATCGCTTGTTTCTCCAGAACTCGTTGCAATCCAGGTGACAACGAAGCCATAACAGCAAGTTGCAATGAAAAATCACCTCGTAATTCCTCAGGCGTATATTGTCTCGTAAATCTAATCGGTGAAGAAGCACTGAGTTCGACTAATGGGATGTCCGGCGTTGAACTTATACTTAACGAATGCCCATTGTTGCTATTCGTTTGATTCCAAAGTTTGTAAACGTCGTTGCATCTTGAGCAATCATGGAAACTACCGTCTGAATGTTCACAATTGCCACGATCCACCTTTTCGGAGCAATCCTTCTTCTTTGCATTATTATCCCAATCGGCAATCGACAACTCATTGATACTTTGGACGAAGGATCCAGGTGATGTTAGCCCCGCAGTTTCCGTATAAATTTGACGCTGTCTAGTCTTCTTTGAAGATTTCGTATCGGTTTCTGCTTCGTTTTCAGAAACATGTCTGGACGAGCGCGAATCCGTGCTCAACGTCCAACGCGTCGAATCTTCCGTTGTATACATGCAAGTCTTTTTGTTCGATGAAATATTGATAATTTTATCTTTCTCATTGTCTCTAACGATCGACGAGTTACTACTAGAAAATGCATCACCGCCGATCGTCGAGTACACCAGATTACTTTTATTCATTGGTCTGTTCGTCACTCGGTCTTTCTTTGCTTCAACGTCGTTCGTATTTTCCGTAGGCGAGCGCTCGTTTTTGGTTCTAATCTCGGGGCAACTTGGCGACAACGAGTTGTCAGAGGCGTTCTCTTTATTTTTCAACGTAGATTTACCTGATCTGTCTAAATCGCCGATATTGCAAGTTTTTGGTGAAATGCCATTCTTGTGTTCGACATAGAAAGAAACCGAAGCCGTAACTTGCCTCGGCAAAGTAACGCTAGACTTGCAAGATCCTAATGTATTCTGCATTAGCTTCTCGGCAGACAACTGTTCTTTCGCTATGTCTGAAATGAAACAACACTCTCTAAAAAACAATCGTTGCACACAGCGTATACCGTTGCTTACCTTTCTCATTATCCCGTGAGATCTCGCTGGCCAAATCGGAGTTGAGATCGCAGATGATCAAAGTAGCACTAGTACGGGCAATCACGTGATTGCCGAGCAACTTAACGTCCTCGATTTCGTGACCAGCTCGCGATCTTACGACAATAGGCTTCGAGCACTGATCGCCCAGTGAACTGACGATAGCCAGAGTTGGTTCGATGTACAGTACCTCGTAGCCTATTGTACCAAACGTCGAAGGTGAGCGCAACGTCACTTCGTATTGCTCGATCGATCCGCCATTCGAATCTCCGACGATTAATTGCGATTCTACGAATAAGAGAATGGTAAACCCAATGTGAAAAGTGCGAACAGAAAGAACCTACCATCACGTCGCCAGGCTACGGCTATAGCAGCACCTCCTTTGGGTAGAGTTGTTAAAACCGTATCCTCCCACAACGTAGTTCTCGGACTCAAATTGAGTATCCTCATCTGAAACGGGAATTGACTTGCTCGAACAACGCAATCCGATGTGTGCCCGTGCGGTAAGAATATTTGTACTCACACCATCCCACGTGCCAATCGCCACGTTATGACCATTTGGACTGCAGCAAGCCACGACGATACCGTTAGCAGTGAGGTTTCCACAGTAACTGAAGACTTGATGAGTTTTGCCACGGGAATCGTAGAATACGAGTCTACTATCACGACCACCAGCTAGTATATAATTGTGATGAGTCCAGGCAAGTGCTTGAGCGGCTACGGAGTGAACAATCACCTTGCCCAAGAATTCGATTGTACCCGTTTCCGTGATGTGGTAACGATTGATTTTACCATCCGAGTGACTTGACAGCATTCCCGTTACTCTTGGGCTTGAAAATTCAACGAGTATGACATTTCTCGGGATAACTTTATTGCATTACGATGACTTACTTGATGGCTAGTGCTATCGTCGTTGAATTAGCGTCGCATAGCACTGCTATCGTTCTGCTCGTTATCGCGACCGTATTGATTTTGCCATTCTCCAGACCGACAACTATCAATTTGTCGCTTGGCCACGCGAGGCAAGTCACCGATGAGCCTTGGTGAAGCTCGAATTCTAGGCTTTTCTTCTCCCTTCGGAATTCATTGCGACTTTAACATTAATCGTCAACGAATGCAGATATGGATACAACAGGATTTGATTTCACTTTACCATTGTTCGCCGATGTTGTAGACTTTGACGAAACCGTCCGTCTGACCTACCGCTAGTTTCGTGGAATCGGGCGAAAACGATAGACCTTTTATGGTATGATTCTGTATAGTTTTGTACAATGTAACTCATTTCGAGGTTCAATATCAAGTCTTGTTTTTTCTTGTTGCGTAAAAAATAAGATGAATCGAGCGACTTACCCGAGCGTTCAGAGCTTTTGTTGAGAATTCATCTTTCTTCGCGCACTTGCTGTCGAATAGGTGAACCGTACAATTCGCTGACGTCGCTGCTAATTTCGAATTGTCCGGTGACCATGCAATCGCGGTTTCTTGTTTTTTAGATTCCTTGAGGGACAGTTGTATGTGTTATAATTCATTAGCTATACATTGAAAAATTTTATTTTTATCAACGTCAAAAGATTCAAATATAAAATATAATGTTTACTACTCCGCTTAATTATCATATGTATTATTACAAAGGCGATGGAGCTGAAAGCAAAATGTTTTTTCTTACGGTACATCACTTTTTCCGAATCAATTTTTATAATTACAAAAAAAGAATTATCAAATTATTACGTAAATGCAATATCACATGAAGGGCTTATCTGAAAAATACAAAACTATCAAATCACAATTAAAACAATGCTCACGTGTGGAGATAAGATTGTTCCTAAATGCCGAAGTAACATTTTTCATGCTACATTCAAGAGTAATACTACAAGTGACGCCAGTAGCAATTGATTGATTCGTGAAAACAAAAAGCTGTGTATTCTCCGTGGAACTTTGTGTATTGGAAGTCGCTTGGCAACCTTCGTCGTACACCAGACTGTCACTCCCTTTTTTATGAACTGCAATTAAAACTTTCCGAAGACTTTGTGCATTTAATAATCTTTATTCGCAGATGTAGATTGTTGTGTTTTGAAGTTGATATGACTATTATATTTGTAATCAAAAAATTAAGTCTGCGACACTATCGCGAAAAGCAACTATACGCTATTGATGCGCGCAAAAATAGTTTATTTTATTCATTACTCAGTGTCATGTGCAAAAATTATAAAATCGAACATTGAGATGTTTTCATTATTTATGTATGTATAATTAATTATATATTGATATATAATAATTAAAAGCTATGTACTGGCGTGGACTACAGAGTAGTAATTAGTAAATAATTATTAAAAACGTGAAGAGGATTGTGAAAACAATCTAAGTACGTTTGCATATTTAACCAATAAAATGAGCGTGTTTTTCTCAACAGCATTCATCATTTTTAGAGCTGAATATTTGTTGCTCTAAAATCCGTTATAATCCCGGGATTGACAGCACTTTCGGAGTGTATTGCTTTGTAAAACGTCTTGTCGAAGATGTAGCTTTCAAAAAATAATGTCGATTTTTATTGCGATAAGTATCCTTAGAGCTCTGATAATTGTTCATAATAACTTAAAAACGCCCACAATTATATCAAGAAGAATCATTTTTATCCGATAGAAACAAATCGCGTTTCCAATACGGTGATTCGATTGTTGGATCGTTCAGGTTTAAAAAGTAACATACCATCGCCGTCTAGATAAAGAAGTTAGGATTGCAAAAGAGATCGACTTGATTCAATAAATTTTTCCTGTTTTCTTCTCGATATGCGAAGCAATTGCACTATCTTTCATTGTCGGCCCAAGCTCGTCTTCGCTCGTCAATGTTATCGAGAGCCAAAACCCATTGTAAAATTTAGTTTTTCGTATAGGTTGACGCGATCCGATGGTATAAGATCGTATTAAATACTTTACCTTTTCCTTGCGATACTTTCGTTTTGTATGAAAAAATTGATGTATTTTTCATTTCATCTATCTCTAGATGTGAAAAATTTAGAGTGGAAACCTATCAGGCAGAAGAGTACCAAAAGAAAATTGTCGAATTCTCGGACATTCCGGTCATTTTATCTTGGCAACAAAAATTAATTTTAATAACGATTTTTGAAAAATTGTGTATAAATATAAATAGGATTTTTATTTACTACGTAAAAGTAGTAATTTTCTTGCTTATCTTGATTAGGTTTATTTATATAGTAATAAAAATTATCTTTTAAAATATCAATATAAAGGAAAGGCATTTGAATTCACGAAAATAAAGAATTCGATAAACCGTACGATTCCAATAATCAACTACAAATGTAAGTATGAGTGAAAATATATAATAGTTGTCGATAATATGAGTAGATTGTTAATACGAATGATTTTCAGCATCTCGCTCGAATGGAATCTGGAAATCCACCAACTTTGAAGCTTTGTGATCATAAAGAATTCTGTCCAATCGACACTATCTGAACTTATCACATTTTTAGAAAAAGGATTAGATGAAATATTTAAAGGTAGCAGCGTTACGAAGTTTACAAATTTATCATTCAATCAGCCTGTAGTAGAAAAATTACACGACTAGCTATATGAGCATCATTTTCCATCGTACTTTTGCGACATTGTATTGTAAAACGCTTTTTCATTTTTCAACGATCAACTGTGCCGCATTCTCTATTAAAATTCGACGAATCCAAGAGCGCACACTCGTGCACACGCTATTTCGAATGCACTCGGAACTACGCGTCGTTGTATATAATCAGGTGTGCCGATGAGTGTCCGCTCGAAGCCAACAGCGCATGCGCGCGCAACTAAATTTTGCAAATAGAAAGAGAGAGTCAGAGAGAGAGAGAGAGAGAGAGTTCGAAGTGTTTTTCGAGCGGTGTATAAGGTAGCCTTGGCAATACGTACTTATGTGTATAGCACGCACAAACAGGTGAGAGATATCTGCTATTTCCATGAGCAGTTTGTTCATTCGACATGATTCATTCATACATTGCAATTAGACAATAATGGCGTTATATAATGTATGTGCACTCGCAATACGATAGACATTGCTTGTAACCTACATTTTCTTGCTTCATTTTATGTATTATTCAATAATTCATTCTAACTTTTTTATTATTAATAATACTAGAGAATCACAAATGTACATTATTAATGCAACGATGTTCTATCATTTTATGTCAATGGATTTATTAATACTTCATGTGAAAATTTTTAGAATTCTAAAATTATTTGGTGACGTTCTGTATCCGCAATTCAAATCTTAAATTCGGTGCTCTCCTTATCCATCCAATGCCCTTGCGTTGCATCTCGGGCATAAACATTATCGTTTGCGTGCGATCGATTACTATGAAAATAGTGCAAATAAGACATTTGAATTTTATAATTTAATAATCATCAATTACTACTATTCTTTATAAAATTCCTATAAGCAATAGTAGAAGAAACTTTATGATAGAATAATTCATTTCATTAGTGAGAAATCGTATCACTGTATAACACAGAAAAAATCGAAAAATTTTATCACAAGAGATCAAGAGTATATGCTATTCTGAGTTACGAAATTTCCAGTCGTGGTCATTGAATCACGTAACACCCCCCTAGTTACAACTAATTGCTGTTATCTGTTTGATTATCTATATTCTTTAAACACTGTGTTCTTTTTAATTAACGACTTTTTAGTCACGCTAGTCTAACGACAATCGAATAGCTTGAACATATCTGTGGTTCGTTCGTTGCATTTTAGACATGGAAGTGAATAAGGAATTGAACGATCAAGATTTGAAGTTAGAACTGGTGCAAGTAGTAAGTATAACGCATAGTTCGTCGACTCCAAATTCCGAAATATTGCATCAGGCTTGAATTTCATCGAGAATATTTACGTTAGATTTTTAGACACGGAGCTCGAACTCCGGTTCGCGAAGAATTGGACGTGTACAAGTTCAACGACGTGCCCGCGTACGAACCATGGGGCGTCGGACAATTGACCAATGCAAGTAGCCACGTTCTGCTTATCCTTGGAATTGTTGAAAAAAATTCTATATCAATTCGCTCGTGTGCAGGATGGAAAGAGGCAGGAATACCATTTCGGTTCATTTTTGAGGGAGCGATATGGAAACTTCCTAAGCGAGTATTACCAATCCGACGATGTTTACGCTTATTCGACTGACGTTCACCGTACGAAAATGTCTTTGCAATTGGTACTTGCTGGGCTTTATCCACCGGTAGGTCATGCTGTTTGGAATCCCGATTTAAAATGGTCACCTATACCTTATGTTCATGCGCCAGCGGTATTGGACATTTTTATGAAATACCACGATAATCCGAGGTAGAATTGGTCAGTGATCAACTCAAAAGACAGGTTTCGTTGATAAAAGTACCTTTTTCAGATTCCAGAAGCTTCGATATCAGGCCTGTCGGACGGAAGAGTTCCGCAAAAAAATTGCCGAGTACGATGATTTTCTGGCGTTTTTGTCCGAACAAACAAACGTCAATTTTGACGATGATTTTTTAAACGTTGCCTTTTTATACGGCGTCATCGTCGCCGATGTAAGTATTTGTCATCCTCGATTTTTCGATAAAATTATAAAATCAAAATGAGCATTATCGTAGGAACGAATGAATCTACCATTACCAGATTGGTACAAGCCGGAAATGAAGGAAAAGTTTAGGCAACTGATGGGGTTTGTGTTTGATGGATTTGCATTCACATTGGAAATGAAAAAACTTGGCGCAGGACCACTGATCAAGACAATCATTGAAAATATGAATTTAAAAGGAAGCAACATAAATCCGAGAAAAATTTATTTGTACAGCGGTCATGATTTTAATATAGCATTGATCACAAGATCGCATAATATTGAAGATTATAGGTATCCAGAGTTTGGCTGTGGCTTGATTTTTGAAAAATTACGCGATTGCAGTAATCAAGTTTATGTGAGAGTGAGGAAAAATATGATAATAAAAATGCATCTTTATACGTATGAAATTATCATTAATTGTTTTAAAAATATTTTCAGCTTTTGGCTTGGACAGGATCTGGTACGCTAATACCATTGAAACTTGGTAATCACAAAGAATTCTGTCCCATCGATGACTACTTGAAATTAGTCGAACCTATCATACCATCGGATAATGAGATAGATGAGATGTTAGAAGATGTCAGTATTAGGAAATTCCGAAATATATTTTTCAATGATCATGTGGTCAAACCATTACATAATAAATTATAAAAGATTCAGTGTATTGATTAAAGGAATGCCTCTTTTTATCAAACTAATATTTAACTTATGTACTTACGAAATATGTCGTAAGTACATACCCAAACGCAATCTGTCTGTGTGAAAGAAGACATTTGTTTTGTCACACAAAATCAGGCCAATATTTAACATGGAAGTGAATACGTCAGAAACAACAAAAATTTTGAATAATCCAACAATAAGTTTTTCGTCGTTCCACGCGCGAGGACTTGATTTACGTAGGCTCCAAAAAGCAAGCACAATTCAAATCTTAGTATCGGACACGTTGTGTAGAAAAATCAAGTTAGATACATATGCGAGAAAGTGATTTCACCCTCACTTTTCTCGGATGCAAATATCCACACGACGCTTAGATCACGTGTACTCATTTACTGTATGGGTTATCATTATGTTAACACGTAATTAAAAAAAATACATTTTTGATTTTGAGATTGTTGAACTAGATGAATTCATAAATTAAGTTTTATGATAATGATTGGTGTAATCTGACAGGTGAATGGATATAAATAATCCCACGCATTAATTATTTATTGATAAATGGTCATCGTTTGATTCTGCAGTTAGTTATCCGTAGCCTGCCGGTTGAAGACCAATCAAAGATACAATGCGTGTCAGATAAAATTTCGTTCTTCATAAACGAAACAACATGCTTCCAATGTAGATTCATTCATCTGTCTCGGAAAAATAATAATTTTCTAGAGAGTATCTCATTTGTGTAATACATTTCATTGATTTAATTGCAGCCATCAATCCGAATTATACGATAATACATTATAACTTATGCAAGTAGTAAGTGGGAATTGAGATATTAATATTCATATTTGTAAATCCTCTGGTTGATGCAGCGCGTTTAAAATCAATTATTACACCTTATAAAAATACTAACAAAGATAGACTTATCGTTTATCTCATCTTTGAAAATACAGCTAGATTTGTTTCTTAGAGATGCCGATTCTACAGCTGTTTAAATTATATTTATTTAACGCAAAATTTTTCCAATTCAACAGAGAATATAAAGGTCTCTATTGAATTTCTGAATTCATTAGAAAAGATGATACTATTGAACATGTAAGCTTCCTATAGGAAATACATTTGCAAAATAATGCTCAAAATATTTTATATAAAATATTTCTCCAGGAATAAATAACTTTGAAATTATATTTAAGATGACCGTTTGCTCATTATTAACAAATGATGAAATGTACGATCATATGTAAAATATATTTTATGCCAATTAATCTTTTGTGAATTTTTCTGTAGAAAGTATTTTATTTTATTTTTTCTGTAGGAAGTATTTTATTTTTCGTGTGTATCTATTAAAGATATGTAATTGCATTTAAAAAGTTATAATTGACTTACTTCCATTCCTAATTCACCAAAACTTAGCGAATGAGATCGTCGACGATTATATAAGCTTCCCTGCTGGTTTTATGATCGGTACAGCAACAGCTGCTTATTAAGTCGAAGGAGTATGGAATTGCAACGTTAATACAGAAGTTCATTAAAATGATTGATTGTAAATTTAAATTTCACAATTCCATTGCATGAATTATCGATTTATTTAGGTAAAAGGAAACATGGGATCATTACGCACATACTTAAATTTACAAAATGAATGATAGATCCAATGAAGATATTCCTTGCGGTTCGAATTACAAGTATAAAGAAGATTTGACTTATTAAAAAGATGGGACTAATAAATTGTGTAAGATAGATAATTTGTTTTCGAGATATTCACAAACTATTACTTTTTAAATAAATGAAAATGCTCGTTTCTTAAATGAGCTTTTACCGATTTCCCTCAGTTGGTCGAGAATTTAACTAACAAGGTATTCAAATATTATTAGCAAGGATAGCACTAGGTGTTATCACCGTTTATTGGACTAACTGCAAAAGCATATTATGAGGTCACGGTGTACTACTAAGACCATCTACAAATCTTTCAACGAATAGGTGATTAGACAAATGAAATTATTGTCTAAGTTTTTTTTAGATTATGCCAAAATTGTTTTCAGCGAATTTGATCACCACGTTGAAGCATTTGTAACTATCAACGAATTAGAAAGTATTTATAGAACTACTTACGTCAAAGGCAAATTGGCAGCAAGTGTATGATATTAATCCTCCGTTTAGTTTTTAAAAGCCCTCATAAATGTTATTCTCAATAAGTAAAGTTATGGAGATAAGCCGAATATTTTTGTAATCAACATATTTTCGAAGCTCAAACTTCTTATTACATTTACGAAGAAGAAAAACTGAAAAAAAAGGACAAGTTGGAATAGTGTTGAACAATTTTCATTTCTGGTCGAAAAATCAGACTGACTTTGTACTCCTACTTTCTTATTACTCAAATACTTTCAATCGTATACCAAGAACATATTGATTACGGTTAATAAGCGTGGTTATCATGTCAGAGCTTAGCGAATGGAGCTTAATGGATAACTTCAAGTGAAATATGGGTTACATGTAAATATTTTACGTTGTTAATCAATAAATATAGTTATTCACGGAGTAAATGTAAAATTTATAACTGTTTTCAAGGAAAAGTTCGGCATTTGTCAGGTTAGTTGATTTCAATAACCCAGACAAATCAAGAACTTCGAAAAAGTCTGCGCATTGGTTCAAAAGCGTGCTTTGTACTCGAAAGTTGCTTCCAATACCACAGAGTAATAAGGAAAACTAAAGTCTCTTTTATTCATTTTTGTCGATTACTTTAAACCCAATATCTCAATCTTTATCAGTTAACACAGTTAACAAGGATTAATGTCAATTCAATTTCAACCATATTAAACATTTTATATATATTTGATCATTTATGATGAACACGTCAAAAAATGTATAAAAAATAGTTTTTAAATATTCATTGTAATCGAATAACATTTAAAAGCAAATGATATTTACAAATAAGATTGATTTTTATCGATATACAGATATAATTTTGCACGTATTAAAGATTTATGACGAAGGATTACGGCGAAGGTTTAGAAACACTAACTTGTATTTATATAGTCTTTCTTTTATAAACTATTGGCGAAAAAATAATAGAAAAATTGATTTAATTGCTCTATGACTATTTTCTTCTGGGTAAATACTTTCATAGATATTTACATTAATTTTATCAGCAAATTATACAAAAATGCAGTTTTAACGACAATAATCAATCATAAAAGAGTATTCTTACCATTACAGCTGTTAGAAAGTGCTTTAAAATAAATACCTCTTATTAATTGAATGACAGAATCAATATTATTTCATTTTTTATCTTCAATATGAGATCACCTCATATTTCGTTAACGTCTGATAAAGGTCTCATCTGCTCGCTCACGTGGATGTAGTGTCGTTGAAGAAGTATGATAAATATATTCTTTTTTATAAAGGGGAATGATCCATTATCTTTAATCGATAACAGATTTAAAAGTAGCTTTAAAAAATGTGTAATACTTGCATCTACTTGTTTTCTCTGATACTGTTATGAAGCTATTTAAATTCATTTAATCAGTTCAGGCATAAATTACATTATGATACGATTAATTTATTTCTTTTAGCAATAATACTTTGTACCAATTAGTAGATAGCATAAAAAAAGATTAGTAAAAAACCATTCAATGATAATAAACTTCGGATATTATGAGAAATATTCATTTTTATTGCGCATAAAATCATACAATAATTAGGTCAAACTACCTTTCAATAATTGTACTGTTTATAAGAAACAATAAATTAATTTAGAAACAATTTCATTAAAAATAATGATTTTGTGAATGCTTTATTCGTACGTTATTAAAATAAGCGATTTATACTTTGTATAAATATATATATGTGAAGCAATACTGGTATATGACAAATATACTTCACCAATACACTTTTTTATAATCTCATCAATTTGAGTAATATAATTGTCTATCAAGTACATTTAGTTGCTATAATAAAAATTTCAACCAAGTAAAAACAATTATGTTTCATTTGAAAATTACTTAACCACGTAATCGTTCATTATTTGTTCTTTGAATATTTGAAATGCTTGACTCGATTAAATTCTTCAACTCAGAATTTTTCAAGAATACTAAAATAGCCTCGGAACATGGATCAGGAAATGGAATACCTGTAAGACTAGTCAATGAAGCCTTGGAATTTTCAATTAATGAAAATCTCGCTAAAGCCTTTCTATATTGCAGCCTTAAAAGATCTGCTAATTCACAAAATCTATTGGTTAGATTCGTCCTACTGGACTCGAAGAAATCCTTGATAGCTTCACGTTCCACAAACGTCATATAAGGAAAAACAGTCACAGCGCCTGTCTCGGACATGAAATCGTGTAGAAACAACGAGTGCGAACCTATCTTAACATCTTTTATTTTTTCTATTTCTTTGAAAAAGCGCTCATTCATAGCGGCATCAAAGGACTTCTTTTTCATCACAGATATTTGAACATTGTTATTGATTGGACTTACGTCGAGTTTACCTAGTAGTAGTTTGTGAACGTGAACAGCGAACGTTCTTTTTATTATCTCGTCGCGACCTTCGGAATACTCGTCAAATGCTTTGCAAGGCTCCAAACTGTATGCAAAAGCTGGTTTACCCTTCATGTCGATCACATTTATATCCGCACCTGCCGACAGTAGCCCCGAAATCGCTCGGTCGTTTTGAAACTGTGCCGCAATGTGCAAAGCCGTTTTACCTATTAAAGAAGTTCAAAGAACATTATTCCTTGAAAACCCATTAATAAAACTTACAATCACACACCTAATTTGTTTTGATAATCTATATCACAACCAAGTTTGATAAGTCTTTCAATCAACTCAGTATAATCGTCATCAGTGATGATAGGTGAGCCAGTAGATACGACATTATGTATGGCAGTACAACCAGTATCGTCCACTTCATTAATGTTTGGTGAATTAATCATAGCTTCAAAAACTAACTTCTGCATGGTCTCATGATGACGTGTGGAGAATGTTATCGGTAGGTAACCTTTCTGACTGACCGGATTGAAATCGTTCACGTGGCAGCTATGAGTTAGGAAAAAGCCTATTTCGTCAGCTGTCACGTCTTTTGATTTCAGTAAAATTTCTAACGGCGTCTCGCCATATATATTCCTAGCATTGATGTCCGCTCCAGCGCTATAAAATATAAAAATTGTAGTTTCACCTTGATAGTTAAATTTCCATGAAAACAAATAAAAAGTTGCACCAACCAAGTAATCATTTCGAAGAGGATTTCACGCGGTGGACCGAACTTGGCAGCAGTATGAAGTGGATTATTACCACGTGCATCCTGGGCATTCACATCAGCGCCGTGTTTCAACAGCATTTCGACAGTTTTTAATTGTGCAGAGATGCCGGTAAAGCTTTTCGTTTGCCTACTCAAAGTTAAGTGTAAGGCAGTGCAACCGGCATATTGATCGGCAAAGTAGTCGGTCGTTTGATTGACGTCGACGATGCCAGAATTCAAAAATGCCTCGGCTACGTCGAAATTATTCCAGCTACAAGCGACATGAAAGTGAGATACTCCATCAGCATCAACGGGATTAACACTAAAATCTTTTATACTTTTTAGCATTAAATTGACACGCGATCCACACGGAGAATCGGCTGGCTGATCTGTGAGGTAATAATTACAGACAAAAATTTCAAAATAAAATATGGAAATAATTTTTACAGTAAACATTTAAGTAACGTTAACCCTTACCTATATAAATGTAAAATAATTTATCAGCCATAAGAAGCGGAGTTTGCATGCTGTCATTCTTCAGTGAAACATCAGCCCCGTTATTTAGCAGTAATTTCAAAATAGCATCAATGTCGATTTGACGCCGATGATTGTGCATAAATTCGTTCGCTTCAATCATCAGTAAATGCAAAGCCGTGCATCCATCTTTCGTTCTCTCATTGACACTTACTCCGTGGTCAAGCGCCTTTTTGGCTAACTTAACGTCGACTTTCTTACAAGCGATGTGTAGTAAAGTGAAATCCTTCAGTGCCACATTGTTGCGTTTAATGATTGCGATAAAGGGATCTTGATGTGGTCCATACTTGTCTTTTAGTGCATCGAACAGAATGTCATTAGTGACGTTAGCACCATGTTGAATGAGTAATTTTGCAAGTTCCCAGTGTCGCTTGTGCACTGCAATGTGTAACGGAGTCAATCCAAGGTATTCGGAAGCCACTGGATTCACGATAACTGCATTAACATTAGCTCCAAGATGAAGCAACTTCTTTACAGCAGTCGAGCAATTGAAAAAACAAGCGACGTGCAAATGAGCAAAACCATCGACGATGCATTCCTTTAGAATTGGAACAGACAGAAGCATGCTTCCCACACACGACTGATTGCTAGACATCAAGAGTGAACGATGAATCGGCGTCAATCCATCGACATCCATCGCATAAATATCCGCAGCTTGTTTTAACAAAAAATTGAGAATAGTCGAGCAGCCGACAGCCACTGCGATATGTAAGGCAGTCGATCCCGGAGAAATATAAGAATTTTGAATCTTGAAACTTCTCCTCACTGGAGATTTCACATCAGCACCGTTGGCAAGTAATTTCTCCAATGCAGTCTCGTTCATCGCGACGCAAGCTATATGAAGGTGAGACCAGCCATCCTCGTCGACGGGGTTGACAGTCAATTTATGATACTGAAACAGCAGATTAACAATGTCCATATCTTTGAGTTTGAAAGCGAAGTGTAGGACAGTGTAGTCGTGAACGTTCTTAGCAGTCACGTCTGCACCTCTGCTCAAACAATCCTTTATCACGTGGAAATATGTCCTCCTATTGCAGAGATTCTTAGTTCTATTGTAAAGAGCTATCGCTAGATGTAGTGCCGTATAATTTGGCCACAGTGGCGAGTCAGCAGGTACCACGGCATCGACATTGTCGAAATTACGTAGAAACGCGTTGAAGTCAACCGTACTTCTCATAGCGAGCAACAGATCCATTAGTTTCGTTCTGCCGTCCGACATTAATAGGTTGCCCCAATCTGCTTGACATTCCATAATAGCGTGAATATCGGCGACTGCGTATTTTTCCAGGCAAACGTCGAGAGGCGTTGTACCATTAGCATCCACGATTTTGATACTCGCTCCTCTGCTCAACAGTAGTTTAAGAGTGTCGATGCTGAACAGAGCGGCCAAGTGAAGCGCGCTACAGCCCGGGGCGACTGGCGAGTCGATCGCGATCGGCCGATCGATGTCAGTCACGTGCTTGAGGAAACGCTTTGCCAGCACAGCGTCTCCCATCCCGCAAGCCACGTGCAATTTCGTTAAGCCGAGAGTTTGCCAATTGTCGGGCGTCGCGTCGTTTTCCAGCAGCAGACTGATTATCTTCTCGTTTATACCCACGTCCGCTAATAGGTTGGCGTGTGCTCCGCGTTTCTCCACGTTCAACTGCATTATTCGCACGTTGCGCTCCAGCAGCAAGTGCAGCGCTGTCATGCCACTCGAGTCTTTGACGTGTACGCTCGCACCGTTCTCCAGCAAGATTTCGGCGGCTTTTAGCGCACAAAATCGACTGGCAAAGTGTAATGCCGTGTAGCCGGGAAACACCGGTGAGTTGGCGTCTACAGTTTGGTTGACTGACACGCCGTTGCTCAAGAAAAATTTCACGGCTCGCGCGTTGTTGGTCATGCAAGCTGCATGAAAATGCGATATGCCGTGGCTGTTGCATGGATTGTCGTGGATTTTAAATTGAACGTGGAATGATAATATAGAGTCGATGAAGCAGTCTTCGATTTTGCCTTTCGATTTCCAATTATTCGTGTATTTCTTGTGTTTTTCTTCGATGATTTGATGGAGGACTGTTGATCCCTCATTGTTCTTTATCGTGAAATCAGCCCCGCGGTTGAGAAGTAAGTTGAAAGTCTTGACATTGCGTTTCTGAAGTGCAAAAAATAAAGCTGTGCAACCGGCAGAGCTTGGTAGGCGAGTTTTATTGATAGGTATTTGATAATTTATGTCGCCTTGTCGGTTGAGAATTTCATTAATATATCTGTCATCGAGGTGCTCACGTAAAGCTGTGTATAGCTGCGATAATTTAGAGTAACTTTGGGAATCAGATTCTTGAGTTTCAGTCATAGTAGTAGCCAGGATTTTGGTTCAAGTAACTTTATAAAAATGTAGTTACCTGAAAAAGAAAAAGCACATTTTTGTATTTTTTGTATGAATTAAAAAAAAATATTTTCAATGGTCAAGAACGTCACAATAGTTAATAGTGTTTCTTAAATGGGGAAAAAATCTTCTGAGCGAAAATTCAACTTAACCATTGATTAAAACAATTTTAACTTCATAAGTCTTATAATCCTGAATATTATACTTTCTATGCTGTAATTATTTAGGTATTTTACTTTCTTCAAATAAATTAAGTAAGTATGTTTTACAATAAATTTTGTTGCAATTTTCAAAATTTCATATAAGATGGTCTGTATGAACTAATAACAACTGCAAAGTTCAAGTGAAGAACAGCATAGAAGATTTAATATCAAAGAAAATCACATTTAGTAAAAAAAAATTTATCAAGTTTTTAATAAATTTAAGAAAAGATTGGCCTTGCAATCATGATAGATTTCAACAAGATTACTCGAAATTACTTAAAAATTAAAATAAAAATGTCACTTAACCATGGTCACTTTTTACTTTGAAAAGATTTTACGTTTTTAACTGACTGTAAGTCTATATACATTTGAAAAAAATGCCTTTATTTAAACGAATTTCAACTATTTTAACTCGTCAACATGTTTATTGATAGTTATTTTTGGACTTCTGAAAATTTGTCAAATTTGGAGATCTATACACGACTGACATTTCGTATACAGGAAAAGCAAACATTTTTATAATATTTATCACGAAAACGAAATGTTAAAAAACCATATTCTTTTTTTGCGATTAACATTGAATATTTTAGGAATAATCAATTTAAAAATTAAATGAAAAGTATATATAATCGCATGTATATAGGTCACGCCGGCCTCAGCGTGCTAATAGCTGTGAACGTGCGATTCGCAAGAGTTGTATGCAGTAATAATATTTTGTAAAAATAAAATGTAACATTAATTTTTAATTCACAATAAATATTTAGCAATCACGAAATTTTCTCTCTATATATACAATTACCCAATTTGACGCAATAGCAGCAGCGCGGATAAGAGTGAAATCACTGCACGAGCGGCGAAATTCGGCCGACGACTGAACTTTTGACTATACTCGAACCCACCGCGGCTCGCTATGCCAAGAATTTACACGACAGTACATGTAACATGTAACATACGTTGCGTATACCCGTTTTTTTTTTTCATTTTTGCATTTTTATACAGTTTTTTTCAATTTAATAAATTAAACGAGTAAAAAATGGTTATTTCAGTAAAATAAAAAAGCAAAGTTCGTGCTTGCGATAAATAAACAGAGTGGTACATTAATAGTAGGTTTTTATCCAGCAGCCAGAAGGTGTAGTCTTGGCTATCAAAAACTCACGTGTTACGAATTACTATCTTCTTTGGATTCTATTTCTTACATGGCAGATAATACAATTAGTGGCTATCAAGCATGCAAAAGTATTTTTAATATACTTAAGCTTAGCCAAGGATATTTTACTGTAGTCCTAGAAATTACTTTATCAAAATTCAAATCATATAGTGGCAAAGATTGGCTTTGTGAATCTTGTTAAACAAAGTTCCATAAAATAAATTCAGAGAGAAAAGACTTGGTAAAGTAACAAAAGATATCAATGATTATGTGCACAGAGCGAAAAGGCAGAAGATAATCAATGCGTGGATTATATCCACCACGATAAAAAATTCCTGCAAGAAAAATCTATGAAGATAGATTCAGAAGCATAATAGGCATAGATCGCGAGAATTGAGGATTCAGTAGTAGTTTATTTGAATGCAATTCAATCAAATTGTGTCAATCACTAAAAAGTGATGGAGATTTTCAGCTTGAAAGGAACAGTATGGAAATTTTTTGACTACTTTATTAAAATGTATTTGATTGAGTATTTTTTCTAATGAAATACGACATCGCAGTAAAGTTGACAAAAACTAATAAATAACCTAAACATTACCTCTTTACGATTAATATAAACAACTGAAAACATAAGATGTTAAAAATCCGAATGAAAATCATATTCATAACATTTCTTCGAACATTTCATAAAAAAACCAAGGTAATAAAATTAAAATTTGTTTATAGGTTAGTATAAACGACCTTGGTATTACGACATTCGCTGCGTGTAAAAAAAAGATGTATATATAATGTGTTCACAGCACATTAAAGAAATACCGGTGTATACTTCAAGTTGGAAGAGGTAGATGCAAATGACACTCCATAATCTTTGAAGTTTTTTTCTAAAAATAACAGTTGACAAAATAATACTCCTTAGAATTAGAACTGTCACCCATACAACTGTCTATGTTGATAAACACAGCTAGCTAGTAGGAGACGACCTGGCAGAAAAGTGATTGATTAAAAAAATATATATATACCACTAGCTTCGTCTTAATTTGTACCAACCGAAAATTGCTCTTTTGGAATTTGTACCCCCCCCAAAATTTTGAAAAAAAGCGAAATGAACGATATTTCGGAAAACTCATACTCCTAGGAGAAAAATGATTAATATCTTAAAAAAAACTACCACTAGTTTCATTTTAATTTGTACCATCAGAAAAATGCTTTTTTGGAATTTGTACCCTCTTTAAAAACAGAGAAAAAAAGATTTTCGTAGGGTAGATTAGCAATTCAAATGAACGTATTACTGCGCATGCGCGGCGGAAAATCTATCTTCCAGCAGAAAAATATGTGATTTTGAAAAAAAAATATGAATGCCTTCTTCTTAATTTGTACCATCTAAAAAATATATAAAACTAATTTGCACCCCTGTAGGATTTGAATTATACAATGTTATTTGTGTAATTGTAATATTGATAAATTATACAGGAAAATCTTTTATTTCTTAAGAAAAAAATATATTTCTAGCTCTACCATAAATTTTACCAACAGAAAATAGTTTTATTGTAATTTTTACACTCTAAAATTTGATTAGACATGTTAATATAAAATATCCTAAGTTAACGTGTGTTCTTAAACTCCTACATCCGCAAAAACAGCTGATTACTCGGATGATAAAGTAGATAACTCTGGTAGGAAAAATATTTATTTCCTAAAACAAAATACACCACTAACTTTGCCTTAATCAATACCAGTTGAAAAATAGTTATTTTGGAATTTGAACCCTTCGAAAATATTGAGAAAAAATTAATTCGTAGTCTAATTCGACGATTCTAATTCCGGGTCTTCCGCGCTACAGAAAATCTCTTTTCTCGGCGGAAAAAGCGTGAAATTTTAATGTAAAAGATTATGAATGTCTTCTTCTTAATTTGTAACATCTACGAAAACCGAAAATATAATCCAAAAAGAAAATATAGAGCTGTATTAATAGGAATGGGTTATTTTCTGAAATAACCCATTCCTATTAATACAGCTCTTATAATTTCAATATAATTTAGGATTGTGTTATTACGCAGCTATACCTATATAGTGTGTGTGTTACGAATGGAGGTCTTTTAAATATACACTATACATGTGCACCGATTGTGGCATAATAATTAAAATCGAGTGATTAACTAATTAAAATGAATATTAAATAAATTAAAATAATAATAAATTTAAACAAAGTAGGATGATATGATTTTTATGCAATTAGCACTGTCAAAAGCAATGAAAACAGGTAAATAAGCAAGGAATTCTCTGTACATATATCCGTCGTAAATATCATTAATATTTTGAATCGGTCTACTGAACTACTAGATTACTTCCTCCTACTAAAGAACTTCCTCCTGATATACGACTAATAATACAGCTGTTGCTTTGTAGTTTGGAAAACAACTAAAAATAGGTATTTTTAATAAAATCATCAGGGCATTATTCAGTTTCATAAATACTCTCCGTGTAACTAATGTTACCATCCTGATATAACAGTAAAAACACACTTCAAAAGTTATAAAGTATTCTGGATTTTTACCAGAAAAACCAAATTTTGCAGATACATTATTTATTTGATTATTGAATATTCTTGATGAATTGAATATTCTAATAATGTTTTGCAAAATAATGGTTGATTAATTTCTATTTTACCATGGTATTAATTTCGTACACAAAACTTACAAAATATGTGCGTATTTTGTACACAAAACACACGATATATGCACATAGATCTTGCTTACGTACATTGTTGAATATATATGTACATAATACATACATAATATGCATAAATTAGATACAGCTTTGCATTAAAAGTTTTTACAGATATACATACGAATTATGTATGAAATTTGTTCCTTAATTTTCAGGGGGGATAACAATCCAAAAGTAATTAAAACATAAATTTCATCAATGCATTTATTTAATTAAACTCCCTACGATAATTTTATTCATAATGCATCCATATTGAAATAATTGATATTAAAATTGAATTCATCGCCATTCTTGCACGCGTATCTTACAGCAATTCTATTGCTCGACGTAAGCGTGATATCGAAAATCCGAAGAGCTTTTCTATCGCCAGTGCAGAGAAAATGTGAAAAATCCGGTTTAAAATAATCAGCACCATCGCGGATATCGATACCGAAGAATTTCCAATAGTCAAATTCATCCCTACATTAAACATTTCCAACGAGAAGAAACATTCGCCCTTTACCCAAACTTCGTACGTCAATCAATGTCATAAACGCGTCGAACGTCGCGCGCTTTTGAAAAGTAACTTCGTTATCCTCACCGTACTGCACGCACTGAACGATTTTGTCACAATTCGGGTAAATAATTCCACAAATAGAAAGATCGAACGTGACAAATTACGGCTCTGGATTAGCTTCGAACTGCATGATCAAGATTTTTTTGGCACCCGTTAAACGATTCACACGTAATAGTCTGTAAGTCGTACCATCGTAACCACGAACGAGCAAATCACCAGCATAAAGCCGTTCCACTCTAATAGTCGACCAGTCAAGATTAACATCCAATGGCCATACACGGACTACGTTACGATAACCCAAGTTATAACCGATTCTACAGCGTTTAGCAGCAGCTCAACATGCAACCTCATCGTTTACGACAATATCGAATACGATGATAATTATCGTTCATCGTCACGATTCGCGTTCGACGATACGAACCATCTTTCATTTCGTCGTACCAAGCGAAAATTTTTCTGTCGTCAGCTAATCTTTTCACCGTACTGACACCTGTCTTCATTGCATCCCATATGGCTGTCAAAATAAACGAACATTCCTTATAGTCGTCCGTCCATTGATTATAGATACGCAATCTAATGGATAGTTTGCGCGGTTCTTGGTGCGTGATTTCGCTGTCCAGTATTACTGCGAAGGTATCGTCAGTGGATTTGTCGGGTGCGATTGAAAAATGATTGCTGGACAATACTTCAGTAATTGATAGCAGTACGAACAGGGTGTATTTTCACATATTGAAATAAATCTGCATTTCGAATAAGTCACAACTACTGAGTAGACTGAAGCTATACTGTAGCTTCTAATTGTTTTTTAAATATGTCAGGCGGAGGGATTGATAAAACTTTGCATCTCAGATAATAAAATGCCGGACGGAGCATTCATAGCTTGTTACGTCGTAATTTTATTTATAAATATGTTTTAGATTACTTTGAAATTATGCAAAGTAAGTTGAACTGTTAGGTAGTTTTTTTTCTGATAACGTAAGTAGAGTAAAATTCGTTCACATATTGTTACCCATGTCGACACTAAGCGGCAGCACCAACGCAAGCTTCGCTACCATGATCGAACGCTATAATAGGCAGTTGCTCACTCGTTATGTGTATTTCAAAGTGTATAATTAATAAAGCTTAGTTCTTATTAACCCCTGAGTGCCTTCATTTCACCTATCTAAGCCTAGTATGAGTTGTAAAATTTTTTAATTGTGGGCTTTGCGTTTTAAAAGAAGAGATCTACGTCGTCTGTTCTGGCTAATCAGTATATTGCTTACGTAACGTAACACCGCGTGAACAATATCAAATTCTTTTCTCAATTCTTCATAATATGGAATATACACTTCATAATACCTGCAGTTTTAAGAGATTAAGTGCAATGGTACGTTCATTTGATGCCGGTAGACAATATTAACACCGCGGTGTTCGTTAGAACACGTGACTCTCTCTGACTAAAATAAGCATATCGCGCTGGCTGATACATTTTCGGCATTTTTACAAAATTAGATGCAAACGATCGAACAAATTGAATTAAATAAGAGATAGTTAATTGAGAAAAATATCTTTCACTACCGATTATAAGCCAAATTATAAGTGAATGTTTGACACATTTTTAGCCACGTGTAATTAACGTATATTTACGAAATGAATTCACGCCTTTAAATTCCCTAAGACGTTTCGTTCCGACTATTGCATTGGACTCCTCAATATTTATTGTGAGCAACCCGAGAGGATAACTCTGTTCTATTCGTTTGTTCAAATCATTTTATAAAAAAAAAAAAATAAAATAATTGTCAACAATGTTTTCATTCTCAAGTGCCTTGTTAAAAATAAACACACTAACACAATTACTGTTTGAATTATTCTGCGTTAAATATGACGATTCTTTTTTTCATGATTACTCCTCAAATTAATATTAACTATTAAGAGTATTGAATGATTGATGAATGATAAGCTTGGTTACATCATTGATGCATTTTTCATGTAAATAACGCAGTGATAGATATGAGCCGTTTATTTTGAAAGTGACCTAACTCCGTTTTTCAATTTTCTGCCGCTTACAATGGTTACATGTACAACTTCATGTTATTTATCAGGGACGCACTTCAGATTGCTTATATTCAGAGAAAATAATACATTTTTTACACATAAGTTTTCCGAATTAATTGAATAACTGAGCCGTGTAGTTTGAAAATGGCCTAAACTTTCAATATCTCGATTTGAAGATGAATGGAGTTAGGCCACTTTCAAAATAAGCGGCTCATATATATATATATAGATGAAAGAATAACGTTTGGTTATTTTTACATGTCGTCTATTCGCAAGCCAACAACGTTACAAAATGTTTTTTTATTAAACATCTATATTGTCTACAAAGAAATACACTTTCAAAGAACACATATTAATAAAGCTTACAAAGTCCTTTGGTAAATAAGTTATGAATGTCGCATGAAACTATGTAATTGCGATTTTATTAGTCAAGTTATCCGAAGTGGATTAACTCTTCTCTTACGACAAAATATATCCCATTAAAGTCCGATTACTGCAAGTGACAAAATTTTCAATATTAAACGCAATGTTAAATCGCAACTCACATTTAGAAAGGATGTTTAACTGATTGTTTTTCATCAGCGTGTTGCAATGAAAATTATTCTGAAAAATCTCACGAGCATTGAAATCCATGAGCTTTTAAGTTATCCTGACAGTCGCAGTAAACCCTATTAGCAGTAGTTAGACAAAACTGCGCGCAGCCTCCATTATCCTTAGCACAAGCATTCTCTTTGTCTCTAAACTGAACGCTCTCACTGATGACTCTGACGCCAGCGATTCGCTTTTTATCATCATCGATTTGTGGTGCGATTCTTTTGACATCGCCTTCCCTTTCTTTGTGAACTCGCCAGATACTCGTCAAATTACTGACGTACAGCCATTGCTGATGAACATAAATCGTTTTAGCATCATTGATACCATCGAAACTGATGACTTTTATATCGGTGCCATCAAATTTGGCATGTTTAATAACTGTAGCCCAATCGCCTTTCCAAATCCAATAAACTCTATCTGTGATATAATCAATAGCGATAATATGATACCTCACCCCGTAGTATGGGAAATTTTCGAAAATTTCATGCACTCTGGTACCGGCCATATCGACATGACGAATAAAGCGTTTTTTGTTATGTACACTCGCGAAGAACATGGAATGTTTAGCTGGATGAAGAACTATAGCGGAGACGAAGGCGTTATGGTTGTGATAGCTATCAGGTTGATAAGTCAACAACGTTTTCTGATGATTCTCACCCAAATTCACATTGAATATCATCAATGACCGAAAGCTCGACGTGTCGCGCGACAAGGTTTTGCTACGTTGAACAAAGTACATGTTACCAGTATACCAGTCATAAGCAATGTTTTGTAATAGTATTTCAGAAGTGTTGACGGTCAGAATCGTCGCTTGGCCACGGTAAGCCTTCAATTTCATCTTGTAGATGCCATAATCATCGCTCCAATAGAAATGGTCGTTCATTAAATCGTAATCGAAGTCTATCTCACCTTTTTCCGTGATCGTAACGTTCTTATAAGGTGTCGGCCAAATCAGATCCTTTGTAGATCCATCAATGGAATTGACTCTGACGAAACCGTCTTGTGTATACAACACAAAATCGTGTAGTTCACGGCAACTTCTCTTATCGGGATTGATCTGCCATCCCATCTGACAAGCGCAATTTCTCTTGTTTCTCGAGTTCAGAAGACACAAGTGTTGACAACCTCCGTTGTCAATTTCGCATGGGTTCTTGGCAGACATCCCCTGATTGAATAAATGCCCTTTCATGTACATCGGATCACCGAGAATCGTCATTGAATAGATCGTGCATTCTTCACACGAATCATTCGAGCCTATTTTGCACGATAGTAGATTCGCTGGATGATTATAACCAGGCCAGAACCAATACAATTTACCGTCGAGAATTGCAAGATCGGTAATAGTAACGACGTCGCTGAAGAATGATTGTCGATTTCTTCCTTCGTAGTCCGAGGACTCGATTTTCACATAGTCATTGATCCAATACAATCGTTTACGTTTTGGATCCAGTGTCAAAGATGTGGCCTGAATGTTGCTGACAAGTGTACTCACTTCCGTACCATCCATTCTTGCTCGAAGAATCTGCAGATTCGAAAATTTTACGTGGTTTAAACATGAAAGAATATCGTATATCGCTTATTAAAATAAATTAGTATCTAAAATTTCCACGCACTTGAACTACTTTGTGTCGAGTGTCAAACGACTGCGTCATAAAAAATGATTCGGCAAAAGCAGAATTACTCACCGAACTTGACGATTGTAGTATGAACATGTAAGCATCCTCTGAATCTATTACAATTTCATGAGGTCTATTTAACTCTGACATCAACAAAGTGTAATTTCCAGTACGAATATTAACTACGACGAGATTTCCTGCTATTTCATCGAAATTGACAAAATTGACAAATTGTACGCAATGTGATCCGCAGCTATAGCTCTTGGATTAAATCTCTCATCGTCGATCAAATTACTGAAAGTATTGTTGATCAGAGTCTTCAGTTGCGCTGATGTATTGTCGATCATTTCTATCCAGTAGAGTCGCTGATCGGCAAACATATCGAAGGAAACTACTGGCTTGACTGACTCGTAGATCAAAGACGAGTTTTTTGTTTTTGGATCGAACTTCAAGATTTTCGTGTTATTTATGAGGAAAAATAGTTTGCTATGGATGTTAGTTAGAGTACCGTTGCTCCCTGTTTCATTGTCTAAACAAAATTCGTATACGATGAAGAGGACAATGGAAAGAACAACATAATCAAACAGAAAAGCTTAAAAAAAATGATGTAATTACTAAAATAATAAATAATGTTATATAAATACTTTAATACTTACTGTTACTATTCGAAAAAAGTACAACGATCAAAGCAGTTGAAACCATCACAACGGTAATGCCAACGGCGATAAAAATATATTTCTGGTAATATGGGTGAAATCTCTGCGGAATGTAATTCTTCATATGAAATTCATCCTGCTCCATTTCTTCCATTTTTGGCTCAGTATTAGCATCTTGAAAAAAACACTATTAGTGTCCGCGGCCAGAACAAAGAAAAACTTTGTACATACCATTGGCACCTAAAACGTTGACCAAAACGTTGTCCAAGTGGCTCATCTCGTTGCAGACAATGAATTATTAACAGCAGCATAAATAGCAGCAACTCTCCCGGAAGCCAAACTACTGATAAACAGCTTCCTAATTTGTAAAAGATAATATTTTTATCAACAATTATATTCATCTCTGTATTATATATATATATATTATTTATAACGAGAACGAATTATAACATTTGTTTTCTTCTTTTCGATTTAATAGACAATTTAATAGATGATTAAAACAGTTTAACTGTATAAAATTTTGAAATGCACCGTATAACTTGGCATATTCTTCTCATTGTTCTGATATACAGATTCGAAATTTTATTTTAGTTTACTTGCACTTGATTTCAATCAATACCGTTTATTTTTTATTGTTGTCTCTTTCGCATCTGACAATCAAATTCGTTCTTGTGAATTTCCAAAGAAAGGCGCTAATTTATCTGCGAATCAACTATATGGAGTAAATATAATCTGCATTTATACTTGAAAAATGCGAGTTACAATTTTTTTATACCTTACAAATATAAGAGCGTCTTATCAATTCGCTAAGAATTGACCAAGTCGTTGCGAAAGCTAGTTAAGCTCTAGTGTGAATACAGGTAACGACGAGAATATATGCTACTCTTGTGCTCTTCGCTAACGTGATAATTAACAAGATTGCGAATAATAGAATGTGATCTCATGTAGACTTCGATTTACTGTAGAAATGGTAAACGTTTGTCAACAAAGTTCCATGTCATATTGTTGTAAGAAAATATTGGCTAGTATTGTGTACGTGTCTGTTAAACTTGCAACTTTCTTTTTTATTTTCACATAATATTTATCCCTTTTACATAACTTGTTTCACGTTTGACACGTTTAGTGTCAGACACTCATTTGTCGCCATAAGATTGGCTATTCTCGCATCAAACATTACAATGAAATTTCTGTCTTGACCTTATTATAACAATTTTTCAATTCAATTGCGAACATTATATTTTACATTAAATAAAAACTTTCACTTAAATAGTTTTGATCGAAACCGCAGTATCATCTTACGCGTAATTATTTTTCGCAAAAAAACCCGAAGTAAAGTAATTAATTTATTATTAGCAACAGTATTCAAATAATAAAAATGGGAATTTACAAGATCTTCATTATGGACTAATATATAACTCAGTTTTGCTGTTAATAATAACATTCTATGTCTGCGTCATTTGGCACATACCATATGGCGACTCAATATTTTATATTTTGCTTTGTATATTTCAAAGCGAATGTTTCAACGTATACTGTAATTATTTTCAGGTGCAGACTCAACTTGAAGACCTATCTTTCGATATTCTAATTGAATCATCTACTGGGAATCTATTTTAGAATGGACTAAAAAATTTATAAAATCTCAATAAAAAAAAAAACTGTAACTTTTTTGTAATATTTTGTTATGTCAACATGGCTTATTCTAAAATACATATGATGAAAGATATGTTGACATTTTTATGACGATTCATATCTTTATATAGGTGATTCTTAGCGATTTCGTTGGGTCCAGAGACACCAGGTCATGGATTTTGTACAGATTTTGTACAATTGTATACATTTCCAATTTTTAAGATTTTTTCCCCAAACTTTCAACTCCAAATATCAATTATATCAAAAGTAATTGAATATTAAGGAAACATGATGAAAATTTCTCGAAAGGCTCTTACTAAAAAACTACTATAAATATCAAAGTTCAGCTTTTTTTGAAATACTTGTATTATCTTAGGCTTTATAATAATTATAACAAAAAATAGTAATTTGTTTTCAAAAGTTATCAACTTTCATTTCAAACAAATGCAAATTACGTAAAAATGATTTTTTTTATTCTTATGTCAATGGATTACTAAGAGTTTCTTCTACAGAAATCCGGCGTGAATATCAAGTATCCAACCATTTAAAAGGTGACACTTAAGTTCATGTATGGTTGCTACCCACAGTGGCGTATTTTGATCTTTTCTTAAAATCTTTACGAAAATCTTAGTTTGTAATCGATTTTGATATTTTTTAAAATTATTTAACAATAGAGATCTATATTTGACGTTGAAGCGCCTACGCAATGAATGTCGATCAAAGTATTGAATCTACTATTAATCAAAGACAATAAATCTATGATTGCATCAAATTAAAACTACAAAGAAAAAAATTCACTTTATTTTTTCACGTTAATGGTATTGACAAAAAAGTATTTTATATTTTTTAGATACAAGCAAATGTATTTATTATTTGTCTGCTTACGGATTACTTAATCTTAATTAATTTACTTGTTTTCACTTTTTGAAAACAAGTTTTTTTATTGATATACCTTATAGGCTACGTGCCAAGATGTCATTACCATAAGTAAAAACTAAGTTTCAAAAAAAATCATTAAATCATAGTTTTTTAAAAAGTCAATTAAAAATCGAGGTAAACCAAATTTATAAACAAAAGTTTTCAGATAAGGTTTTGAATGGCATAATAGCACTAACACAAAAGTATTAGTAAATAAGTAGTAGTAAATATTAAATATAGTAAGTCGTATTTTTTACCAACTTCATATTTGAGTAATATTATTTAATTTAATTGTTCAAAATTTTGACAAAGTACAATAAACACGACATTATATTCTTTTCCAAGGTTCTTCGACCTGTAGAATACGATTCCACTAATGTTTACTCGCTGCGATTACCTAAAAAATATATACTCACAATATGCACGTAAAAAATTCATTGTCAATAAATCAAAATTCGTATATTATAATCACATATAATGTAAATTAATTGGTAAAATACAGCTTACTTGTTTTTTCTCATCGTATTGTTATAATAATATTGTTATGTCTTATTCATATAATTGACATTTGTGTACTTATTTACTACATTACATACTTAGGCCAACACAGTATAGGTAAGTTCATAGTACGTGATAATTAGCAAACACGTGCTATGGGGACAAGTGCGTATTTGCGCGAAGCGAAATGTTATTCTCAGATACTCAGATGTTATTTGAATGTACCGACCATATTATAGCATAAAAACAGTGACGAGTACAATGCGTTTGTAAAGGTGTCAGGTAGTAACAAGTATGTAGTTAGTTGATCAACCAGCTGATGACGGTCGGTTTCGATTTCACTTCTTACGGCTTATTAATATTATTATTATTATTATTATTATTATTATTATTATTATTATTATTATTACTATCTAATCTTATTACCCATAATAGATCTCGGCTCCTTAATGAATTCGGGGAAAATTATGATCGACGGTGTCCTACAGGTCTCTGCACTCCTGCAACGATTTCTGCTATCCTGATCGCAAGAGTTATTCCTCGGCTTATTGTCGGAGAGAAGTTGCCATCGTAAATTATTCTCAAAAATTCTTTAATATTTTTAAAACATATCCGTATTTACATAATAAATATCAATTAGAAACTGGATAATAATGAATAATAATGAATAATAACTACATACATACATATATCTGTATGTATATATGTATACATATATACATATTTTTGAAAGAAGCAAAGTTCTGAAGGTCTAAGTATTTCCGTTTGATACAAGTGAATAAAAATCTAATTTGCTAACTTTGGCCCCACCAGCTGCATAAAAATTTAGTATTAAGATTATATTTAGATAAGTATAATCGTTAACATTGATATATTTATCAGGTGGATATAGATAAGTTTTAAGAACATTAAAAAATTGTTGAGAATAATTTACGATGGCAACTTCTCTCCGACAATAAGCGGAGGAATAACTCTTGCGATCAGGATAGCAGAAATCGTTGCAGGAGTGCAGAGGCCTGTAGGACACCGTCGGTCATAATATTCCCCGGAGTCATTAAGGAGCCGAGTTTTATTCGGAGTAATAATATTAGATGAGTCGTAACTGGTGAAATCGAAACCGACCCTCATCAGCCGGTTGATCAACTAACTACTTGTCCTTACTACCTGACACCCTTCCGAACGCATTATATTCCCCGCAGTTTGTAGGATATAATACGGCCGGTAAAACAGGTGGTAGATTTAGCGCATTACGCATGGCTTTAAGCAATGGTTGCTTCTATAATTGTTTAACCCAATTACGACGATAATCGTTAAAATTGATATATTTATAATGTTATAATTCGTTTTTGTTATAAATATATATATATATATATATATATATATATATATATATATATATATATATATATATATATATATATATATATATATAATATAGAGCTGAATATAATGGTTGATAAAAATATTATCTTTTACAAATTAGGAAGCTGTTTATCAGTAATTTGGCTTCCGGGAGAGTTGCTGCTATTTATACTGCAGTTAATCATCCATTGTCTGCAACGAGATGAGCCACTTGGACAACGTTTTGGTCAACGTTTTAGGTGCCAATGGTATGTACAAAGTATTTCTTTGTTCTGGTCGTGGACACTAATAGTGTTTTTTTTCAAGATGCTAATACTGAGCCAAAAGTGGAAGAAATGGAGCAGGATGAATTTAATATGAAGAATTACATTCCGCAGAGATTTCACCCATATTACCAGAAATATACTTTTATTGCCGTTGGCATTACCGTTGTGATGGTTTCAATTGCTTTGATCGTCGTACTTTTTTCGAATAGTAACAGTAAGTATTAAAGTATTTATATACCATTATTTATTATTTTAGTAATAACATCATTTTTTTAAGCTTTTCTGTTTGATTATATTGTTCTTTCCATTGTCCTCTTCATCGTATTCGAATTTCGTTTAGACAATGAAACAGGCAGCAACGGGACTCTAACTAACATCCATAGCAAACTATTTTTCCTCATAAATGACACGAAAATCTTGAAGTTCGATCCAAAAACTAAAAACTCGTCTTTGATCTACAAGTCAGTCAAGCCAGTAGTTTCCTTCGATGTGTTTGACGATCAGCGACTCTACTGGATAGAAATGATCGACGATACATCAGCGCGACTGAAGACTCTGATCAACAATAGTTTCAGTAATTTGATCGACGATGAGAGATTTA